CAGTTTACGTCTACGCCTTGATTCAGCAAAACTGTCTTCTGCGCTTTTACGAACGAGTTTCTAAAGTTCAGATCCCTTTGAAACTGCGTCTAGACGTAATATTGCGTTTAGACGTAAAACTGCGTTTAGACGTAAATCTGAGTTTAGACGTAAAACTGCGTTTAGACGTAAATCTGCGTTTAGACGTAAAACTGCGCTTAGACGCAAACTGTGTTTAGATGCAAACTGCGCTTAGACGCAAAACTGCGCTTAGACGCAAACTGTGTTTAGACGCAAACTGCGCTTAGACGCAATCTGCGCTTAGACGCAAACTGCACTTAGATACAAACTGTGAATAAGCTTTTGCATCATAATAGTTTCTATCGAACGAACGCAGCTTTCGGTTTTAATCGCTGTAAAATTTCCGCTGCACTAATTCACCCCCCCCCCCTCTTAGTGCTCTCGATCCTAACATTAAAAACACTAGATGAGACACAAAGTTATTTTCTATGTTATCCTATAAGCCAACAGACTCTTTTCTCTTCTCTAACTTCGTCTTGCAAAGTCACAAAATATACTGTGTAATGATCTTCAGCACTATGATTTTCCCATCACAACTTCTTGATCCACTTGTACTGATTATTCACTTAAAAGTTCTATTGTTGGTCATAAATTATTATTGTCATGATAAAGGGGTAACTGTCTGACAAAAAGATTTTCCTGGCAAGCAAGCAAGTACATCAAGCATCATTTGACATAAAATAATAACTTGAAAAGAACTGTTTACTATGCATCCAAAAAGCTAACCTGCCGTACAACAACATAGTCACCCACCACCAAGCTTAATTCCTTTTCAGAAGTAGCATTGAAATGATACATAGCCTGGAATTATAACCAATATGCATCAATACATACTCATATTGGAAAGTCTCAGCTAAATTCATCTTAAATTACCTCAGCAAGAAAATATAAGGCCTTCTCAGAACGATTATGGGAAGGAACAGAAGGAAGTGCAGACACCTTTTGTTGTTTTTCAGTGACCATCTATACAAAATTTATAAGTGCTGAAAATAATCAAATCTTCCAAATAGTGGACAGGCTTTATATAGTATACATGCTAAGTAGATACCTCAGCTTCAAAATCATCAAGTATAGCAGCAACTCTTAGATGGAATGATTTTTCTGCCTCTACCTTCAACAGTAAATATGAACAACATAAAACATAGAGCAATGTGATAACTTGATGTTATGTCATTATTTTTATCACAAGGTCATACCATGTTAAGTATACGCTGAAATGTCTGTCTTTGCTGTTGTGATTCGACAGCAGCTAATGCAGCAGCCGCTTCCTTTCCCAAAACTGCCATGTTTGCTTTCAGTTCACGCATTTTAGCTTCAGAAGTTTGAAGTTTTGCAGTATTTTCCAGAATGGGAGATTCTCTTACTCGAGAGTGCCTTCTCGAAATTTCTGCTGCCTGTTTAAGTTTCAGTGTTAACAGAAACTACAGAAGCGAATAAACCTGATACATATATCTAAATACATGATCTACATAATGTCACCGACAGAGAACCAAACAAGTCCTTACCAGGGTCTCAGCCTCATGTCTCAAGCGACTATAACGTTGAGCAAGACCACGAGCATCTTCCAGTGGAGCACCAGTAGCCATTGCTTTTAATGGTTCTATAATCTGAGCAATCAAACAATTTAAATCAGACATGTTCCTCATATTAGGAAAGATATGCTGCAGTGCCGCTTGAGAAATTTGATGAAAGAAAAAGAAAAAACATAGGTCACCTTGGATTAAGATCATACCATGCATTGTAAGGTAAGAAATAGCTTTCTTCAAGATGGGAAAACTATCAAAGAACATGTAGCAACATAGCGATTATCATTTAATATTTATGGTACCAGCGATGGTGCTTGACTCACAGAAAATAACTTATCTCAAAATGCAACAAAATGTATCCTTGCTACACTAATGTAAACTCGAAAATTAGCTAATTAGGCAAAGAAGAAGATGAAAGATGCAGAAGAAAACCATTATTAAAGAAAAAAGATTTGCATTCAGATCTGATGGGCAAACTGGTCTTAGACAATTTAGAAAGTGCAGCATCTTGGAAAGCATGCACTGTTGAATCTCCATCACTTGATCTTCATCAAGCAGGTCCACCACCAAATCCTGTAAATCTAAATCCAACTTCTCTTTCTCGATGTATTTCCCCCCAACCCTTTTTGTTTTCTGTCTCCAAAATGTATACTAGTGCATATGTTAGACACATTTACACCAATAAAGAAAGTTATGTTGGTTTCCCATTTTAATAATTGTGCATTCCACAGAGAGGGCATTTTGCTTTCCTTTTGTTAAATAAAAGTATTTTAGAAACTTAACAAGGCAAATAAATGTTTTAGTTACATATTCGAGTGACATCTTGGACCGTCAGATAATGAAATCACAATGTCACCCTTCTCACTGTGATGTTTGAAGTGTATCAGAAATGTTGGTAGAAACTATATAATTGCAAGGTAAAAACATGTTCAACACACTTTCAGCTTGTTACAACTCTTAACTTGAATGAATATGATCCTTTATCTGTTACAACAATAACTTGAATATGCTTGTAAATATATATATTAGCTTCTACTCTCAGGACTAGATCAGCAATAAGAAAAATTTTCAACAAAAAGCCTACAATTACAATGAGAAAAATATTTACGCTCTTATATGAGGACTGAAAGAACTACTTTGACAGCTGATAGAAATACCAATATTAAAGAAAAAGCTAAGCCATCCCATTAGCTTCTTTCTCATAAACAATGAAATGATAGGAATCTTCTAGTAGACAATGAAAACAGAAAAGAGCAAACTGAGAGATCACAGAAGGATGAAAAATTGGTACCACAAAAAATGACCAGAGACAAAAGCCATATGAAACCCAAACAGGTGTATTTTGACATAAGACATGAGACAAGCTCCAAAAAACCTAACTTTTTTGCTTGGTCTTCAAATCCAATATTTTGTGAATAACAAATGTTTCCAAATATTATGTAAGCTACAACATAGATGAAAATTTACTGAGACATAGCTCAAAACAAGAGGGCCTTATTACCCCAAATTGGGAATATTTGGGAAATCAAGACAAGATACCATGTCACTTAACCAATATCACATGACAAAGTTCTGATATCAAGAAATGGTAAGTGATTCTAACAACTCTGAGAACTTCTGAAGTCATATGCTTAAAAGCTAAGTAGCAGAAAAAATCTCATGGACATACCAGATTCTCAATTCATGCTATAAGTTCAAATATTTCCTTATACTCATTTGGGATCAGATATAACGAACCTGTGAAGATAGAAAGGAACCAAAATCTTCATGCTCCTTCGTGACATTTCTTAGTGAACCACCATATAAAGCTGCTGCTTTGGCTAAAATTGCACCGCTAGCATGATTCTCACCTCCATATCTATAGCAATCTTCTGACAGTTTTGTCCCTTAACAAAAAAACTTTAGATAAGTGCATGCATGTCTGAAATCATTTGACTGCTCATTATGCCAAAACATAATTAAGATAACAAACTATAAAACTATCACGAAGGACAAAAATGTAAGAAAAGTAAAAAATATTACCAATTTCAATGTGTTTATGCCCTATCGATGCATAGACTTCAGCTGCACGAGCAATATCTTTCTGAAAATCCTGAAACCAAAAAAGAAATTCGAGTCTGACAACCTCATTTGTCATCGACATTCAACTTCCTATCCCACGATGACAAGACAAGAATGGTACATCTTGAAGATTATGCAAAACAGAATATGTACACTGGTCTTTTGACAACTATGCATATTCATGGAAATAGTCTGGCCAAAAAGTAAACAGTCACATGCATCCTAAGATGTAGGATATATGAATGTTACATTCTTTGTGAAAATACTTTTATGCTCAGGAAATTTCCTTATCTAAAACGCCGAAAGTGCAATGCAGAATGAATATACGAGAAACATGATTATGGACTACTTACAACAAGGGAACTTTTGGAAAGACAAACATCACAACAAAAATGAACACTGAAGAAAATCAAAGAGCAGAAACACAGTATAGCCCATTCTTTCTTACCCTTCCTTCACGAGTAGACTTATATAACTTTTCTAGTTGTTGATGTCTCTGCAATTCAACTTCATCAATAACCATCACATCAGAGCTCTCATAACCACTCGTACTAAACTGCTTTAACACTGCCTGAGATTTATTAAAATAAAAAATTATAAACATGTAGGATCAATAAAATATAAAACCACATTAACCACATGCAACTCCAACAATAGAAGAGTTGTAAAGAAAATTTTAATAACTCTTCTATAATTAAAATTATATATGCAAATACTTGTAAAAGATAACAAGCTAATGGCAAGAAAATATATAAATAAAAATATCCAGTTATGCTACTCAGTGTAAAAACAAAAGATGAATGCTTTAGACAATTTAAAGACAAATAAAGGATGCTATAGACACACATATTGTGTGAAATAATTTGGATAGGTTTTGATAACAAACAAAGAAAAGCAGATTAAATCTTTCTCTTCTTCTACACAATCTAATAAATAAGAGCAATGCCTTAAAATAGGTCAGTTATACAAACTGCCTTGGACTCAGGAAGAGTATAGGTTCTGAAACGAGAGGAGCCTTTTAATAGGAGGAATTTCTAAAAGCCGCATGAGTTATAAAAGGTCTTATTTTCCATCAATAAATGACCTCCATTGTTTATTCATCATATTCAACTCACTCTAAATAATTGAAATAGCACATAGTAGTTAGATGGAATTATAAAACGGCTGGCAGCATAACAATAGGCCTCACGATAATTAAGACCATTTTAGTTAGGGTGTTCTACAGGTCCTCTTCACATATTAGTTCAAGAAAGGGCCATATATTTAATTCCGAAGCATGCCCAAAATATATAAACAAACGCATGTTCACACTTTGTGAACATCTACCAAAAAGATTCACACTCAGTATCAGATAACTAAAGCAACATTCTTGTTTAGACAACCTTGAGACCATTGGTAAAAGAACGATGCATAATGGAAAATGTAGAGTATGACAAAGGTTAACAGTAATGGATGCCATTTCTTTTCCCTCTCTCACACACAAAATTTTTCTCTTTTTACCCAACATGTGCCACGGGCACAAGTTTTTTAGCATGGCATCAACATAGCGTGTAATGACAAAACATACCATGTAAGTTATCATTCCACACACAATCTGCCACTGGCATTCTAAGTTAAAATACCTGCTTCGGCTTTCTAAAATTTTTGTATTCCAGTTCAAATGTTCAAGTTCCAGCCAATGCATATGCAATAACCTGCAGTAGCCTCCTTTATGATTTGCAAAAAGACAGCATTTCCATTACACACTAAAAATGGAACTTTGTCAAAGTACCTTCAGCATGACACTATATTAGAATGTGGTTCTACAGGAGATATTCAGATGTGTAAAACTCAAAGAAACAAAAAATATACATCTTCTGCACTGACTAAGACATCAACATACAAAAATTATTCAGATATATGCTGCCCTGACACTAAAAAGTTGAGTTGTGAAAATTCTTGTTGCCCTGATGTTTAAAGAAGTTGAACCCTGGTATTCTTACATCATCCACTCTGATCAACTTTTATACATGTATACGTGCTAGGATATTGTGTTGGAAGATCAAACTCTGTGCATAAAGTACATTTTTTTGTTAATTACTTGGTAAGATACATTCTGATTTAATTCTGCATATTATACCATTAATACCTAAAAGAATCAATTTGTTCCTATCATATTAGTGTCAAGATCTGCTGCGCCAGTGCACATGCTTTCTCTCATATCAGTCCCCTACGCAGGTACCGATGCTTCTTTAGTTATAAGTTAAAACGTGCTTGTACGAGACTTTGTTGTATTAATCCTTTTAGTGGTGAGAAAGTTCATTTTCGCTGTCTAATTACACCTTTAACTGTACATTTGACTCAGTTTCCCCTACGGAGTCACTCAAATGAGAAGTGCATTCACATCATCAATAACCAAAAAAAAATCACAATTCAGCAGTTTCAAATGGGAATTGTTCCCTTTATCATGAAAACTTAATTTTACCCAAATTGGAGCTAGCATTTCCAGAATCCAAAGAGAAATGAAAGAAAATGGATCGGATATAAGCAAGATCATCATGCAGAAGAAATGAAAAGCTAAGAATGGGGCACCAGAAAGAGAGGAAAAATGGACATCACCTGCTTGGCAACCTGCTCCCGCAGCTTGCTGGCCTGCTTCCTCAGCGCGTCCATTCTTGCACCCAAAACCCCAATCCCAAGCCAATCACCGGTACCCTCAGGAAGCTCCTACTGCTGCCGGCAACTCCGCACCAGAAATCTCCCAATGAATCAACGATTTGGCAGAGGCTCGGCGCTCAGATCACTCGGATCTGCCAGCGAAAGCGAAATCGAAACGAGGGAGGATGTGGGGGAGACAGAAAGGGAAGGATCGGCACGGGAGAAGAACGCCAAGACAACGGTGACAAAACATACGTTTTATATTCCATGACCCGAATTTCTACCTTTTTGATGAATGGATACATCTGTGGAGCTCGCATAAGACCTGTCTGCGTTGGCTCACCCTATCACCAGAGACGGGGGTGAAAATAGTGTTCGATAATGATCGTTGAAAGGCTCTGAGATCCAAGGGCTCTTGCTGCGCGACAAATAATTCCAACGGTGAAGATGTTATCTAGTTTGGGTCAAGCTCGAGTTCCGGATCAAGATTCTAATGCGACCCAATCGAAGCTGAGACAATATTAGTGAATTATTTACCTGCAAGTTCACCTTTCTGATGACTGGACACAGTTGTGGAGCCCGCATAAGACCCATCGATAGATAACTCAACCCGTCACCAGCGCTGGGTATGGTGATCCTAACGCGAGTTCCGGATCAAGATCCTAACGCGACCCAATTGCGGCCGAGCCAATGTGACCCATCGTAACTATTGGTGATGCTATTATTAGGTTGAGCCCGACCAGATCCCATGGACCCAAAAGCGACGCAATTGCGTCTTTAATAGCATCATCCTGTTTCTTTCATTTTAGTTTTACTCCTTTCATTCAACTATCACATAACGAATTAAAATATTACATATCATATCACCGCATACAATGTGTTAATCACTGGAATTTCTCGTTAAATATTCTATTAAATTATTATTGGTGAACCAATATAGTGGAATATTATAAATTCTTTAATTGTATATATATATATATATATATATATATATATAATACAACTGTATGTGTTTTTTGTGTACTTATAGTTAAATAATAACATCAAGAAAATAAATTAGAACTAATAGTTAACTGTATGATAATGACTCAAATACCTTAAGATTTGGAATATGGTGACATTTTACCAAACTATATTAATATCTTGAACCTTCTTCATATATTTCACAAAATGTTGCCTTCATGGGCGAAAAGGTGATGGAAATATTCAATTAATCCACAGCAAAGCCAAACAAGAATTGTTGACTCATTGAAAGGAAGCATTAATAATTCCCTCACCAGTTGAGAGGAGTTGGCTGCTACCATCCACCACTAATCCATCTCCCACATTTAATTAAGTGAGCATCTCCAATCAATGCTTTGCAACACATTTTTCTAACCCCTTCCACCATTAATCTCCTCAAGGTACATCCATGGACTTGGGTAGACATGATTAATGGCACATGGTGTATACAAATAACCCACTATTTAACCATATGCTTCATTAGTTTACTTTGTGTTTGAGTGATGAGGATTGCTTGGCTCATTAATGAATACTTTTATCTCTTGTTTAGGAGCTAAGAGGAGCACTAATTCTCCACTACATATCTCGTGAGCAACGGCAAACTACACGATTAAGCGAGTAAAGTATCACCCTCATGTAATGCAACATCGTTCGCTTATTCTCCACGTAATGCACTCAGCAGGAGACATGTTCTTGAGGTCATGACTCATGGTTTGGAAAAATGTGCATGGATAATTCAAAATAAGTTCCATGAGATTCAGCAGAAATACTTCAAAAATCTTTGTCTTGATTATAATACGAGCTCACCACCGTTTTGTGGGTTAACAGCTGTGTTCATCAATGGGAGAGAGAGAGAGAGAGAGAGAGAGACCCAACATATGAAACACTTGTTTGTTTCCTTCCTACTTGATGTTTGACTTGGATGGTAGAATACGGGCGTAAACAAATGCAAAAGGTCAACCTTTGTACTCATTGAATGTGGAGATCCAACTCGGTTCTTAGTTTACAAGGAGGAGGGCGTTGATGCATGCTTATAGTTTTATGGGCAAAGACAAAGGACAAAGAAGAGGCAAAGCTGCACGATCGGAGTCTCTTCACGAGGTTGGAATTAATCACTTGTGGATGATTTCTTCTGGGCGGTGAACGTATGATTCAGATCGATCAAATAGGGATGCTTATAATTTGTAGAAGAGGCAAATTTTGTTCGTCATTTTAGTTGCATGGAGTTCGAGGCTTTTAGCACGTCGACTGATGGACGCACACGGATCGAGATCATTAAGATCTTAATTAGATTAGATGCGCTCTTAAAATTTCAGCTGTAACGAAGCAGGTGTGCCTTTACTATTGCTTACAAAGAGGCACGCACACATCACTAATCTCTTCTAATCATTTAATGCCGGCTTAGTACATGTCTAAGATTTAGTGAACTCCCGAGCTGATACTATTAATTGCATCTCCGGTCCTTCAATTTCGGGGTTTTGATGTATCTATCCTTTTCAAAGTTTTAAGATTACTTATTTACCCCTCTCAAATTTTAGTATTATATTATTATTTTTTACATATATATACACATATATTTATATATAGTAATATGTGGATTCAAACTTGATACTTATAACATTATAGTAATCAATATGGATGTCTCAACTGACACCATGATTAATGCTATGTTAATCTTAAATTGGGGCCTCAAAACCATTATGCTAACATAGTTTTGATTTAAACGGCAAGGGAAGCACAAACCGCTAATATTTTCTAATCATCGATGCAAGCGTAGGAAGTACATGTGTTAGTAAGATATGGTGATACAATTAATCGCACGTCCACAGACTAATGCACACCGATCGATATCATTCATCTTAAAGTTTGCACGTAAAGAAGCAGTTCGTTGGTTCAAACTCCCACACGCTCACACACACACACACACAGTTGACTTGTGTTTGTTTTTATATCGTTCCTTGTTTTGGTTAATTTAATTGTCACTTTTACTTGGAGAAATAAATGGTGGCGATCGCACGTTACAGTCATCATCTTCACTACTACTATTTCTTTACTCCGATCCCCTCTCTCTCTCTCTCTCTCTCCCTCCTCGGAATGAGAAGGAAGTAAAGATGGACGTGGAAGAAACAAAGTGCTTGTTGCTTTGACCCTCTACATCTCCCTATATAAAGGCATCGGGAGCTCTCTCTCTTCCTCAGCCAGGATCGCCCACATCCTTGCGGTGGTGTAGCTTCTGCGAAGTCGGCCTCCGCTGCTCACCGCTGCCTCTCCATCTTTCTCAGGGTTAGACCATGTTCCTTGATTGCAGTCGTGTATTATTGCACTGGTTTCACCGTTCTTCTAACGAGCATTTCCGCCTGCTTGTGAACTCAGGTGAGCGATCGCAAGGATGAGCCGGGACAACCGCAGGAGCCAGACTCTGGACCTGAAGCTGAACCTTTCGCTGATGCCGGCCAGGGGGGACGCGTCGAGAAGGATGGGCGTCGCCGATGACGCCTCCCCGGCGAGCTCATGTTTGACGACGGCGTCGTCGTCGTCGGAGGCCGAGCTGGGGATGATGACCCCGGTGAGCACAGAGGTGGCGACGCCCATGGTGCTCGCCGGCTGCCAGCGGTGCCTCATGTACGTCATGCTCTCTGCGGACGACCTCAAGTGTCCCAAGTGCTGGAGCACCGCCCTCAACTTCTTCCACAACACCACCACCAAGAACAAGAAGAACAGCAGCAAGAAGAGCAGGATGTGCTAAACCTCCCTGCAAAACACCTTCTTCGTGATTCATTCCTTCTTCGGTTGTCTCTTTCAGTACCAGTCATCTCTTGTCTTTAATTACGTTAGCTGTGATTCAAGGAATGAGCACTTGGCTTCATCTTATAACCCTCTGTTTGCATCTGTAATCAAGTTGAATTACTCGAGGGGGAACCATGATCATGCGAGTTTAGCTATACAAGATGGAGTTTGCGTGGCTATCCACAAAGAAAGGAACATTGAAATGGTAGACTAATCTCTACCGGAAACCAATGAAAAGTGAATTTAATGCAATAATAATTGATATGGTTGAGAACATCTCTTGCATTATTACACCAGTAGTTTTGAATGTGTTTCGAAGTGAACAATCCCTGTCATGTAGAACAGAGGATTAAATACAGAACGGTAGGGGTATGCAAAGTGCAAACCATGGTTTCATAGGAGGACGGTAGACAGATCAAAGGCACGAGCATCAGATGTAGAATCATGTACTTTTCTAAGAAGCCCAGATATAAATGAAGTCGCCAACCACCTTTGAATGGTTGGCGTGGGCGATCAAGCAAAGAAGCATTCATTACACGAGGAAATAGAGCGCCGCGCCATGGAAGCAAAAGCGAGCAACCATGTAGGTGGCCACCTCGCACCGACTACTAGATTTTGCTGTAGGTGACTAATAAATGGAGGGGAGTTCGAAAGGGGCATGCAACTCTACATGGAACAATCAGGGAAGTGAGCAGAATAGAATTCCAACTGTTGAAATTTAAAGCCTCTTCACAGTTCAGCATCAGCACACCGGCTTCTTTTCTTGTGTGCATGGACAAACAGAAAGATGGATAACCATTCACATAGCTTTCGAAATGAAGCAAAAAAGAAGTACAAGGAAGCTTCTCTTAGTTTTAATGGATGGTAGACCAGGTCTGCGATGTGCTTGAAACATCTGACTCAGACAAGGAAATCTTGCATCTCCTTGTGTATACTTTTCCATCTGCACTCAAGATCTTTAGTGCATGGAGTTCAGGTGAGCAGAATTTACCACAAAAGAAAAAGATCTGATTAAATTTGTCATGTTTCACTTTCGGAGGCATTGGAAGTGGAACAAAGGGTATGAGATTTAAAGGACTTGGTTTCAGTAAGTTCCAATGCTTGCCAAGAAAGTAAGCAGATGGCTTTTAGAACAAGGACAGATATGATGTTTCAAAGAAGGTAAAATCTACTACAGTCTGGAGGGGTAAATGGCTTCTCTTCTGGGCAAGATGTAAGGTTTAATCCTGCTTTTTCTTACCTCAGATGCTACCATCCATGGAATCATCAGAGAAAACAATCTGAAATGGGCCAGAGCTACTCAGATTCTTGTAGGCTTGGAAATAGGAATGGCATGCATACAGTGTGAAGTGGTATCATAATGGGATGAAGCTTCTTCAAATTCTTATAAAGCTGTAGATTTCTGGAAGAAGGATCAAATGAACCAAGAAATTGTTCTTTACATGATGATCATGGCACAATGACCTTCTCGTGAAGAATTTGGATTAACTACATGGACTAAAGATTAACAACACTCCATGTTTCTCGTGTAAAATTCTGTAGATTTCAGATTTCTCATGCTAAGAAGGTCGATTTTAGAGACTGCTTTATGAGGAGAGGACTTGGATACATATAGATCACTTTATCTTCTTCCTCAATTGATGTTATAAACTCTGATGCACCACACCGATGGTTGCTGCCGATAAGATTCTTGCTTCTTTCCTGTAAGAAAGCCATAAACAAGTGCAGAAAAGTCTGTGTTCCACCCCTTCCCCACAAGATACCAATCATGATAACATATGCTTTGTAGCCAAAACTATTTCAAGCAGAGTTCTTGCACCCTCACCAAACGGCTGAGAGACTACAGGTTTGGTGTCCGATCCATCAACTCATTTTCTTTTGTTTGCTTGCCCACTTGAGCGAGACACGCTTCATAGTCTATGACTGCTATCCGAGTAGATAATAATCTAAAGCAAAGGTGAGGCCTTGTCTCATTAGCCAATCTATAAATCTTTGTCTAAGCTCTCCTAAGGTGCTAAAATGACTCCCATGGTCTATCATTTCTGCAAGACTGCATCGGAACGACACTTTTTCGTGGATCAAGTAAGGAGGGCTTACGAGGAGAACTTGTTTGAAGGAGTTGATATTGCAAAGATTAATGCTTCCAACTAAACTAGATTATAATGAACTACCCACATCAATCACAGGTAGTCAACTGAGATGCCTTGAGATAATTGCGAGCAGGACATGGTCCACAAAAGATTCGTACTGTGGAGACAAGTTGGTAATTATTTGCTTCGTACGAGTGTCTTCTTCACACCAAGATTGAAGTATGAGTATTTTTCATGAGATATCAAGCATGACAGTCGAGATATGCTTGCCATGGTACAGAAGGTGTCTGTGATAAGCTTTCTTGGCGCAGAGCTGCAAGGAATCCTGCACGAGAAAGAAGAAAAATGGTGGCTTGTCCATGCATACATATTCCCTACCTCTGCCTCTATTTTATTCTATCTGATTCTGATGCAGTTCCTTGGAACAGGCAATCAGTGATGCACTGAAAGTTTAGCTAGTTGTCTAATGATAGAGATGAGTGGCACAGTATGAAACATCAACAAGAATCATAATGACAGAAGTTGAAATATAAATCCCAAGAAAGGCAACATCTGGTGATGATCAAATTGCTATGAACAGAGTCAAGGTTTAAAAGAATGAATGACTAAAAAAAATTATGAGAGAAATTATGAGTCTAGTGACTCATAACTCAAGTTAAAGTTTTTCGGATTGTTAAATTCTCAACATAAATAGGGTTCAGCATCTTATACCTTTTTCTTGTGAACTCAGTTTTCTTATAGTTGATCCAGAGATAACACAAGATTTTGCCTGCTGCTGTGCAAGAGATGTAGATGCAGTATGAGAAGAAAAAACATCAAGGGAGTTTGTGTAGTTGTAAGAACAACAGTGAAAAAAGGATGAAATTGATTTTGGAAAAACTGATAAAAAATAAAACTAATGCAAATATATGTAGATCAAAGGTTTGTATGGAAAAACAAATCAAAATAAGAAACCACATTCCTAGATTTTTATACTCTGTGATTACTGGTTCAACACATTATATTTTTTCTAGATTGAAGAAATGGTCCTTTGGGCAGTGAAGAAAGTTACTTCTCACTGTTATTGTCACAATGTGTCCAAACATGTCAATCACAGAATCATTCAGTTGGCCAGGAAGAAGATTGTGGAGTTTGTCCATTACCCCCATTACAAACTCTGCTTCAGAAACTTGGGACCAAGTGAATAATTAAGAGATCATAAAGATCATGTAATGGGAAATATCACAGTAAGGTTTTAACTCCATCCTTCAGGAAAATTTGCTTGCAGATGGCTTCTTCAGGTCTCAGTAGTCTTGTTTCTGCCACTAAATGATGAGAAGTAGGGTGTGGTATATTACCTTAAAAACCCTGTAGCTCAAGGCACACAGATGAGGACTCCTTCAATATATTAGAGGCCAACAAATCATTGTCTAATCTCTCCTTCTTACTCCATACATCATCTGTTGTGATTTGAATTTGCTTCCAAGGTACTAATTTGATGTGCCTTTGGTGCTTAATTGTAGAAGCAGACAATCCATCGTAAGATGTGATGAGTGAGAGGTCTGAGGAGATTTTGGACATGATGGACAACATAATTTGGCACCATTAATGTTCTCACCAAACCTATAGACTTGTAAACAAAGCTCAAAATACATGTTAGGAGCACATTAGTGTAGCCTCAATTGAATGATGTATTCAATGTAAATGTAGTCCCCAAAACCCTTATAGTTAATGCCCACATGAGTGACCCCACCAACCCTTTCTCCTTCTCATGTTTCCCTCCCCCATCCCCCCCCCCCAGTTTTAAAAGGAACTGACCTCAAGCTTCCCTCACGTACTCACACCCCCTCCATTAATGCATGCCACAAAGCTCGAGGGAAGAATTTAAATCCCTCCCACCGCTTCTCCTCCTTCCTCGCCCTACTGTGGGAAGACCAGATGGGCAAGAAGCTAAGCTTGAGTTCCTTCCTGTTCAGGCTTAGGGACTCACCCAAGCCTTCTTGCTACTTCTCTTCTCCTCCTCCTCCTTCGTGGCCTTGGCCTTCCTGTAGGCACCCGAGGACCAGCTCCTTCCGGGACGTCGATGGAGGCGCCATCTACAAGACTGTGAACTCGGTGTACTTCGACTCCACGGACTCGTTCTTCACCCGCTCGTCGGAGGAGCAGGAGAGCTTCTCCACGGCGTCGGAGGACTCGGACGGGGACTCGGTGGAGACGGTGGTGCGGGGGCTGCGGTCGGACCGCCTCTTCTTCCGCCCCGGCGAGACGAGCTCGATACTTGAGGAGGCGAAGACCGGAGAGCTACCCTTCAAGGACAGCGTCGTGCTGGCGATGGAGTCGGAAGACCCGTACCGCGACTTCCGGCTGTCCATGGAGGAGATGGTGGTGGCTCACGGGCTCAGAGACTGGGAGCGGCTTGAGGAGCTTCTGGAGTGGTACCTACGCGTCAACGGGAAGAAGACTCATGGCTTCATAGTTGGAGCCTTCGTGGATCTGCTTGCAGGCCTCGCTTCTCCTCTTCCATCTTCTTTTTCACCCTCCAAGTCAATGGAAATGGAGGAAATCAAAGAGGAAGAAGGAAGCAGATCAAGTTAACTTCTTTTGGATCCAAGAAAATATGTACATTGATCTTCTTTTTTGAGCACTTCCAGTTCATATTGTCAGGTAGCTTTCAGATATTAAACCTTCAAGGCTGATGGCTATGAACACCTTTCTCTTCCTTCTTTCTGTGCTACTTCTCCCTCCTCCCTCTCACCTAAGTTCTCAGATGTCCAATGACAGAGGAATACTTTCCAGCGTTCGCTATTATGTGTATGGCATGATAGTTTTATATCATGTAATATACTTATCAAGCTCATATTATTTTTGCAAGAGTCCTTTTTTTTGTAGCTGAAGAAGCCAAGGCCGGCTGTCCTCTAGCATAGCAGATGAAAGGCTCATAACAGTCGTGGCCAATCGCCCAGTTATCTATTACGGTAAGACAAATGCTCGATAGATAAATTGGACAGCACTGCTTCTGCAGCAGATCATGACAACAACCAAACATTGCTCACATCAGAGCACTGAGTCCAAATCCTTCTCCAGTAGGAGCTTGGGGTTGAACTGTCGATGTTGTCGAATAGGTGCAAAGTATCAGTTCATGAAGGAACAAATGCTGTGATGGAATGCATGGCTAGTGGTTTCCCCTTTTTATGGTTACTGACTACTTGCAATCCTTTGTGTTTTCATGTTGGATTCATGCAGGGTTGAAGCAATTCTTGAAACCTCTGATGTAGCTGTCTACTCACTGGATTTGCTATCAATTAAATGTTCTAGAGTTCTAATGTAGGGAATATGCACAGGTGAGCCAGTCAATTACCAGCTTGGCCTGAAGATCCAGCAGTTTGTGAGCAAATAAAAATGGTTTGCCACCCACAAACTCTCGGAGGCCAAGCTCATTTCCATCAGTTTAGGTCAATTAATCTTATCATAATATTATATAAACACATTCCACAGAAATATTCATGGAAGAACATAACATGATATGCATGTTGGTTTCGATTGGTATTTGAAGCTGATGGATTCCAAGGAAATCCATGAGCTATTCATAGTTTATACAACCTGGCAACCCCTGCCTTGCTGTGAACAGAGTTAACTCAAAATGGCTTCTCTTCACACAATATAAGAAATCTCAAGTGACATCAAGTGCCATTGACAACAAATGATGATGATTGAGGGAAGAATAGCTGACTTTAGAAGTAGGACAAAGTTAAGTGACAGTTGCTAGTGGATTATTTAAGCAACATGACAAAGCTTGCACATGGAATTATTGTTGAAGTAATGGGTGTATGCATGGTGGATAAGGACAGTAGGCCAATGCAAATTGGATTCTTTTCTGTATCACAAGAAAGAGAAGCTTCTAAAGCTTGCATTATTTCCTTTGCAGTGACTGATGCCCTCTTGAGTGGAGTATAATGGCCAAGTGTTTATCACATTGATTCTTCACTAAGAGATCCATTATGCTAACTAAAAATTGGACTTTTGATGAAGACTAGCTAGTAGTGCTGAACATTGGTGAGAACAGAGCAATTGTGTCTGAAGCAGCTTCCTCCAATGAAAAATGGCTTTCTACCACACACCTCTGAAGAGATTATGAGTTCAGATCTTTGTGAAGGTGGTGTCAAGCACCTTACTCAAGCAATTAATTCTGTGTGTGTGTGGGGATCAACTTCACTCTATTATTCTTTGAGAAAAACAAAAGGGCTTGACTTGGCTACTCTACATCAATGAATGTACCTGATACCTGTCCAGTACCAAAGACTTCCAAACCCAAATTTTGGCTCTAGCAATTGATTCGATTCAAGCTCCAATGAATTATGCTCCATAATATTCATGTGCATTAAATGATTTTGAAGTTTAGCTTAATGGAACATTAATTGCAGTACCTTTATGCTGTACAAATACACAAAAGCAATTCATGCATACGTACCAACAACTGAACAATTCAGTAGGGGACCAAAAAGAGAGAGTTTTGGATGGTTTAGCCAAAGAACCAAACCATGAATTAACCATCCAATAAATCAAACAAAGTCTACAAGCTTTAGCTCAGAACTCATTTAGGTGCTTAGTGTGCAGTACTTGTGTGAAATAAGGTATCATTAGGACATTTTGATCAGTAATATGCAAGTACCAAAACAAAGTCAAATTTTCTTCTTCATAGGAGTCAAACTGAGTTCTACACAGTGAGGAGGTCTCACAAGGTTCTTGGTGAAGCCAAAAGGTGGGCCATTAATGGCCATGGCCAAGGGTTTCAAGCTCTGACTAGTAATGAATCATGGGATCCTGCGACCACCACGGCGCTCCTGCAGCTGTCTCTCGTGAGTGCTTCAAGATGATATCAGCCTCAAAAATTGCTGTCTCTTAATTTGGATTCCAGTGGCTGTGCTGTGTCATGAGATAAGGCATGGCGCCAAGTCGCTGCATTCTCCATAGGTAGAAATTTATTGCTCAGCTATCAATTAATGATGGATCCATATAGATAGTTCACAAATGCAGTGATGAATTGTTCAATGTTCTGACATAAAACATGTCCTTTTACATGTATCATATGCTTGTGTTGTTACAACAGTAACTGAGACAACTCAAGAACTAAAGCCTCCATGAGAGAAACCAAGAACTAACTATATGTAAAACTTTAATTAGTCAAGATGGTTAACTCAAATGCAAATTTAATCTATTGGCAGCATGATCACATTCGACTTGTCCATATCCCTCAGGGTCTACAGAATGATGATTGATTTCAGCTGTGCATGTTTAGGTTTCCCTCCCTGTATTTGTTGAGCTAATAACTTCAGGTAACCCTCAGTGACTATAATTTGTATCTTTGAGGTAAATTGACTGAGAAGGGAATTGCATCAAGGGTACAACATGGTTTAAACAAAGTGAGAGGTTACAGAAATGGCTCAAACAGATCACTAGAAGGCATTGAGGAACCCCACAAGTCGAATGCATTTTGTCATGATGACTAGTTTGTATTCTCCTGTTGGATGACCTGTCAGAGGACAAGAACAAGAGATTTGTGTTTTGTCTCTACACAAGAGCTGCACAAACAGTTTCAACAATTAAAAGCACAGCCACCTAATCATGTTGTTGTGTTCCTAAGTTCAGAAAATAAATTCTCTGAACTCTTCAGAGAAGACTGGAATGAAGTGGCAATGGTGCTCATTTGATCCAAAGTCAAAACATCAGAAGCCAACAATAACATCTGACCCCTAGGAAGATGTAATTACTGTGATGTTACCCTGCACTTCAAGGGAGGGTGGGGTAGCATCCAAAGTTTCTGAGTCCCAAGTTCCAATGCTAGCAGCAAAACACTCTGCAAGTTTTCAGAAGGCATTAGTACGATTGCGTGTTCACTGCTCATTGATGAAAGGAAGCTATCAGTTGGATTTCAGCTGCATTTCCTGCAAAATTAAGTGTTATATGCATCCTGATATGGAAAGGAAACTTGGGAGAACACTTGGCTTGAGCACTTGAAAGTTTCTTTTCTTCTCTCTATCTCTTTCGGTGTTGATTAAGCTTTCCAAGATAGACTTTACATATATCACTTAATTAAAGGTAGAAACTGGAAAATGCTGATTACACGAGTCCCAATAAGTTATGAATAGAAGAGAAAAGGAGAAGATACAGATCTAGAGACAGAACTTGGAGATTGCCTCCTCGTTGGTTCGCCATTACTAGTGTTTCCATAGCTCTCAACATGTATAGCATAAGCCATGCAACATCTGTTGCAGAGGCAATGAAGCAATTGATGTGTGTTTGTTCTGTAACAAAACAAAGTGACTCTGTTTCTTGTAGTCTGTGATTCACCAGCTCTTACCACTTAATTGGGCAAAAGGTAATCAAGTGATTATTAACATACAGAAAATGAGATTTCTCAGTAGCAGAATTTTCATTTGGTGATGTATAGGCCATATCATTTAGTGTATGATATTTAAAAGAATAATTGGTTCTACTATGCATACTTTGACCAGATCGCAATGAAAAAGGACTTGTCATCTTAATTTTTGAAGTAGTTCCTAAGTTTTTTTTTCTGCAACTAATCCCTATCAAAATTTGCTTTTACACCTACAGCTAGAACTTCCCATCAAAAGCAAGAAACAACCTGAACTAATTCCTCTTGTTCTTTTTCAGAGTTGCAGCTCAATCTGAGCTCAAATATACTTAATCTAGCAGTATACTTGAAGCTTGTTTGCCTGTTCTTTTTGCTGCTTTTGATCTCTGATGCAGAAGCTGCGCAAGGCAAGATGGCATGCACTGGTAGAGCAGAAGAAGGTGAATCACTGGAAGATCCATGAGACAGTGACTCGTTGAAGAACTCAGACAAACACTGCGGGCAGTAAATGTGGGTTTTAGGAGGCAAAAGAACAGAGCGAAGGCTCTCCACATACCATCACATCATCGACAGGCGGCTTTGCGCAGGTCACAACATCTTCACCGAATCCTACCATTCAAACGAAACACACTTCAGCTTCCACCAAATTGCCTCTTTTTGGTAGCTTTCTTCTGGGAAATCGAGATCCTGTCACCGGCAGTGGAGTTACCCTCTGATTATCCACGTGGCACCCGGTCGTGGCAGGATCTCAACTCTTGTCCTTTTCGTGGGCCGTTGCGGCCGCGTGCGGGGGTGTGCCGTCACTGCCGTCTGCAGCCGGTGGCAGACGAGGGCGGCGGCGGCGAGGGCTAGGGTGGTGAGAAGAGGCCGTTCAAGATCTCGGCGAAGGCACGGAGAATGAGGTGGTGGTGGCGTGGGGCGTTGAGGGCGAGGAAGCGATGGAGGAGGTCGCGGAGGTCCTCCCACGCGTAGATCTCCATCTCCACGATCATTTGCAGCATCGAGTCCCGGAAGTCCAGGTACGGGTCCGACGACTCCTTCACCACCGCCATGCTCCCCTCGACGACCCCCATTTTGGCCGCAGCCGTCGCCGGGCACTTGTGCTTCTTCTTCTTCTGGTACGGCTTCCGCTGGCCCGTAGCGGCCGTCTTCTGCGGGCTCTCCAGTGGGTATGACGCCGGATACTGCGGAGAGGTGTAGTCTCCGTAGCGTGAGGGAGAGGAGTCGGTGGCGGTGGCTGTTGTGGTGCTGGTGGCGGCGGCGGCGGTGAGGCTGGTCTCCCAGTGGGAAATGGTGGTCGAAGGGGAGAGGAGACTGGGACTCTTCGGCGGCTTGGGTTTCTGCGAGAAGGAGAAGAAAGATGGGAGCTTCGGCCGCCGGCAGCTGCAGCCGATGTCGACCACCACCGGATGCCGCACCAAGAACTTTCTCCGGCCAGAAGGCATCTAGAACGCGAAATTTATGGGGTTGCAGAGGCAGGGGGTGTGATGGAGCGCAGAAAGTTCGGACCTTGCGTGTAATGAGAAATTCCAGCAATGAAGAAAACCCAAAAGATTTGCTCTTTCGAGATCGACAGAAGCAGAGGAAGCAAAGTGTAGGAAAAAGCTCGAGTCTTGGACGCGCGATGTCTACGATTGAAGGGATAGGAGAAGATGGCTCTGTTTTCTTATTTATCGAAACAGGGGAAGAAAATGGCGATATAAAATTGGGTTTTGTTCATCACGGAGGAATCGTTTGCAGTGTGGAATCCTCAAGAAGAAAAGGATGGAATGCAAAGAGAGAAGGAAAGTTCAGGTTTTGATCTGCGACTAGAGGTGTTGGTGATCGACGAAACAATATTTGGACTTAGAGGTGAAAGGGTGTGTTATAGAGAGATGAATGAGGTCTGTAAATGAGAGGCATTATAGAAGGTGATGAGAAGGAGAGAATGACAGTAGAGTTAAAGGGAGGAGACGAGGGAAAGGGGGTGTCAGTTGGAGAAACTATTGCCTTTTAGTTGGAGCCTTGTGGTGGTGTTAGCTTTAAGATGGTGGAGGCTCAGCTTTAAGCAGGACAATGAGGGGATTGAGTTTTAATATACTTATGGACCTTTGAAGAAAAGCTAGAGGATTTAACAGGCCATGCGAATAAAGGGGTCCTCCATGCTGTTTTCCTGTTTACTTGGCTCAAAACTCTCCCGGTGGATCATTATGGGCATCTTCATGAGAAGGAAATTTTGGGAGGGAATACCAGACCGCCAAGGTTCTTGTGAGGTGAAATTTAGGAAGAAACCTAGAGCCATCTCCACCTCTTCATGCCTGTGTACTGCATGTGATGGAGAACCTGTGCTGGGTGAAGATAGGCACCAGTGAAATCTGGTACTGTTTCATGACCCCTGCAGAGTTCCAAGAATTTAAGGTTGCAGGTGGGTACTAAAAAATCCCTTCACAGTGAGCACCTTCGGATCAAAATCATAATGTTTCTTATATCATAGTCAAAAGAATCCAATCAGTCTTGCTCTGCAATTGTTATGAGGAACAACAAACCTGGAGGAGGCTCATTCCAAATCTTTGTCTGTGAGTTGAAGTCCGGGAAGAGAAGTACTTTTTGGGCAAACCATCAAAAGACTCACTGTAGGAGTGGAAGGTGTTCGGAACTCACGAAAGGTGACACTGTGGGAGACTGCTCGTGCACTGAGGAGGAAGCCTTTGTTCAGTGGAATTGAGGCCGACTCAGGTACTCGTTTGGCCTTTTTACACACAACACTGCGTCAAAACGACCAAGTTTGGCATGCGTGGACGAAGCATGTAATCCTTTGTCTGCACAAAGAAGCAAGCATCATGGTGGCCATTGGCCCAACGGAGAGACCACCGACATTAGTCCATGCTGTCTTTTGCTACTGGTACAAGATAAAGGCAATCTTTAAGGGCATTACTGTTTAGGTTGACTCTTCTCACAGTGTGCTAGGAAAGTGCTTTGGTTTGCTAGATGTAAATGCTACAACAATTACTGAAGCAGTAAAAACCCAGCACTTGAAACCACCAGAAGTAAAAGTGGCAGATTTGCTAGGAAAATGCTCTCGAAGGTAGCATCATTTCACCGATTGTTGATAAAACGACGATTGACCATGACCATTCTCTAGTAGCAGATGCACTTTGATGTCACAATCCTCCTTCTGCAAACAAATTTGATGCTGTGGCAAATCCTAGATAGATCAGTCTAAAGAGTTCACTCTACAGAGCAGGATCCTTGCTCTAGTGGAAGGATAACAGAGGCAGTTTACAACCTTTCTGCAGCGTTGCTACTAACGACATTAACTACATGGTCTCATTTGATCTTTGCAATCTGGATAGAGAACCAACCTCGGTGCAGCAGAAAGCATGCAGGTGGCTCTCTCTTTCGATTGATGAAGCAAAATTTGGCACCAGCCTTAGGTTGAGACATGATATCTATCAGACAATATCTTAGAATTTCTCTGGGTCACCAGCATCTGATGTGCATGCAGATTAACTCGATCACCAAACAGTGACCAGCTTTAAAGCTCGTATAAGCGTATGGAGGTTTGAGAAGGATGGATAGATGGAAGAACCAGCAAGTTTAGGAGGATAATGGTGCAAAATCACAGAACTTCGAGTTTTTACATGAATGAAAAGTTGTAATTTCTTTGATTCCCTGTGCATACAATCTTTTCAGCAATTTTGCAGATAGAAACAGAAAGGAAACAGAGTGCATAGAGAGTATCAACTTCTCAGGATTTTGATTCTATCCAGTAATCTGGAAAATGAAAAAAGAAGACATTTTTAGCTATTGAAAATGTGATGCAGACCCCAACAATCATCATTGCCAAAAAGGGTGAAATTTCCCCCCCCTTTTTTTTTCCTTTTTGTAAACACTCAATCTAGTTCTTCTGGCATCTGAAAATTAATTATTTGACATTTTTTTATTTTGATCAAATTGACTACTGATTATAATACATAAATTGTTTGTATGATTGCCATGATAGAGATGCTCTCATGATTTATGTACAGTGGATTAAGGCTAGTAAAGAAGAATATTTTCCTTTTGTATTCCCTGAACCATCATATATTGATCACAGGCATTTCATTATTATCATGTTGTTGATCACAAGTGCATTTAATAAGATAGGATGGGGTGTGACCATAAGCTATGTTGTTTCTCAAGTAGAGGGATCCTAGAAAGGCAATCTCCTACCTAAAATGGAGTAGAAAATTCTATCATCTATATGCATAATTATAGTATAAATTCCATCATAGCATCTGTGTTTATTTCTTGTGGAAGAAGGCATGGTCCTATTTTAGGATGAATCTAAAAGATTTTATAGATAAAGAATCAATTGGACCAACTCATCTCAGTTGCAGTCTAAATGATTCTTTGTTTTAGTATCATCATCGTTTTCAGTTTCAGAGTCTCACAAGAACATTCTTTTCCTGACCATGTTATACTTATCATGGCCGTCAGTGTCAATCTTGTATCACAGGTTTCCTTTTCCCCCTTTCTTTTCTTCCATTCGATGATGAAAAGGCTGTGTGCATGATGAATGGCAGTGGAGGTCTCTAGATGAAGCAGAGACAACAGCGTTGGACAAGTCAAAGCTTGGCATAGTGCTGCATTCTTCACTTTCATCGACTTGTGCTCATAATGCAAAAGAAAGAAAGCTTTCTTTGTCTGGTAATTGGCAATTGAGGTGAAAGAGAGGGATAACGAAGAAGTTATTCATCCAAACAGCAGGATAAGTAGCAGATATTACCTCCCAATTCTTCTCATTCCTCTATTTGGCTGCCAAAATGATCAACAAAGTCATGCATTTACTACGACTTTTCTTCCAATTCCAGTGCTCTTCCACTTCAGGATTCAAGCATCTGCACTGGTCAACCCAAATGAATCTTGTTCTGGGTTTGCTTCTGGATGAGCAGATTGCTGGACCACAAAATAAGACATGAAGTAGGCTTTTACATCATCTTCTTGACTGACCACTAATCTCTTTCTTTATGTAATGCACATGTTCCACATCATTGACAGAACAGAGCAGTGTATCCATTCACCAGTCAATCATCAAGGATGATGGGTAAAGATCCAGCAGGAGTATTCCATCTTGAAGGTGTTCAAGATCATCATCTCAACCTTGGTCTAAGTCATGCCCCCCCCCCCAGCTTCTTTTGTGGACCAGAGCGCCTTTCAACCATGGTTGGTGTGGATAAGAGAATTCTCTGTTGTACAACCCAAGCCCCAAAAGAAAAAGAACAAGAAAGAAAGCAAGAAGACAAACGTATGATGAATTATACAACTGATAGTCTTATCATGAAAATAATAAAAATGGAAAATGACTTCTTTGTTTTGTCTTATAAAGAAAGATCTAACAAATTTGAGGCTTTAATATTCATGTTAGAGTGATGATTTTGTTGATTAGCCAACCTAACAATTTCATAATTGATGACATTAATGCAACCAAGATGTCCACATCCCTGCATTAAACTGATGTGAGTTGTCACACTGTCGTATCATTGTGTATCTTTTGCCCAGCTCAACCATCCAGTTTGACCCATTCAAGTCAAGGCCCCGGTTCGGTCCGACCGGTGGTTCCCTTTCCACCCGGTGTGTTCAGTATCCGCTCATCAGTCTAAAACCGAGATGAGCTGACCATGTCGGTTAGAGTCATACTCCGGAATTAAACCGGTCCGATGGTTCGGTTGAGGCAGTCCTTATTGCTGCAGCGAAATCTCCGTTATGCTCTTGTCAACTTTTCATATTACAGATTCCGGTGGTCGCTAAAGAGTCGAAGTAAAAAGGAATAGAAGGGTATTTTCGTCAATAAATTTATCCAGAGGACACGAGGTCCACCCATCCTTCCTCGTTGCTTTCGTGAGAAGACGTCCCGCGAAAGCAATCTCCTCTCTCTTTTTCTTCTCCGTTAAGTCGAGACTTCCGCGGCAGAGGAGCGTATTGTAGAGATTTCTTGATCACCATTATCAAGAGGGAAAGGAGAAAGAGAAGAGGATAATACTGGGGCGTGTTCGGCTTCGGGCTTTGAAGCTTCGGAGTTCCATCATTTCCTCACGCACCGACGAAGAAAGGAGTTAAACGGTCAACGCCGTAGAATTTGAAGATTGTGCGTGTGAGATCTTGGCTTAGTCGTTCTCTTCTTACATGTCTTGGTTTCTCGGGTTTCTTATATTTGTTGTTCATTTCGATTGCGAAGTGCAGAATTTTGTGGGATCAGTTCGAAGATGTTGGCAGAATACATAACCAGATTTCTTGTGTGAGTCGTCGTTTATAGAAATTTTCTGATGAATTGTTTTCTCCTCTTTTTTGTTCTTCCATGTTTATCTTTGATCTGAATCTGAGAAATCTCGAGCTAAAGACTACAAGCAAAACAATGGCAGGGTGTTGTTTGGCTATGCTTATCCGGCTTTCGAATGCTTCAAGACATTGGAACAGCATCCGGGCAACACAAGGCAGCTTCAATTCTGGTGCCAATACTGGTAAATTCTTCTCCTTGATAACAGGAAGGAAAAGAAAGTAAATATACATTCTGATGCTTGGATTTAATTGCCATGTTTTTTCTTTGGTCCTGTCGCGGAGAAAACCTTACAAATTATGGACTTTGGGATCTTAATATGAGAAATCTATCAATTTAAGAGTAAGATTGAGATTATGTTGCCTTATCCAACAATTTACAACTGGGTAATTTTTGTTTAGGGAACTGATCGGTTTACATCTTAGCAGAAGAACAATTCAAATTGTTGAGTCAGATATATTAGAATGATGCTTTACGATTGATAGCTCTCGTTAGGAACTGAATGGAATGCGATGCTGAGGAACTCTGTTCTGAGATTGAGAAAACATAATAATTTTGGAACATAAAGATAATATATATATATATTTTTCCTTGGCTAAGTTGTCACGTCGCAATCTTCACCCATATATACACCTAATTCGAAGTCTGCAATGGTGCCTAATATGGTGAAGGGAAGCTGGCCAGCGCTGCATCTGTACCTCTGTCTGATGGCGATGATTGATTTATAGTTTATACACCACTGATTAGGTTTGGTGGACTGGTAGTGGCACGCATTAGTAGCATCGTGTTCCAAACCTATATGGCAAAAGTCAACTCTACCTCCAGATCTGTGAGTTGAGTTCCTTTACATGTCATCCTCGATTTCTGACAACTTATTAGAGTTGTGCTCAACTTGATTCACCTTCCGTTGAATCGGGGGATTCAGTGGAGCTGTTTCATTAATGGGGGAAAATGAATGAGACAATGTTTGCGAATGATGAGCTTCGTATTTGCAGGATCATCGTGGCGATACTGACGGTCATCGAGATGGTGGGCGAGTTTCTAGTCTCATTGTAATGTTTGACTCTGGTAGCCTCGTTCGTTTCTTGATGTTTCAGTTCGATCTGTGCGTGACTTGCTTCCTCTCCATGAAGGTTGCCCATGTATGGCGAAGCCAAGCTGGCCTTCTTGGTCTACCTGTGGTACCCGAAAACCAAGGTATTCGTTCAAACGAGATGCGGTGATCGACATTAATGGAGATTTCACTTGGTGCTCATCTTCTTTGGTCTCGCGAACAATGCAGGGATCCGATCTTGTGTACGACACCTTCCTCCGCCCGCTCGTCATGCAGTACGAACCTGACATCGAGGAGAGGTTCCGAAACCTGCGGGCTAAGTCCGGGCAGCTGCTCATCTTCTACCTCAAGAACTTCACAGAGAAAGGCCAGATCTTGTTCCTCGATGTCCTCCGCTATGTGGTCTCCAAGGCCTCGAGCGGTACCGAGGTAATGATGGTACGCTTATAAGGTCGTCGTAACACAGCAAGGTGGTTGACTCGGTTGACGATAAATGATGTCAAACGTTGTCGGATGATGCGGAAGATTGACTAGTTCATAAAGCCTAACTTTTCTCTCTTTTTTCTTCAGCGGATTAGAGGACGAGGATCGTCTTCCAAGAACAAGAAACGGGAGAAGCAGGGTGCGGACGAATTGGAGGACATCGCCGAAGCCTTGTTTGCCACAAATGCGAAGCAACGGGGATCGCGCCAGCACAAATAAGATCACACAATTGCTGTAAATTTAGGGAGATTAAAGATAGACAAAAATGATGATGAATTACTGGTTATTGACGTTTCTTTTTCGATTTGAATCGTGATTTTTCGTTTTGGGGAATGCTTGTCGAATCCTTTTGCTATTCGTCGACGGATCAGCGGTTGATGTATACAATGTAAAGGTTGTGCTATCATCCTAAGCGGCACAAGGATCGAAAGAGGCGGCGGAAGAAATGGAGGCAGGGGGAGAGGAGGTCGGCGCAGGAGAGGACGGCGAGCGCCCGCCGGAGCAGCCCGCGGGGGGGAGGGGCGGCCGCCCTCGGCGTCAGCTGCAGGTACGCGTGCGCCGCCTGCTGCACGAGGCGGTTCCGGATCCTGATCTCGCCGCCCCCACCGCCGCCGGGTCCCCCGCCGCACCCCGGGGCGCCGGGGGTGGTAGGCGACGCCATCCCGGACGGCGGCGGCGTGGAACTCATGATGTCGCGGAGGCTGGTGTAGTCGATGTCCTTGGGCCAGCGGCGGCCGGCAGCGGCGGCGTGGGCGGGCACGATGTCGAGCACCGCGGGCAGCGTCACCCCCCGCCGTCGCAGCGACAACGACAGCTTGCCGCTGGCCAGCGGAGACAGCAAGGGCTTCTTCTCATCGGTGGCTTCGTTTCCCATGGCATGGAAGGAGAGAAAGAAGGGAGGGAGGAAGAATGCAGGTAGAGATCGAGGAGGAGAATTTATAGGGAGGGAAGGGCTGTTAGAGAGCACCACCATACATAGGTTCGTTTGACGGCCCGTCCAAAAAGGCTTTGAGACTCGCACGGAGATGCGAGGAAATGGTCAGAAACGTGGTTGGTGATGCGGCGGTGCAGCGTGAGGGGTTTGGATTCTAATATTAGTGAGACGGTCTTTAGTAATTGAAATCAGCATGATGCGGTGGTTGGATAAGGGAGATAGCCGACCCGGGAACCGAGGCACGGTGCAGGGGCAGCTACCGTGTTGACCACTATTCCAAGTTTAGCTTTAGTCGCATAAGACGATTAAATTAACCGAGAGGACAAACAGGGAAAAGTACCAAAAGAGTTTACGTGGAAAAAAAGAATTTGATGGTTAATGTATAAGACAAATAAAATAATAAATGATATGCCCGAGTAATCACCTGATGCGGTGAATTGATCACATCGACAGTAATTATCATCCTTTCTAGGTATGAAAAATAGTGCATTTGACCCTCTATTTATATATATATATATATATCATTTATTTTCTCTGCAAAAAAATTGGAGAAAAATAACAGAGAATTTTAATTGTCCGTTCCCTAAGTCAACGGTATCCGGTGAGGAACCAACGATGTCAGATCCAGCCACGTGGTCACGCCTTTGCAAAGCCTCCATTAATCCACGCACTACTAGCAAGCCTGCACGGGTGGCCCGACATGAACCAATCCCACCTCGTCTCCTCCTCGACTTTCCCCTGCATCCCCCCAACCCACAATTCCTTCTCAGGGGACACCGCTATGGCCACAGCAGCTCTCCTCTTATCTACTCTTCCCCCGGCACAACGCCACGGCCTCCTCCAGTACCACCACTCTACCCGCCCCCGCTGCCGCCTTCTCCCCGCCTCTCCACTGCTGGGGAGGCAGCGCCGTCGCTTGCCCAGCCCCATCCGCGCGATCCAAGAGACCGAAGAGAAAGCCAAGGCCTCGTCCTCTGCCGACGAGATCACCGAGAAGTACGGGCTGGAGTTTGGCCTCTGGAAGGTGAGCCGCTAGCTGCCGCACCTGGAGCTACACTCCCAAAGTCTGCCCTCGACTCATCTGCCCTCTTTGCTTGTCCGTGCAGATATTTAGCTCCAAGGAGGGCGGCGACGGAGCGGAGGGGGAAGGCAAAGAGAAGTCCAAAGCTGATCAGGCCAAGGAACTGCTGGCCAAGTACGGAGGAGCTTACTTGGCCACCTCAATCACCCTCTCCTTGATCTCCTTCTCTCTCTGCTACCTCCTCATCGGTGCCGGAATCGATGTACAGGCGCTGCTCAACAAGGTAAGACACGAGAACCTCTCGAAGCAAAGTTGCGCCTCGTAGCTAACAGAAGGTCCCACGGCCTGTGTGACAGATTGGCATTGCGACCGATGAGACTGGGGGCAAGGTCGGCACCTTTGCGCTGGCATATGCTGCACACAAGGCAGCATCTCCGATCAGGTTCCCGCCGACGGTCGCCCTCACCCCGATCGTCGCCGGTTGGATCGGGAAGAAGACCAACAAGTGACCGGATCTGCGAGCAGACCCTTCCACCTTATGCTTCTTCACTCTCTGTTGACTTGCCACTTCAAAATTGTCCATCCCATTCCATTCATCAGAGTTTTGTGAACTGGGTGGGTGGCTGTAGATTTGTCAGTCATGTAGTAGCTACTATTATACACGAATGAAACACTGGCTTGCTGGAAAACTAGAATTGTCTTGTGCAAATCCTCGGGGTTTTGAGAATCTTGGTCTTACCACAGAGGAAGGAGATGGATCTGTAACACAAACACCATATTCTATATTGTCCACAGCCCATGTTTACCAACCTTATTCATCCATGTATATTATATTTATGAGCTACTCGAATTCAGCAGCCACCTAAAACAGTGGACAAGTTGTTTATCTTGTTATGCCTCAGCCTTTCCCACACCAAGATCGAAGCACCCCCTAAATTCTCATGCAAGAATACATGGGTTTTAAATCTAATTCATTGTGAAAAGCTTTGAAAGCTATGTAGATGAGTACATGATCTTAAGAATTTACATATTTTGAAACTAGTTTATTTCACATGTCTTTAGATGCTCCCCTATCGATTGCAAAGTCATTTGAATTTATAAGAGTTAGATCTTTGAAGGATGTCAATGATTCATCAAGTCTCAATGTGTAGATGTCCATTGGATCAAATGTCGCAATGGCATAACCACGCGACAAGCTGCTACTTATTGACGAGGTGCATCTGTCATACATATAAGCACAATGCGGATACTGGTCAAATCAACATTATTACTTGTTGATGATGTCAAATTTGGATCGTCCATTTGTGGAAGAAGACCATTTGAGCCTATCACCACAGCAACATATTCTTCAAGTTTGCGGCGAGGCAGAGGGATACAGGTCATGACCACCAATCATCCCTCCCTCGGGTACTGCTCAGAATTTTGTGATGGAGAAGCCCCACACACCAGGAAACTTGATGAAGTCTATTGCTAATTCATAGTTGGCAATTCGTATCAGCTTATACCGGGCGATCATTAAGCTAATGTAAATGATCTGGAACTCACTCCCTCTGGTCAGCCAACATAGGTAAGGGTAGAAAGGAAGGATCCTTCTCTTGAGGGCCGTAGCAGAGAGCAGAATCACTAGGCAGATGAGGATGGTGAGCCACATGTAGTGATCCGCAATCAGCACACACACACCACTGACGAATGCTGCCTTGAACCCTATGAACGCGACCTGCACTAGTATTTCGGATAGAGTAAGACTGTAGACCTGGGTAACAGGAGTTCCTACCCGCACATAGATGACGAGGAAGGGAACACAAATGGAGGATATCATGGCCAGGGCATCAGATATCAGAAACACCACAAAGGCAATCCCCCTTATACACCTGTAGATGCTCTCATCATCGCTGCGATCCCTCTCAAAACTCCCTGATAAGGTGAATGCTGCAGTGAAGGTGACGGTGGTAATAAGCGCTGCCACGACGGGTAGACTATCGGCGATCTCTTTATAGTTCTTCTCTTCGACTTTGCTCTTTTGGTCTACGGTATGCTTACTGTCGGCTATTTCTTTTTGATTCTTCTCTTCAACCGTGCCCTTTTGGTCTACCGGATGTACCATATCCTCAAGGAGCTGCGGGTCACTGAATTGCGCACCCTTATTCGTCAAATCAATCACTACCTTGAACTGCAAAAACAAGTAGAACCTGTTGGATCATTTAGACGGACACCAAGAACAGGGGTGAAGGGTTGAAAGTACGTACCATTTTGATTTCCAGGCGGTTCCTTGTGTTGGATAGAGCGACATCAAGAGCGGTTTGGCCGCGGTTGTTGGTTGCACTAAGCTTGACGCTTGGACTGGACGACAACATTTGTATGATGGGCATGTCTCGAGATATTATAGCTCGATGCAGGGGAGTGTTCCCATCCGAATCCGGCTCGTTCAAGAGATCAGTGAGACTAGGTGATGTTGCCACAAATCGGACCACTTGTTCTCTTCGTTTGCTGATGGCTACGTGGAAGAAGTTGCCGCCCTCCCCGTCCCTCACCTCCGTACAACCGTGGCATGTTTCGATGAGATGTTTGATCACGTTCACATGCCCGAAGCTTGCAGCGACATGGATTGCAGAGGCGCCACCATTGTCTCGCAAATACGCAGTAGATTCATCATTTTGTAGCAGAAGTCTCACCATTTCGAGGTCTCCGCGGGCGGCTGCAAAGTGGAGAGGTACGAGTCCGGCGGCATCGGCCTTTCGGGTTAAACTGGCCCTCTGCTGCAGCAACATCCTTGTGATTTCCACAGCTGATAAATCGGAAGACGTTGGAAAAGGTTGTGGGATCCACCAATAAACTAAAAGCTTATATTAAACATGACTATTTATAATCTTTTAGAAGATTCCATCTTATTTCTTTTCTGAGTTCCGTGTATATAAATAAAGCATGCGCCGTAAACTCAGGATCTTGACTCCAATTATGAAATGAAGTGTGACTAAGACTCCTAAATCAAAATCCTATATATTTAATATTTCAAGAAACCCAATATAAAAAATATATTGTCAAACCTTTCTTTTGAAATAAACGTAATTAATTATACACTAAGGAAACTACTATTGGAACAATCTACTGTTCTAAGTCATAAAAAGTTGATCCAGCATGCAAAACACAGGCACTATGAGAGAGAGTCTTAATTGAAACAGATGGATAGTTCTATGTCTATAAGATTTAACAGTACAATTTGACACAGAGGGTTCGTGTGATCGATCACTTACGGGAGCTCCTGAGCACGGCTGAGTGCAAAGCTGTCCGCCCATTAGGTCCGTCGCATGACGCCTCCGTCGCCGCCAGCAAACGCCGCACGATCGACGCTGACCCGCTTTCCACCGCCATATAGAGGGGCGACACGCCGTTGACGTTGTTGGTCGCCGCCGATTCGCCCGGAGCCCTCGCCATCAGTTGCTCGACGAAGGAATCGTGGCCGTTCCGTGCCGCCTCGTGCAAGGCTGTGTTACCAACGTTGTTTACCATGTAGGGCAGCCGACGTTCAGGATCGCCCCGACCGGGAGGGTGAGGGATGAAGACATCCACCATGGTCGTGTGGCCGGCTCTGGCAGCGCAGTGCAACGGAGTGTCTCCTTGTCGGTTTTGGATCGTGAGGAGGAAGGGCTGCCGGCTGAGGGCTCTGGTGGCGAAGTCAGTGTGTCCTAGCTTGGCTGCAATGTGAAGCACGGTGTTCCTTTCGGCCGTGACTTGAAGGAGGGAGTCGTTCCCTCCGAGTACGCTCATGTCGCCCGTCCTCGCTGCCACCAACAATTCATGGCTCATCGGAGTAGCGAATAAGCCAGGGAGTGGTTCCATGGCCTCCTCCTCTCCTTGTCGAGATACTCTTTAACTATTATAAAGTAACCCAAGACGATATGCCGTCGATAAGAATGCGTTTGTGTGATATGGTTCTAACTCATTCGATGTTGATGTCAGTGTGTCTCTAAACAGTGCGATAATGAATTAAACTGAAACTTGGTAGTTGGTAATCTTTGACCCATTCTCCAAAACATGTCTGAACAGAGTCAATGTAAAACCAGCCGACTCCCAAGTCTTTCTTATTGTGGATGACAGTAGCTAACACATGATCAAGCCATGAGATGGTTTGGATGGGAAGTCCCCATCGATCGTCCATCATCTGCATAGAATAGAATAGAACAGCAGCACATACATCCCGTTCCAGTGGGAGTTTCTGATTTCTGATATCTTATGACAGTAATTAACGCATGATCAATGCATCTCTCTCATCCAGCGAAAGTCTTTCTGATTTCTGTGATGCTTGCATATTTAGTCACATTGATTTCAGTAGTGCCACAATAATACCTGCCTTCTCCTCTCACACAAACCACACTACTGTTTTATGAAAAATGATACTTATAACCATGCTTTTCTATATACCAACATGCAAATGTAGTCTCTTGATGTTAAGTTAGCACACATTGCTAAAATCAAAGTACATCTTGATTGTCACATCAGTTCCTCCCTCTACTCTTCTAATCTGTGATGCGACCATATTAACTACCCTCTTTAGTTATTCTTCGTTTTTGAGTTCAATTAATTCTTCTCCTTCTACTCCTTTGAAATAGACCCTATGGCCGGTGGCCTACTAGATCTCGCTCGAGCCCCAATTTCATCTTTATTCGCTTTCTTTTCGGCATTGGTAGATGAAACCAACATATTAGATGAGAAGAAAAGAAAAAAGACTTGCATGATAAAAGAAGTCACGTCAATATAAATGAATGCATTTGACCAAATTTCAAAGTAAACCACATAAGTTAGCCACAGATAGTAGCTAGCTAGGGGCCTCGCAATCAAGTTGACCAACTCAACTATCGTGAATCGGAACATCTAACTCGGATAACCAACTCAAATCCTATCTCATTCTAATCTAATCATAGTATAAATTACTCAGTGGTAGAAGAACGATACTGTGCTGGTTGAAGTTGCAGCCATATATAAATAAAGAACCCACTGGCCGTCTTTGAGCTGTTCATCGAAAGGTTTTATGTTGTTAGAATGACAGGACATACTCGACACATCAAATACAATTTGATGCGTCAACTGCTGCCGTAATCAGATGGTTCTTTCTGAATAGTTAAATGAAATATTAATAATTCTGTCTCTATCTGCTCTAATCGTAGTATAAAATATTCCAAGGTAAGAGAACGTATGGATGACAGAGCACTGCAGTCATATAAACATAAAGATTTCAGATGTTTGAATCCTTGTAGCCACTCCGGCAAACAGTCCAAATTGTCGCATCCGTTGATCGTCAAGCTTCTGAGTTTAACACATCGTTCCATGTCCTGTGGCAAACACCTCATCTCCTGGCATCCAACTATCGCCAAGTTCTTTATTGGGAGGTTTTGCCAACCCTCGAATTCAGATGTCTGCAGCATTTTATTGTTCAACCAAATACTCAACGTTGAGACCTCAAGATCCACCTCTAAAGCTTTGAATTTTGGACATTGGATCAGTGTCAATCGACGGAGTTTCGGGAACAAAAATTCTTTTTTTCTCTCCACCTTTAGCCATTTTTCTAGTGCAAGCATATGAGACAATGTGAATCTTTTCAACTCCGGTAATATCCCATTATTACCATAAAATGCTTCATCCACAACATCGATTAAATCCATACCACTTATCTCAACAATCTTAAGATCGAGTAGTCCTCCGAGTGATGGTAGCTTTTTACATCTCTTAAGATTGATTAGTTTGATCTCTTTCAACTTATGGAGATAGTTAAACTCCTCTTTTATCCATACAGAAAATTCTTCACCAACATATAAAATAATTTCTAATTTTTTCAAGTTTGGATTGGGTTGGAGACCTTCAACTAATTACAGCGAAACCAATTATGAAGTTATCATATTTTTCCTATTTATCCATTTCCAATGTAACTTCAAATACATGAGCTACGGAAGTATATCATGCAAGCTTAAAGGAGTCAAAGCATCTTCACACTTGTTCGAGGTTTTGTAGTATAATTCTTTTAGATTCGTTAACTATTTCAATTTTGAGAAGGCATTTCCAAGATCACCAATTATAATATGTCCAGACAACTTGGAGAAGACATTTCCAAGGTTACTCGTCTAACTTATTCCATGTGGTATTTGATTCAATGAACATTTATATACATTAAGATTTGTCAGTTTATTTTATGTTATAAGAGAATCAACCAGCGGTACAATAATAATTGTGTCATCGTAGGTGGCATGTGATGAAGAAAAATTAAAGCTGTGTCCTGGTTGTGCATCATTTCCTCCCACCGACGCATAATTAGAGCATAAATTTATTGCTGCCATCGATTCATTTCAGTGTATTTGAATATGGAGCCAAAATCCTTCACCTTCGTGGGAGACCAATCATATAAATAATAGTTTCTCTTATAGGATAGAATTATCTCGTTTGCTTGCTCGTGTTGATCAGGCCGGATGAGTGCTTGTCTCATGCACAATTTTACCCACTCATCCTCCGATAGGCTGCTGAATTGCCTCATTCGGACGGAGGACCCCAATATATCCAGAATAAAAAACAAGTCAGGAATGACCACCACGGTACCCCCGGTGCGCCGACGAGCAATAGAAAGTTCTCCAATTGGAGCCACTTATCCTTGTCCTCCTCCCCTATGTTGAGATCATCCAGAACGAGGAAGTGTTTGCTTCCATGGATTCCAGAATAGCCAGATGTCATCGCTTGGCTCCCCGGTCATTGAACTCGTGAATTCTCTCAGAGATTCAATGTTTGGGACATCCACCCGGATAAGATATATATAATATAATTAATTAAATTCTAATAAAATATTTTGGTTAATAGAAAAAAAAATCTACTTAAAGTAGGATTTCTTAGAAGATAATCTTGATAGGAGGAAATCTCATAATTATTTATCCTAGATCCTCTACTCTCGCCTATAAATATATTAGATCTCTAGGGACTAAAGAGAGAACATCTCACAGATGTTATAGTTGAGGGATTACAAGTCTTTCCCCAACTCTTCTTCTAAACCATCAATCTATATGATCTTGTGAAAGGATAAGAAAAGATGAGAAGGATCTAGTTCTTCTTGCAGATTGACAGCGATATTAGATTAAAGACGGTACCTTGCAGATCAAACAGAGATATCTTTTCAGATGATATTAAAAGGTATGCATCGTTAAGCTAGATCTACATAAAAGATTATTTTTGCATCTAATTTAACATGTTATAGTTTTTTATGCTTACATCCACTTGAGTGGCTTCGTTAGTTTCCATGTGAGTGCCTATTCATTTCTTCAAAACGGTCACATATTATTGTTGCCCATTATATAGTGTTGGTTTTGTCATACTATCTTACTATAGCAATTCAATATTTGCTTTATCCACTCTGTTATGTTCTTAGCTAGAATTGCTTAAAGCGAAAAAAAAATGTTAAAAAGGTGAATATAGGGGTAATTTACCATTGTTACCTACAAAAAAAGGCATGATACTCGACATTCAAAGTAACACAAAACAATTGACCTTTATTAGACTTGAAAGGGTATCAAAAATAGGCTGAGAATGCACACAAAGGAGGTTCCGAAGATAGATGTAGGCCTAATATTTACCTAGTATTTTTGTCGAACAGAAAGCGGATATACTAAAGATGTTGCATCACCCCATAGACACCTACTCAAAGCCCCATCCTCCCCAATACAACCTGTTTTTGCCGAACATTTCATATCACTAGGCCATCAACCAAAAATCAACTCCTAGCACGTGAGAACAGTATAGTTTTAGGTCATTTTCCCCTTTGGTGCCGCACAACCAAAAATATTTTTAAGTTTTACCTGATAAAAACATAAAATAAAAACACTGATAATAAACAAAAATGGGGTTAACTATAGTGTTTTCTGCCTTGTACAAGCTGCCCTAAAGAAAACATCAAAAATATGAAGAAAACAACATAAAACAAGAATTGAAAATCATCATGGACAAGTGATGAATACCTTGTTTGCATCATTCCATGACACTGACCGGTTGACACATGATTATAATGGTCTAAAAACTCAGGAGTTTCCCAAGTATGTTCCATGAAACTTTTTCTAATATTATTTAAGTTATTGGTTGAATCCTTCTAGCCCAAAATAGACTTAAGCATCAAAAGAGTATTTATTGAGAATGCCCCTAATATAGTTTTATAAAGTTTGTCCCAACAGAGTCAGTAGGGTTCATCAGCATCTTCGAAATTGATAGGATTCGACCTCATCAGGATCGAATGGGTTTGGCACATTCAAGGTTGAACGAGTGTGGTGTCGATCGAGATAAATTATGATAAATGTAAAATGAACCTCGGATAGCTTTGAATATATAGCCAACAAATTATGACAAATGTACAACCGAGTTCTATGCTAATAACATATAAGTGATGAAATAAATTAGATGCTTGATCCAAATTTTAGCTATATACCCTCAATCTTTGTTTTGTATAGACTATCAGAAATTTAGGGTTTTGTATAGACTATCAGAAATTTTAGCTATATACCCTCATCAAAGATCAACATGGTTTTGTATAGACTATCAGAAATTTTAGTTCGGTTCTAGAATTTGAAATCAATCAATTAATTTCGTTAACGAATCTCAAACCTGTCTATTTTTTTTAAGATATTTGATGAGAAGATATTGTTAAGAAGAGATTTGTAGTTAAAGACCTTATGTGTTTCTTGTTGATAGAACGGGACTTGTAATGAAAAGAAAAGATTTAAATTTGACTAACATTTTGAGAAAGAGATTATGATGCAAGAATGAAGAAAAAAAAAGTTGAAAATAGAACATTTTATTTCCTTTACATTTTTTTTACGTATATTAAATTAGTATGAGAAATTTAGGGTGCACCCTTTGAGAAATATGAAAAAGGGCGCATCTCCCAAGAAAAGTCTAGAAATTCACCCAAATTTATTCTCAGCAAGTGTTCCGAAGGAGAAAAAAAAATATAATATACTCAAATTCTTGAGTTTTGAACTGTTCTTATTTGAATAGTCACAATCATATTCATGAAAATATAAAAGATCAAAAAGGAGTGGTAAAAAAATAAAAAAATCTTATAAATTATATTAAAAATGCATTTATCATAATTTTATTATATTATTAAAAAGTACATTATATATTATTACACAGATTAGATAAGAAATATTGTATATTATATAAGATTTGGTTTAACATAATGTATTGAGTGAGAATATTTTCAAGAAATGATGCCAATGTTAATATTTTCTTAAATCGGATTTGGAAGGGATAGTTAGTTCACATTGCAATTAATTTAGTGATCAGCAAGGGAAGAGTGGCATTCCTTATCAGGATCTCTTATCCACGTTTAGAGTTGGAAATAACAATACCAAGCAAGAGCCGTAAGCTCTTGAAACAAGCCCATGTCTCGAGATGTGTTATTTTCAGGCCAAAGTTCTTCAATAACATTAACAACCTGTTTTTTGTTTTTTTATTTCTAAAGCAAAACATGTATAATTAATATTAAAAACATATATAATTTCCAAATCAAAACATGAAGCTCCGAAGAAAACCCCTCGACCCAAAAATTTCCATAGCCACTAACTTTAGCGTCATTCGCTAGTCAATTAGTTGTTCGATTTTGCTCCATAGACGAACGAGAGATACTTTAGCTTCCTTAAACGATAGCATATATACATCGATATCGTGCACCTCATTATGAATAAAGGGTTAAGTTTGTGCATCAAAATTCGGACCCCACTTGAATATGGAGCTTCTTGATCCGTAAACCAGAAAATTATTTGAAGGGGCAGGCACTTGTATTCTATGATGACAATAGATGGAGTCCGACAAACAAGAAAATTTTGAATAGAGCATTTTTTTCTGGAGCCACCGTTCCATCACTATCACAAATATGAAGTCTTACATGATGAAGTCGTGTGAATTTATAAGAGTTAGATCTTATGAATTTATAAGAGCACTTTATTCTTTAGATGCTCTCCTATCGATCGTAAAGTCTTATGAATTTATAAGAGTTAGATCTTGAAGGATGTCAATGATTCGTCAAGTCTATAGATGTCCATTGGCTTAAATGTTACAGGGAATACGAGCATATGCTCCCCTATCGATTGCAAAGTCTTGTGAATTTATAAGAGTTAGATCTTGAAGGATGTCAATGATTCGTTAAGTCTATATATATCCGTTGACTTAAATGTCGCAGGGAATAGAGAAGATGAGTAACCTCCTAACATTGTCTTAGTTGACAGTCGAAACACAGAGTTATAGTCATTAAGAGATTGTCTTAGTTGACAGTCGAAACACAGAGTTATAGTCATTAAGAGATTAAAAAGAATGACATCTACAAAACCTCCCTACTCCTTTAAAGTTGCACAACTTACTTATTTATTGCATTCGAAATGGTTAAATATGACATTTGAATTATAAATATTTGAAGGTCTCCAACCCAACACAAAATTAAAAAAAATTAGAAATCATTTCATATGCTGACAAGAGATTCCCAATATGAATAAAAGCGGTTTTTTGATGTCTCTATAATCTGAAAGTGATCAAACTCAACAGAAACTAATTGGTCTCGATATTATTGAGATAAGTGTTGGCATAATCATGCGACAAGTTGCTACTTATTGATGAGGTGCATCTGTCATACATATAAGCACATTGCGGATAATGGTCAAATTAACATTGTCACTTGTTGACGAGGTCAAATTTGGATCGTCCATCTGTGGAAGAAGACCATTCGAGCCTATCTATCACCACAGCAACATATTCTTCAAGTTTGCGGCGAGGCAGTGGGATACAGGTAATGACCACCAATCATCCCTCCCTCGGGTACTGCTCAGAATTTTGTGATGGAGAAGCCCCACACACCAGGAAACTTGATGAAGTCTATTGCTAATTCATAGTTGGCAATTCGTATCATCTTATGCCGGGCGATCATTAAGCTAATGTAAATGATCTGGAACTCACTCCCTCTGGTCAGCCAACATAGGTAAGGGTAGAAAGGAAGGATCTTTCTCTTGAGGGCCATAGCAGAGAGCAGAATCACGAGGCAGATGAGGATGGTGAGCCACATGTAGTGATCCGCAATCAGCACACACACACCACTGGCGAATGCTGCCTTGAACCCTATGAACGCGACCTGCAGTAGTATTTCGGATAGAGTAAGACTGTAGACCTGGGTAACAGGAGTTCCTACCCGCACATAGATGACGAGGAAGGGAACACAAATGGAGGATATCATGGCCAGGGCATCAGATATCAGAAACACCACAAAGGCAATCCCCCTTATACGCCTGTAGATGCTCTCATCATCGCTGCGATCCCTCTCAAAACTCCCTGATAAGGTGAATGCTGCAGTGAAGGTGACGGTGGTAATAAGCGCTGCCACGACGGGTAGACTATCGGCGATCTCTTTATAGTTCTTCTCTTCGACTTTGCTCTTTTGGTCTACCGTATGCACTGTATGCTTACTGTCGGCTATTTCTTTTTGATTCTTCTCTTCAACCGTGCCCTTTTGGTCCACCGGATGGACCATGTCCTGAAGGAGCTGCGGGTCACTGAATCGCGCACCCTTATTCGTCAAATCAATCACTACCTTGAACTGCAAAAACAAGTAGAACCTGTTAGATCATTTAGACGGACACCAAGAACAGGAGTGAAGGGTTTAAAGTACGTACCATTTTGATTACCAGGCGGTTCCTTGTGTTGGATAGAGCGACATCAAGAGCGGTTTGACCGCGGTTGTTGGTTGCACTAAGCTTGACTCTTGGACTGGACGACAACATTTGTATGATGGCCATGTCTCGAGATATTATAGCTCGATGCAGGGGAGTGTTCCCATCCGAATCCGGCTCGTTCAAGAGATCAGTGAGACGAGGTGATGTAGCCACAAATCGGACCACTTGTTCTCTTCGTTTGCTGATGGCTACGTGGAAGAAGTTGCTGCCCTCCCCGTCCCTCACCTCCGTACAACCGGAGCATGTTTCGATGAGATGTTTGATCACGTTCACATGCCCGAAGCTTGCAGCGACATGGATTGCAGAGGCGCCACCATTGTCTCGCACATACGCGGTAGATGGATCATTTTGTAGCAGAAGTCTCACCATTTCAAGGTCTCCGCGGGCGGCTGCAAAGTGGAGAGGTACGAGTCCGGCGGCATCGGCTTTTCGGGTTAAACTGGCCCTCTGCTGCAGCAACATCCTTGTGATTTCCACAGCTGATAAATCGGAAGACGTTGGAAAAGGTTGTGGGATCCACCAATAAACTAAAAGCTTATATTAAACATGAGTATTTATAATCTTTTAGAAGATTCAATCTTATTTCCTTTCTGAATTACGTATGACTAAGACTCTTAAATCAAAATCTTATTAATTTAATATTTCAAGAAACCCATATAAAAAATATATTGTCAAACCTTTCGTTTGAAATAAACGAAATTAATTATACACTAAGGAAACTACTATTGGAACAATCTACTGTTCTAATTCATAAGAGAGAGTCAGTCTTAATTGAAACAGATGGATATTTCTATGTCTATAAGATTTAACAGTACAATTTGACACAGAGGGTTCGTGTGATCGATCGACTTACGGTGGCTCCTGAGGACGGCTGAGTGCAAAGCCGTCCGCCCATTGGGTCCGTCGCATGACGCCTCCGTCGCCGCCAGCAAACGCCGCACGATCGACGCTGACCCGCTTTCCACCGCCATATAGAGGGGCGACACGCCGTTGACGTTGTTGGTCACCGCCGATACGCCCGGAGCCTTCGCCATCAGTTCCTCGACGAAGGAATCGTGGCCGTTCAGTGCCGCCTCGTGCAAGGCTGTGTTACCAACGTTGTTTACCATGTAGGGCAGCCGACGTTCAGGATCGCCCCGACGGGGAGGGTGAGGGATGAAGACATCCACCATGGGCGTGTGGCCGGCTCTGGCAGCGCAGTGCATCGGAGTGTCTCCTTGTCCGTTTTGGATCATGAGGAGGAAGGGCTGCCGGTTGAGGACTCCGGTGGCGAAGTCAGTGTGTCCTAGCTTGGCTGCAATGTGAAGCACGGTGTTCCTTTCGGCCGTGACTTGAAGGAGGGAGTCGTTGCCTCCGAGTACGCTCATGTCGCCCGTCCTCGCTGCCACCAACAATTCATGGCTCATCGGAGTAGCAAATAAGCCAGGGAGTGGTTCCATGGCCTCCTCCTCTCCTTGTCGAGATACTCTTTAACTATTATAAAGTAACCCAAGACGATATGCCGTCGATAAGAATGCGTTTGTGTGATATGGTTCTAACTCATTCGATGTTAATGTCAGTGTGTCTCTAAACAGTGCGATAAAGAATTAAACTGAAACTTGGTAGTTGGTAATCTTTGACCCATTCTCCAAAACATGTCTGAACAGAGTCAATGTAAAACCAGCCGACTCCCAAGTCTTTCTTATTGTGGATGACAGTAGCCAACACATGATCAAGCCATGAGATGGTTTGGATGGGAAGTCCCCATCGATCGTCCATCATCTGCATAGAATAGAATAGAACAGCGGCACAGACATCCCGTTCCAGTGGGAGTTTCTGATTTCTTATGACAGTGCCACAATACCTGCCTTCTCCTCTCACACAAACCACACTACTGTTTTGTGAAAAATGATACTTATAACCATGCTTTTCTATATACAAACAAGCAAATGTAGTCTCTTGATGTTAAGTTAGCACACATTGCTAAGATTGCCCAAATCGAAGTACATCTTGATTGTCACATCCGTTCCTCCCTCTACTCTTCTAATCTGTTATGCGACCATATTAACTGCCCTCTTTAGTTATTCTTCGTTTTTGAGTTCAATTAATTCTTCTCCTTCTAATCCTTTGAAATAGTCCCTACGGTCGGTAGCCTAATAGATCTCGCTCGAGCCCCAATTTCATCTTTGTTCGCTTTCTTTTCGGCATTGGTAGATGAAACCAACATATTAGATGAGAAGAAAAAAAAAAGACTTGCATGATAAAAGAAGTCACGTCAATATAAATGAATGCATTTGACCAAATTTCAAAGTAAACCACATAAGTTAGCCACAGATATTAGCTAGCTAGGAGCCTCGCAATTAAGTTGACCAACTCAACTATCGTGAATCGGAACATCTGACTCGGATAACCAACTCAAATCCTATCTCAATCTCATTCTAATCTAATCATAGTATAAATTACTCAGTGGTAGAAGAACAATACTGTGCTGGTTGAAGTTGCAGCCATATATAAATAAAGAACCCACTGGCCGTCTTTGAGCTGTTCATCGAAAGGTTTTATGTTGTTAGAATGGCAGGACATACTCGACACATCAAATACAATTTGATGCGTCAACTGCTGACGGAATCAGACGGTGCTTTCTGAATAGTTAAATGAAATATTAATAATTCTGTCTCAATCTGCTCTAATCGTAGTATAAAATATTCCAAGGTAAGAGAACGTACTCTACTTCGCTGGTTAAAGTCGCAGCTTTGGACAACCTTTAATAAAGTCGACGAAGTTTCGGGAACAAAAATTCTTTTTTTCTCTCCACCTTTAGCCATTTTTCTAGTGCAAGCATATGAGACAATATGAGTCTTTTCAACTCCGGAAATATCCCATTATTACCATAAAATGCTTCGTCCACAACATTGATTAAATCCATACCACTTATCTCAACAATCTCAAGATCGAGTAGTCCTCCGAGTGATGGTAGCTTTTTACATCTCTTAAGATTGATTAGTTTGATCTCTTTCAACTTGTGGAGATAGTTAAACCCCTCTTTTATCTATACAGGGAATTCTTCACCAACATATAAAATAATCTCTAATTTTTTCAAGTTTGGATTGGGTTGGAGGCCTTCAAGTAATTGTAGCGAAACTAATTCTGAAGTTATCATATTTTCCCTATTTACCCATTTCTAATGTAACTTCAAATACATGAGTTACGGAAGTATATCATGCAACTTTAAATAAGTCAAAGTATCTTCTGAATTTGACACTTGTTCGAGGTTTTATAACTATAATTCATTTAGATTCATCAACGATTCCAACTTTAAGAAGGCATTTCCAAGATCACCAACTACGATATGTCCAGACAACTTCAGGAGATTACTCATCTGACTTATTCCGTATGATATTTGATTCAATGGACATCTATATACATTAAGATTTGTCAGCTTTTTCATATTATTCAAACCCTCAGGCAATTCGATAAGCCATTGTTAACTTTTCAGGTCTAACTCTTGCAGATTTATAAGGTTGGTGACCGAAATAGGTTGCCTCTGAAGTTTTAAAACATGCAAGTTCTCAAGATTATTTATTCGCTTCGGTAGTTTCTAAAGCTTTTCATAATAAACTAGATTTAATACTCATAAATTTCTGAGCTTGCATAAGGATTTAGTAAGTGCTTGGATCTCGGACCGGGAAAGATTGAGGTATCTCAAGATAAGCAACTTGCCCACCGAATTAGGTAGCTGTTCGACTTTGATGACTCGTAAATATAATACACATAGATGTATAAGATTGGTAAACATACCTTCCGGAATTTGTAGGATATGATATTTATATTAAAGATCCATCTCTTGTTGTAATAGCAAACCTCTCAACTGATTTATCCCATCGAATAAGGTCGTCGGAAATGTGATCGTATTGGAATCGATGAACATACGTAAATAAAGATATTGTCGTGGTATTGTTGAATTTGATAAAACCCCCCTCAAGTCATAGCAATGTTTTGTGGTAATAAATAAAAAATACATATCATCATAGACGTGGAACTCCAGATTTGCCTTTAATGGTGCCTTCGACGTCTGAATACGGCAGAAAGCCTTCAGCAGCTAAGACGTGCAAGAAGTCCTCATAATTGGTCTTGCCATCTTGTACGATCAACCAGCGGTACAACACCAATCGTGTCATCGTAGGTGTCATGTAATGAAGAAAAATTAAAGTCGTATCCTGGTTGTGCATCGCTTTCACCCACTGACGCATAATTAGAGCATAAATTTGTTGTTGCCATCGATTCATTTCAGTATATCTGAATACGGAGCCAAAAATCTTCGCCTCCGTGGGAGACCAATCATTTAAATAATAAAATAATAGTTTCTCTTACAGGATTGAATTATGGCGTTTGCTTGCTCGTGTTGATCAGGCCGGATGAGTGCTTGTCTCATGCACAATTTTGCCCACTCATCCTCCGATAGGCCGCTGAATTGCCACGTTCGGACGGACGACCCCAATATATCCAGAATAAAAAACAAGTTAGGAATGACCACCGCGGTAATCCCCGATGCGCCGACGAGCAATAGAAAGTTCTCCAATTGGAGCCACTTATCCTTGTCCTCCTCCCCTATGTTGAGATCATCCAGAACGAGGAAGTATTTGCTTACATGGATTCCATCGTAGAATAGTCAAACGTCATCGCATGGTTCCCCGGTTATTGAACTCATGAATTCTCTCGTAGATTTAATGTTAGGGACATCCACCCTTTATAACGGGATAAGATATATATAATATAACTAATTGAATTCTATGAAATATTTTGGTCAATAGAAAAGAAATCCACTTAAAATAGGATTCCTTAGGAGATAACTTTTTGATGGGAGGAAATCTCTAAATTATTTATCTTAGACTCTCTGCTCTCGCCTATAAATAGATAAGACTTCTAGGGACTAAAGAGAGAATATCTCATAGAGGTTATAGTTGAGGGATTATAGTATTCCCCCCAACTCTTCTCCTTAAACCATCAATCTAGGTTGTCCTGTGACAGAATGATCAAACATAGATCTCTTTTCAGATGGCATCAAAAGGTACGCATTGTTAAACTAGATCTAAGTATTTGATTTCAATTCTGGTATAATAGATTATTTTTATATTTAATTCAGCATATTATAGTTTTTTTATGTTTACATCAACTTGAGTGGCTTTACTAGTTTGCATGTGAGTGCCCATTCATTTTTTTCAAAACAGTCACATATTATTGTTGCCCATTATATATAGTAATGTTAATTTTATCATATTATCTTGCTACGGCAATTCAATATTTGCTTTATCCACTCTAATACTACTCTGTTATGTCCTTAGCTAGAATTGCTTAAGGCGTATGGTATCCAAATGATGAGTCCGAAAGGGTTAACCTAGACCTTAACTTTATGCAGTATATAAAGAACCTGTATAATGAAAAAAAATGTTAAAAAGGTGAATGTAGGGGTAATTTATCATTGTTGCATAAAAAAGGGCAAGATAATCGACATTCAAAGTAACACAAAGTAATTGGTGTTTATTAGACTCGAAAGGGTCTCAAAAATAGGCAGAACGAGTGCACACAAAGGAGATTCCGAAGGTAGATGTAGGCCTAATATTTGCCACTTGGGGGGGGGGGGGTTCTAAAGTGCTGAGACAACTGATATTTCATATCGCTAGGCCATCAACCAAAAATCAACTGACATTTCATATCGTTAGACCATCAACCAAAAATCAACTCCTAGCACGTGAGAACAATATAGTTTTAGGTCATTTTCCGCTTTGGTGCCGCACAACCAAAAATATTTTTAAGTTTTACATGATAAAAACATAAAATAAAAACACTGATAATAAACAAAAAAGGGGTTGAGTATAGTGTTTTATGTCTCGTACAGGTTGTCCTAAAGAAAACATCGAAAATACGAAGAAAACAACATAAAACAAGAATTGAAAATTATCATGGACAAATGATGAATACCTTGTCATGTGACTGACACATGATTGACACATCAACAACCACTTTTATGTATCGATCATGATTATAATGGTATAAAAAATCCATTATAAAGGAGTTTCCCAAGTATTTTCATGAAACTTTTTTCAATATTATTAAAGTTATTGGTTGAATACTTCAAGTCCAAAATAAACTTAAGCATCAAAAAAACATTTATTGAGAATGCCCCTAAAATAGTTCTATGAAGAACAATATGGTTCAACCACTTCGAAATTGATAGGATTCAACCTCATCCGGATCCAATGGGTTTGGCACCTTCAAGGTTGAACGAGTGTGGTGTCGATTGAGACAAATTATGACAAATATAAAATGAACCTCGGGTAGCTTTGAATATGTAGCCAGACAAATTATGACAAATGTACAACCGAATTCTATGCTAATAACATATAAGTGATGAAATAAATTAGATGCTTGATCCAAAATTTTAGCTATAGACCCTCAATCTTTGTTTCCTACACTTATCTTGAATATATTCGATCTGATAATGACTTCCATAAACGTGGTTTTGTATAGACTAGCATAAATTTTAGTTCGATTCTAAAATTTGAAATCAATCAATTAATTTTAAGAAGAGATTTGTAATTAAAGACCTTTATGTGTTTCTTGTTGATAGGACGTGACTTGTTTGTAATGAAAAGAAAATATTTAAATTTGACTAACATTTTGAGAAAGAGATTATGATGCAAGAATGAAGAAAAAAAAAGTTGAAAATATAACATTTTCCTTCCTTTAAATTTTTTTACTTATATTAAATTAGTGTGAGAAAATTAGGGTGCACCCTTTGAGAAATATGAAAAAGGTCGCATCTCCCAAGAAAAGTCTAGAAATTCACCCAAATTTATTCTCAGCGAGTGTTCCAAAGGAGAAAAAAATATATAATATACTCAAATTCTTGAGTTTTGAACTGTTCTTATTTGAATAGTCACAATCATATTCATGAAAATATAAAAGATCAAAAAGGAGTGGTAAAAAAACAAAAAAATCTTATAAATTATATTAAAAATGCATTTATCATAATTTTATTATATTATTAAAAAGTACATTATATATTATTACACAGATTAGATAAGAAATATTGTATATTATATAAGATTTGGTTTAACATAATGTATTGAGTGAGAATATTTTCAAGAAATGATGCCAATGTTAATATTTTCTTAAATCGGATTTGGAAGGGATAGTTAGATCACATTGCAATTAATTTAGTGATCAGCAAGGGAAGAGTGTCATTCCTTATCAGGATCTCTTATCCACGTTTAGAGTTGGAAATAACAATACCAAGCAAGAGCCGTAAGCTCTTGAAACAAGCCCATGTCTCGAGATGTGTTATTTTCAGGCCGAAGTTCTTCGATAACATTAACAACCTGTTTTTTGTTTTTGAATTTCTAAAGAAAAACATGTATAATTAATATTAAAAACATATATAATTTCCAAATCAAAACATGAAGCTCCAAAGAAAACCCCTCGACCCAAAAATTTCCATAGCCACTTACTTTAGCGGCATTCGCTAGCATGATGAAGTCATTGTGAATTTATAAGACTTAGATCTTGTGAATTTATACAAGCACTTTATTCTTTAGATGCTTCCCTATCGATCGTAAAGTCTTGTGAATTTATAAGAGTTAGATATTGAAGGATGTCAATGATTCGTCAAGTCTATATATATCCATTGGCTTAAATGTGGAATACGAGCACTTTATTCTTTAGATGCTCCCCTATCGACTGCAAAGTTTTGTGAATTTATAAGAGTTAGATCTTGAAGGATGTCAATGATTCGTCAAGTCTATAGATGTCCATTGGCTTAAATGTCGCAGGGAATAGAGAAGATGGGTAACCTCCTAACATTGTCTTAGTTAACAGTCGAAACACTATCACAGAGTTGTAGTCATTAAGAGATTCAAAAGAACGGCATCTACAAAACCTCCCTACTCCTTTAAAGTTGCACAACTTACTTATGCATTGCATTCGAAATGGTTAAATATGACATTTGAATTGTAAGTATTTGGAGGTCTCCAACACAACCCAAAATTGAAAAAAATTAGAAATCATTTCATATGCTGACAAGAGATTCCCAATATGAATAAAAGCGATTTTTTGATGTCTCTATAATCTGAAAGTGATCAAACTCAACAGAAACTAATTGGTCTCGAGATTATTAAGATAAATGTTGGCATAACCATGCGACGAGTTGCTACTTATTGATGAGGTGCATCTGTCATACATATAAGCACATTGCGGATAATGGTCAAATTAACATTATTACTTGTTGATGAGGTCAAATTTGGATCGTCCATCTGTGGAAGAAAACCATTCGAGCCTATCTATCACCACAGCAACATATTCTTCAAGTTTGCAGCGAGGTAGAGTGATACAGGTCGTGACCACCAATCATCCCTCGCTCGGGTACTGCTCAGGATTTTGTGATGGAGAAGCCCCACACACCGGGAAACTTGATGAAGTCTACTGCTAATTCATAGTTGGCAATTCGTATCAGCCTATGCCGGGCGATCATTAATCTAGCGTAAATGATCTGGAACTCACTCCCTCTAGTCAACCGACATAGGTAAGGGTAGTAAGGAAGGATCCTTCTCTTGAGGATTGGAATAGAGAGCAGAATCACGAGCCAGATGAGGATGATGAGCCAGTGATCCGCAAGAAGCACACACACACCACTGGCGAATGCTACCGTGAACCCTATGAACGCAACCTGCAGTAATATTTCGGAAAGAGTAAGACAGTTGACCTGGGTAACAGGAGTTCCTACTCGCACAAAGATGACGAGGAAGGGAACACAAATGGCGGTTATCATGGCCAGGGCATCAAATATCAGAAACACCACGAAGGCAATCCCCCTTATACGCATGTAGATGCTGCCATAATCGCTGCGATCCATCTTAAAACTACTTGACAAGGTGAATGCTGCAGTGAAGGTGGCGGTGGTAATAAGCGCTGCCACGACGGGTAGACTATCGGCGATCTCTTTATAGTTCTTCTCTTCGACTTTGCTCGTTTGGTCTACCGTATGCACTGTATGCCTACTGTCGGCTATTTCTTTATGATTCTTCTCTTCGACCGTGCCCTTTTGGTCTGATGGACCATGTCCTGAAGGAGCTGCGGGTCACTGAATCGCGCACCCTTATTCGTCAAATCAATCACTACCTTGAACTGCAAAAACAAGTAGAACCTGTTAGATCATTTAGACGGACACCAGGAACAGGGGTGAAGGGTTGAAAGTACGTACCATTTTGATTCCCAGGCGGTTCCTTGTGTTGGATAGAGCGACATCAAGAGCGGATTGACCGCGGTTGTTGGTTGCACTAAGCTTGACGCTTGGACTGGACGACAACATTTGTATGATGGGCATGTCTCGAGATATTATAGCTCGATGCAGGGGAGTGTTCCCATCCGAATCCGGCTCGTTCAAGAGATCAGTGAGACGAGGTGATGTAGCCACAAATCGGACCACTTGTTCTCTTCGTTTGCTGATGGCTACGTGGAAGAAGTTGCTGCCCTCCCCGTCCCTCACCTCCGTACAACCGGAGCATGTTTCGATGAGATGTTTGATCACGTTCACATGCCCGAAGCTTGCAGCGACATGGATTGCAGAGGCGCCACCATTGTCTCGCAAATACGCAGTAGATGCATCATTTTGTAGCAGAAGTCTCACCATTTCGAGGTCTCCGCGGGCGGCTACAAAGTGGAGAGGTACGAGTCCGGCGGCATCGGCTTTTCGGGTTAAACTGGCCCTCTGCTGCAGCAACATCCTTGTGATTTCCACAGCTGATAAATCGGAAGACGTCGGAAAACGTTGTGGGATCCACCAATAAACTAAAAGCTTATATTAAACATGAGTATTTATAATCTTTTAGAAGATTCCATCTTATTTCTTTTCTGAATTACGTATGACTAAGACTCTTAAATCAAAATCTTATTAATTTAATATTTCAAGAAACCCATATAAAAAATTATATTGTCAAACCTTTCGTTTGAAATAAACGAAATTAATTATACACTAAGGAAACTACTATTGGAACAATCTACTGTTCTAATTCATAAGAGAGAGTCAGTCTTAATTGAAACAGATGGATAGTTCTATGTCTATAAGATTTAACAGTACAATTTGACACAGAGGGTTCGTGTGATCGATCGACTTACGGGAGCTCCTGAGCACGGCTGAGTGCAAAGCTGTCCGCCCATTAGGTCCGTCGCATGACGCCTCCGTCGCCGCCAGCAAACGCCGCACGATCGACGCTGACCCGCTTTCCACCGCCATATAGAGGGGCGACACGCCGTTGACGTTGTTGGTCACCGCCGATACGCCCGGAGCCTTCGTCATCAGTTCCTCGACGAAGGAATCGTGGCCGTTCAGTGCCGCCTCGTGCAAGGCTGTGTTACCAACGTTGTTTACCATGTAGGGCAGCCGACGTTCAGGATCGCCCCGACGGGGAGGGTGAGGGATGAAGACATCCACCATGGGCGTGTGGCCGGCTCTGGCAGCGCAGTGCAACGGAGTGTCTCCTTGTCGGTTTTGGATCGTGAGGAGGAAGGGCTGTCGGATGAGGGCTATGGAGGCGAAGTTAGTGTGTCCTAGCTTGGCCGCAATGTGAAGCACGGTGTTCCTTTCGGCCGTGACTTGAACGAGGGAGTCGTTCCCTCCGAGTACGCTGACGTCGCCTGTCCTCGCTGCCACCAACAATTCATGGCTCATTGGAGTAGAGAATAAGCAAGGGATTGGTTCCATGGCCGCCTCCTCTCCTTGTCGAGATACTCTTAAACTATTACACAGCAATCCAAGACGATATGCCGTCGATAAGAAGCGTTTGTGTGTTATGGGTCTAACTCATTTATTGTCGGTACGATATCGAATTAATCTGAAGCATGGTGGTTGGCACTCTTTGACCCATTCTCCAAAGCACGACTAAACAGAGTCAATGTAAAATCAGGTCTGAACTTGTCTTTTGACTAAGTCTAAAATATCTTTCAACCACGTGACTCTAAACGTTATAGAAGTTTTTGGAGGTTGAAAGAGATTTCTCGTCAAAATCTTGTTTTAAAAAAATCTTTTAAAAAATTTCTCATCAAAATTTAATTTGAACTAAATCATTATAAGATTATAATATTTTTTTAATAGAGTTGTTTAATGTCCTCGTCACCTATCACTATCTCCACCTTGTCACTAGGCCACGCTACCCTCTTGTTTCCTCTTTCTCCGTCAAAGTCGTTGTCGGGGGTGCGATCGCTCTATCACGAGACCCCATCACCTTTATTTTGCCTTTCTTCTTCCTTCACTCTTTTCTACCTTCTCCTCTCCTTTCATTCTTGCCTCCCTTATCCTCTTCCTCCAATCTCTTTTTATCCATCGTTAAGATCACCACCATCACTCGTCGACATTCAATGCCTCCACTCTTATCTATTTTTGCGATTACAAGCTCCATGGGAAACCTATGGTGTTAAGATCTGATGAAGAAAGGGACGGACAAAAAGAAAAGAGATATAGTGGGAGCAAGGGTGGCAAGATATCGAGGCAATGATCGATGGTGTGGGGGCTACGAATAATCTTATTTAAAAAAAATAAAAAAAATATCCTATGAGAATAAATAAAAAAAATAAGATCAGAATTTTTTTTATAAAAAGTTTATTTTATTTCGTACTATTCTTGCGTAGTAAGTCTACTAGATGGATCCAAATGTGTGGGAAGACCAAAGACCTGAGAATTGTGAAGTGAAAGATCCTAGTATTTTGTCACAGTGGATGGCTGATGGACTCCACAAAGTTGACTGCTTTCTGGATTCAGTTTCTCGGATGATGAGGTTGACCTTCGGGTCATGCCGACTGCAAGTCTTTGTTTTATTGTGGATGACAGTGACTAACACATGGTGAATCCATGAGATGGTTTGGATGGGAAGTCCCCATCGATCGACCATCACCTGCATAGAACAGAATAGAACAGGGGCACATACATCCCGTTCCAGTGGGAGTTTCGCCATTTCAAGGCCGCAAAAGCGGATGGCAGCGCTTCCTGCGGCGTCGGCTTTGCTGATCAATGCATCTCTCTCATCCAGCGAAAGTCTTTCTGATTTCTGTGATGCTTGCATATTTAGTCACATTGATTTCAGTAGTGCCACAATAATACCTGCCTTCTCCTCTCACACAAACCACACTACTGTTTTATGAAAAATGATACTTATAACCATGCTTTTCAATATACCAACATGCAAATGTAGTCTCTTGATGTTAAGTTAGCACACGTTGCTAAGATTGCCCAAATCAAAGTACAACTCGAATCCTATCTCAATCTAATCTAATCACAGTATAAATTTCTCGGTGGTAGAAGAACATACTGCGCTGGTTGAAGTTGCAGCTTTGGACGACCATTGACATCAATATCTAGCAGTCATCTAAGCTTCTGTGGCATGGATGATAGAGCTGTGCAGCCATGTATAAATAAAGAATTCAGACGTTTAAATCGCCGCAGCCACTCGCAAACAGTCCAAATTATCGCATCCAGTAATCAACAAGCAGCTGAGCATATCCCACTGCTTCATATGCTGTGGTAAGCACTTCATCTCTTGGCATCCAACTATCTCCAAGTTATATAGGTGTCCCAACCCTTGAATTCAGACATCCACAGCACCTCATTGTTCAACCAAATTCTCAATCTTGTAACCGTGAGGTCTACCTCTAAAGCTTTGAACTTTGGACATTCAATTATGTGGCAATCAACCATTCATTTCAACAATATATTCATTTCAAACTTACTCAAGATCTTATAGTCGCACAATCTCACCACAGATAACACAAGTCAGAATATTGCATGTGTAATGATAAATTTACAAATTATAAGAAGGGAAAAAAAAAAGCTCTCTGAAGACAAACAAGAATAGGCATTAAGATACGCAGACAATTGTGACAAACGCAATCTTCAATTCACTACCAAATTGGATGTCTTGTTTATTGTATATAAATTAATGCCCACGACGTGTTGTCGGCTTTGTATATAAATTAAACGAATACACAAAGGCACTGCAAAAGTAATGTTGATGTCTTCCTGCGACGTCGGCTTTGTCGATCAACGCTCATCAATGCACATCTCGGTGGAGTGAAGAGCTTAGGCACCGGTTGCTTGGCCGGCGTTGAGACACCGATCGATGATACAGGAGAGATGGTCCTTGAACACACCATGTACACCGTGGTTATGTAGTACGGACCGTCTTTGAGCTGTTCATCGAAAGGTTTTATGTCGTTAGAATGGCAGGACATTCTCGACACATCAAATACAATTTGACGCGTCAACTGCTGCCGGAATCAGATGGTGTTTTCTGAATAGCTAAATGAAATATTAATAATTCTATCTCAATCTGCTCTAATCGCAGTATAAAATATTCCAAGGTAAGAGAACGTACTCTATCGACTTCGCTGGTTAAAGTCGCAGCTTTGGACAACCTTTAACATCCACGTTTGGCAGTCGTTTAAGCTTCTCTGGCATGGATGACAGAGCTCTGCACCCATACATACATAAAGATTTCAGACGTTCAAATCCTTGCAGCCACTCCGGCAAACAGTCCAAATTGTCACATCCGATAATTGTCAAGCTTCTGAGTTTAACACATCGTTGCATGTTCTGTGGCAAACACCTCATCACTTGGCATCCAACTATCTCCAAGTTAAATATTTGGAGGTTATGCCAACCCTTGAATTCTGATGTCCGCAGGATCTCATTGTTCAACCAAACACTCAATCTTATGATCTCGAGATTCACCTCTAAAGCTTTAAATTTTGGGCATTCGATTAGTGTCAATTCATAAAGTCTCGGGAACAAACGTTCTGCTCTTTCCACTTTCAGCCATTTTTCTAGTGCAGGCATATGAGACAATGTGAGTTTTTCCAACTTGGGAAACATTCCATTGTTACCGTAGAATGCTTCATCCACAACATTGATTAAATCCATACCACTAATCTCAACAATTTTGAGATAGGGTAGTCCTCCGAGTGATGGTAGTCTTTTACATCTCTTAAGATCGATTAATTTGATCTCTTTCAACTTGTGGAGATAGTCAAAACCCTCTTTTATCCATACTGGCAATTCCTCGCCAGCATATAAAATAATTTCTAATTTTTTTAAGTTTAGATTGGGTTGGAGGCCATCAAGTACTTGTAGCGAAACCAATTCAAAGGTTCTTATGTCATCCATATTTACCCATTTCCAATGTAACCTCAAATACGTGAGTCGTGGAAGTATATCATGCAACTTTAAATGAGTCGAAGCATCTTCTGAATTTGATACTTGTTCAAGGTTTTGTAGCCATAATTCTTTTAGATTCATCAACGATTGCAACTTCGAGAACGTATTTCCAAGACCACCAACAATGATATGTCCATTCAATTTCAGAAGATTACTCATCTGATTTATTCCATGCGACATTTGATTTAATGGACATCTATACACATTAAGGTTTACCAGCTTTTTCATATTACTCAAACCTTCAGGCAATTGGACAAGCCATTGACAACCTTCCAAGTCTAACTCTTGCAAATTTATAAGACCAGTGACCGAAATGGGTAGCATTTGAAGCTTTGTACAGTAAGCTAGTCTTAAAACATGCAAATTCTCAAGATTATGCATTCGTCTCGGTAGCTTCTGAAGCTTTTCGCAATGAGCTAAATTTAAGACTCGTAAATTCCTGAGCTTGCACAAGGATTTAGGAAGTACTTGTATCTCGGACTGAGAAAGGTTAAGGTATCTCAAGATAAGCAAATTGCCCACTGTATGAGGTAGCTGCTGGACTCTAACAGCTCGTAAAGATAATATACGTAAATGTACAAGATTGGTAAACATACCTTCTGGAATATGTAGGATATGATATTTGTGTTGGAGATCCAACTGCTTCGGCTGTTGTAGTACCAAACCTCTCAACTTGTTTACCCCATTGGACAAGACCTTCGGAAATGTGATAGTATTAGAATCGACAAGCATACGTAGATAGAGACATTGTCGTGGGATTATCGAATTTGAATCAACCCTCTTCAAGATATAGCATTGTTTTGTGGCAGTAAATAAAAAATGTATATCGTCAGAGATGTGGGTCTCCAGATATTTCCTTATCATCCCTTCGTCGTCTGAATATGGCAGAAGGCCTTCAGCAGCTAAGACGTGCAAGACGTCTTTATAATTGGGCATGTCATCTTGTAGGATCAACCAGCGGTACAAAACTAATCGCGTCCTTGTTGGTGGCATGTAATGAAGAAATATTAAAGCCGTGTCCTGGTTGTGCATCACTTCCTCCCACTGATGCGCATTTAGAGCATCAATTTGTTGTTGCCATCGATTCATTTCAGTATATCTGAATATGGAGCCAAAGATCTTGGCGTCCGTGGGAGACCCATCAGATGAATAATAGTTTCTATTACAGAAATGAATTATCGCGTTTGCTTCGTCCTGTTGCTCAGGCCGGATGAGTGCTCGTCTCATGCACAATTTTACCCAATCATCCTCCGATAGGCCGCTCAAATAGTACGAGAACCCCAATATACGCTCACTAAAACGCAGGTCAGGAATGACCACGGTACTCCCCGGTGCGCCGACGAGCAATAGAAAGTTCTCCAATTGGAGCCACTTATCCTTGTCCTCCTCCTCGAGGTTGAGATCATCCAGAACGAGCAAGTATTTGCTTCCATGGATTCCATCGTAGAATAGCCAGATGTCCTCGCATGGCTCGCCGGTTATTGATCTCGTGAATTCTCTCATGATCCACATGGGATCCAAAGAAGCAATGTTTGGGACATCCACCCAGATTCGATGCTGGAATTGCTCCTGCACCCAGGAGTGGTGGTAAATCAACCGAGCAAGGGTCGTCCTCCCATCACCGCCATCTATGAGCAGCCATTCAACACCATCGCCAGATTGTTGTTGCTGAAAAATGTTGATGATTTCTTCTACATCCTCGTTGCGTCCCACCACCTCTTCTCTTAGGACGGTGGAGTACTCTTCTTCTTGTCGTGGATCCACAGACTCCATTATCTCCTTCGAGAGGCCCAACACAGACCCCCTCCTCACCAGATAGTTCAGCCTGCCTACCATCTCCTTGAGCTCCAATAGAATGGCTTGGCGAGAGGCCTCTCTGATGCTGCAGATGGAGTGTGGCAAGCGATTCGATGTTGCATTCGCTCCTCCACTTGGATGCCAGTCAAGGATCCTACCGAGCAGATCGTCGACGCTCACAATGGTTGCACCGACGTCGGTCAACCACTCCTCCAACTCCGGCTCCTTCAACGCTCGAAGCTCAGCGTCGAAGATCGTGCCATTGATAGCCCAGAGGCGGTCTCGAATCACTTCCATGTGGTTTGGCATGCCTAGTAGTCGTCCCTGCGCCATCATCGCAGGCATCGGCAGTATATGCAATAGTACGCGTTCCAGATCTGACGCCAACGCCATGGCTTTGATGTCAGGGTGGCAACTATGGAACTCTAGATTATCAATTGAGCTGTGTACTAACATTAGTCGACCGACTTGGAATCTACAAAGTATTTGTGCCCCGTAGTTGTTCCTTTTCGTACAACACTTTGTTTTCATCCCAAGCAACCATTAATGCTCGATGAAAGCTAATACGGGTGGTGCCACCGATACAATGACGCTCTTGGAATCTACCTTCACGGGCTGTGCAAGTAACGAATCAATCATCCAACCAAGTTCCAAGTAATGTTTGATTCTTCTATGCGGTTAGTTACCTTTGCGCGGCTCACCTGCAATCGCACAATCTTTGTGTCGAGCGAGCTGTAATGGAGCAAAAGATGATGTCTTTGTCTCAAGCGAGCTGTAAAGGAACAAAAGAACATGTGGTCGCCTACGATTCTCTACCTCTCATTCATTCTTTCTCATATTTCTTTTCTTCCTGTGTCAAGACACAGAGCAAATGGGTTTCTTTTCCCTTGACGTTTGCCTTTCTCTGACGCTCCGAGGGAGCCATGAATGTGCTTACCTTCCTTTTCTTTAGTAAGTGATTAGGAAAGTAATGACCCAAGCATGACACGCCAATTCATTCAGTCGAGAATTGTCACTAAGATAATGACATGGTCGAAAGAGCCCGTTCCCCTGTAGCCACCGATAGGAGCATGATCTATCAGCTTCTACCCGTCTCGATCTCTAGGAGAGCCGTACGAGCTCACCACATGATGCATTAACCCATGACAGCAAAGCCCTTCCCCCTCTTCTCCCCTTTCTTGAATCACCTGTTGCAGCAACCTGACACATCCCTTTCCCCTCTTTGGCACAGAGGATCATTCCCTATTTATCTCAAACAAGCACTAGTCCGAATAAACAGCACCCTCGTAGTCGTCATTCCTTAATACCACCCATAGAGAGACGTGCCTATCAACCATCAATATCAATGAGCCGAAGTAAGAGGTACCTTAATCCCCCGTCGACCTTCCTACATCGGTTGCTTTTGTATAAAAGTTAACCCTCCATGAATAAGTAACACTTCGGGATCGTACCAACCGGGTTTGCCCTCATGTGACCCTCGTTGGCCCTGGAACGAGCTTACACTTAGGATCAAATCAAACGGTGTCGACTTTAAGGTTTACGGCAACAAGGCAAGAACAAGAGGGAAGGAACCCTTGCATGCCCTGCTTCTCTTTCATAAGCGTGACTCAAACTTTAATTAAGGTAGTGGACGTGAAGGCAACTGCAACATTGCAGAGGTGAAGCTTCAGTAGTTCTGCAAATATAATGCTTCAAGAGATCAGTGAGACGAGGTGATGTAGCCTCAAATCAGACCACTTGTTCTCTTCGTTTGCTGATGGCTACGTGGAAGAAGTTGCTGCCCTCCCCGTCCCTCACCTCCGTGCAACCGGGGCATGTTTCGATGAGATGTTTGATCACGTTCACATGCCCGAAGCTTGCAGCGACATGGATTGCAGAGGCGCCATCATTGTCTCGCAAATACGCAGTAGATGCATCATTTTCTAGCAGAAGTCTCACCATTTCGAGGTCTCCGCGGGCGGCTACAAAGTGGAGAGGTACGAGTCCGGCGGCATCGGCTTTTCGGGTTAAACTGGCCCTCCTTGTGATTTCCACAGCTGATAAATTGGAAGACGTTGGAAAGTTACTCGAAAAAGCTTTTAGAAGATTCCATCTTATTTCTTTTCTGAATTACGTGTATATAAATAAAGGATGCGCCGTAAATTGTCAATTTTGTGGCAATCAACCATTCATTTCAACAGTATATTCAATTCAAACTTACTCAAGATCTTAAGAGTCGCACAATCTCACCACAGATAACACAAGTCAGAATATTGCATGTGTAATGATAAATTTACAAATTATAACAAGGGAAAAAAAAAAAAGCTCTCTGAAGACAAACAAGAATAGACATTAAGATACGCAGACAATTGTGACAAACGCAATCTTCAATTCACTACCAAATTGGATGTCTTGTTTATTGTATATAAATTAATGCCCACGACGTGTGTCGCAGAGGCACTGCAAAAGTAATGTTGATGTCTTCCTGCGGCGTCGGCTTTGTTGATCAATGCACATCTCGGTGGAGTGAATAGCTTAGACACTGGTTGCTTGGCCGGCGTTGAGACACTGATCGATGATACAGGAGAGATGGTCCTTATACACACGATGTACTCCGTGGTTATGTAGTACGGGCTGTCTTTGAGCTGTTCATCGAAAGGTTTTTTGTTGTTTGAATGGCAGGACATACTCGACACATCAAATACAATTTGATGCGTCAATTGCCGCCGGAATCAGATGGTGTCTAAGCATGTTCTGAGCAGTTAAATGAAATACTATTAATTCTACCTCAATCTACTCTAATCACAGTATAAAATATTCGAAGGTAGAAGAACATACTCTGTTCCACTGGTTAAAGTCGCAGCTTTGGACAAACTTTAATAACAACTTTTCTTAGTCGTTTAAGCTTCTCAGGTATGGATGACAGAGCACCGCAGTCATATAAACATAAAGATTTCAGATGCTTGAATCCTTGTAGCCACTCCGGCAAACAGTCCAAATTGTCGCATCCGTTGATCGTCAAGCTTCTGAGTTTAACACATCGTTCCATGTCCTGTGGCAAACACCTCATCTCCTGGCATCCAACTATCTCCAAGTTCTTTATTGGGAGGTTCTGCCAACCCTCGAATTCAGATGTCTGCAGCATTTTATTGTTCAACCAAATACTCAATGTTGAGACCTCAAGATCCACCTCTAAAGCTTTGAATTTTGGACATTGGATCAGTGTCAATCGACGAAGTTTCGGGAACAAAAATTCTTTTTTTCTCTCCACCTTTAGCCATTTTTCTAGTGCAAGCATATGAGACAATGTGAGTCTTTTCAACTCAGGAAATGTCCCATCGTCACCATAAAAGGCTTCATCCACAACATTGATTAAATCCATACCACTTAGCTCAACAATCTCGAGATCGAGTAGCCCTCCGAGTGATGGTAGCTTTTTACATCTCTTGAGATTGATTAGTTTGATCTCTTTCAACTTGTGGAGATGGTTAAACCCCTCTTTTATCCATACAGGGAATTCTTCACCGAGATATAAAATAATCTCTAATTTTTTCAAGTTTGAATTGGGTTGAAGGCCTTCAAGTATCTGTAGCGAAACTAATTCTGATGTTCTCATATCTTCCATATTTACCCATTTCCAATGTAGCTTTAGATACATGAGTTGCGGAAGTATATCATGCAACTTTAAAGGAGTCAACCCATCTTCTGAATTTGACACTTGTTGGAGGTTTTGTAACCATAATTCTTTTAGATTCCTCAACGATTCCAACTTTGATAAGGCATTTCCAAGATCACCAACTACGATATGTCCAGACAACTTCAGAAGGTTACTCATCTGACTTATTCCATATGGCATTTGATTCAATGGACATCTATATACATTAAGATTTGCCAGTTTTTTCATGTTATTCAAACCCTCAGGTAATTCGAGAAGCCATTGACAACCTTCCAGGTCTAACTCTTGCAGATTTATAAGGCCGGTGATCGAAATAGGTAGCATCTGAAGTTTTGTACAATAAGCAAGTTTTAAAACATGCAAGTTCTCAAGATTATGTATTCGCTTCGGTAGTTTCTGAAGCTTTTCACAATGAGCTAGATTTAATACTCGTAAATTTCTGAGCTTGCATAAGGATTTAGGAAGTGCTTGGATCTCGGACTGGGAAAGGTTGAGGTATCTCAAAATAAGCAACTTGCCCACTGAATTAGGTAGCTGTTGGATTTTGATAGCTCGTAAATATAATATACGTAGGTGAATAAGATTGGTAAACATACCTTCCGGAATTTGTAGGATGTGATATTTATGTTAGAGATCCATCTCTTGTTGTAATAGCAAACCTCTCAACTGATTTATCCCATCGAACAAGGTCATCGGAAATGTGACCGTATTGGAATCGACGAACATACGTAAATAAAGACACTGTCGTGGTATTGTTGAATTTGATAAAACCCCCCTCAAGTCGTAGCAATGTTTTGTGGTAGTAAATAAAAAATGCATATAATCGTAGACGTGGAACTCCAGCTTTTCCGTTATGGTGCCTTCGACGTCTGAATACGGCAGAAAGCCTTCGGCAGCTAAGACGTGCAAGAAGTCCTCGTAATTGGTCTTGCCATCTTGTACGATCAACCAGCGGTACAATACCAATCGTGTCATCGTTGGTGTCATGTAATGAAGAAAAATTAAAGCCATATCCTTGTTGTGCCTCACTTTCTCCCACTGACGCATATTTACAGCATCAAGTTGTTGTTGCCATCGACTCATTTCAGTGTATCTGAGTACGGAGCCAAAAATCTTGGCGTCCGTGGGAGACCAATCTTGTGTGTTTCTCTTACAGGAGTGAATTATCGCTTTTGCTTCCTCCCGTTGATCGGGCCGGATGAGTGCTTGTCTCAAGCACAATTGTACCCAATCATCCTCCGGTAGGCCGCTGAAATGCCACGTTCGGACAGCGGACCCCAATACATCCTGAATAAAAAACAAGTCAGGAATGACCACCACGGTACTCCCCGGTGCGCCGACGAGCAATAGAAAGTTCTCCAATTGGAGCCACTTATCCCTGTCCTCCTCCCCGATGTTGAGATCATCCAGAACGAGCAAGTATTTGCTTCCATGAATTCCGTCGAAGAATAGCCAGATGTCCTCGCATGGCTCCCCGGTTATTGAACTCGTGAATTCTCTCATGATCCACATGGGATCCAGAGAAGCAATGTTTGGGACATCCACCCAGATTCGATGCTGGAATTGCTCCTGCACCCAAGGGTGGTGGTAAATCAGCCGTGCAAGGGTCGTCTTCCCACCAAGGTCATTTATGATCTGCAATTCATCACAATCGCCAGACTGTGGTTGCTTCAAACTGTCGATGATTTCTTCTACATGCTCGTTGCGTCCCACCACCTCTTCTCTTAGGACGGTGGAGTACTCTTCTTCCTGTCGTGGATCCACAGACTCCATTATCTCCTTCGAGAGGCCCAACACAGACCCCCTCCTCACCAGATAGTTCAGCCTGCCTACCATCTCCTTGAGCTCCAATAGAATGGCTTGGCGAGAGGCCTCTCGGATGCTGCAGATGGAGTGTGACGAGCGATTCGATGCTGCTGCCGCTCCTCCTCTTGGGTGCCAGTCAAGGATCCTACCGAGCAGATCGTCGATGTCCACAATGGCTGCACCGACGTCGGTCACCCACTCCTCCGACTCCGGCTCCTTCAACGCTCGATGCTCGGCGTCCTTGATCGTGCCATTGATACCCCACAGGCGGTCTCGAATCATCTCCATGTGGTTTGGCATGCCTAGTCGTCGCCCCTGCGCCATCATCGCAGGCATCGGCAGTATATGCGATAGTACGCGCTCCAGATCTGACGCCAACGCCATGGCTTTGATGTCAGGGTGGCAGCTATGGAACTCTAGATTATCAATTGAGCTGTGGGCTTGTATTACTCGAGCCACTTGGAATCTACAAAGTATCTGTAACTCACAGTTGTTCCTTTTCGTACAACACTTTGTTCTCGTCTCAAGCAACCATCAATGCTTGATGAAAGCTAATACGGTGGTGCCACGAATACAATGACGCACTTGGAATCTACCTTCACGATCTGTGCAAGTAACGAATCAATCATCCAAGCAATGTTTGATTCTTCTCTGTAGTTAGTTACCTTTGCGTGGCTCTCCTGCAATCTCACAATCTTTGTGTCGAGCGAGCGAGCTGTAAGGGAGCAAAAGATGTTGCCTTTGTCTCGAACGAGCGAGCGAGCGAGCTGTAAAGGAGCAAAAGAAGTTGTGGTTGCCTACGATTCTCTACCCCTCATTCATTCTTTCTCTTATTTCTTTTCTTCTTTAGTCTGTGTCAAGACGCCGAGCCAGTGGGTGAATGTGCTAATCTTTGTCTGATGCTCCGAGGGAGGCATGAATGTGCTAACCTTCCTCTTCTTCACTAAGAATCGTACAGCTTTTAATTAAACCATTACATCGTCAGTGTTTTGATTTAATAGACATCTTATTTTCTTGGGGGGAAAAAACAAGAATCCTCGGATGCCCTGCTGCTCTTTAATTAAGGTAGTGGACGAGAAGGCAACTGCAACATTGCAGAGGCGAAGCTTCAAGACCAAATATCATCGTTATATATACCTAAAAACAAGGTGTGAAGAGAGGATTGGAGAAATCTTCCAATCAACAACATTTAGCCATCGATAAGCCAATTAGCTGTGGTAATAATAATAATGTATGGGCAGGAATAAGAAAACTTTCCACCTTGTCGGAATTGGACCATTAAAAGATGGTAATGCGTACGAAGTTGGATGGCAGCATCCCTGCATGCCTCTTCTTATGGCTGCTCGGCTTTGGGTTTAGGTCAGTTACAAGCAGGGATGAGGTTAATTAAGGGTCCATTATATATTAAGGTTTTCCAAGCGAATAGCAAGATCTTTGATGAAATATATGATATGTAATCAGCATCGAGTTTCGATCAAAAGAGAAATAGCTGATTTTGAAGAAAAAAAAATGTAAGTGCTTATATAATCAAGAAGGCAAAAGAAAGTAAAAGAAGAATATAAATGTATGCCATCAAATTTCTTTAAGAACATCACTAGAAACACATAACAAATATTTTTTTTATATCAAATTAATCAAAAGCAAAGGAATATGTAGATCAAGAATATATCATGATATATACATGTCTAGCTTTCCGAAAACAGAGAAGAATGTATAGGCCGAGGTGGTCCGAATTCAATATTTACATAGACTCAATATTATATTAGATTGAGGTAATCCGATCTCGATAGTCAATAATCAATACCATATCTAATCTCCATGCCACTCGTGACTTCAACTCGTTAGTGTAAGCTGGGTTGAAAGGCATTAGCTGAAATTTCTATTATACAGAATACCTATCCATTTTCATATCAAATACATTTACCCTTCTTGGTCGGAAACAACCCCATGTCTCGAGATGTGTTATTTTCCGGCCAAAATTTTCGATAACACAACAACCTGTTTTTGTTTTTTAAATTTCCAAAGCATAGGTGAGGGTAGCGATAAGCACTAACACAATGGACAGAATTGTACTCTATTTCTTTATATTGTTTGAGTTCTGCATTTTCTTGTTTTTTGTTTTTTGTTTTAAATAACTTGCAGAATGGTTATTCATTATTCTCTACTCGATTTTTGATAGAAAAAAAAATATTAATTTAAAAATTCTTGTTTTTTCACATTATGTTTTTTGTTTGTTTTTGCTGCTCACCTTTGCGCTCGTGATACTGCATCAACTTCCTCACCATCTTACACACAAATAAGGAATATTAGCTATGATTATACATAGTCGGTGTGTTGATTATTACCCCACGGTTATAGATTCTTCTCTAAGGTCATGTATAAATAAGGAGAAGATCTATCACTTATGTTACACAAATAAGGAGAAGATCTAACACTATGTTCTTTGTTTTTGATGCTCACCTTTGCGCTCGTGATATTATGCCAACTTCCTCACAGTGATGCCGGTAAAAAAAGAATCTTGATCTTATTTTTGGAGGATGAATTCAACTATAAACATGCACGAAGGGGTAGAATCATTCCTTCTTTTCTCGATGGCTACATGGAAAGAGTTCCTGTCCCGATTGTCCATCAGCTGCATAGAATAATATGGGAGTTTTTCTGTGGGATGTTTGAATACTATATCTAAATGTCCGCAACTTGCTGCAACGTGTATCGCAAAGGCTCCGTCATCGTCACGCAAATACGCCGTGGACGCAGCATCCTCTTCACCATTTTAAGGTCGCCGGCAGACGCCACCCCGACCAACAAAACAATTGCAGTTGGATTGGCTGCTCGGCTTGCAAAAACCCACAATCCCTCGATGGTAGAAGCTCTGGCCATTTTGGAGGCTCTCAGGCATGCTAAAGCTATGGGCTCGAGGAACATTTGGCTTCGATCCGATGCTCAAGCTATCATCTACTTCGTTAATGGCTTCCAGCAAACAAACCCCTTGGCAGTTGCAAGCAATTATTTCTGATGTAAAACCCTTATGGGTAACCTCCGGATCTCTTGTTTCAGTCTCATGCCTAAGACACTCGGCCACAAAGCCCACCAACCTACGTTTTGTTTTGGTAGAACCTCTAAGTTTCCCTCTTTTAATTTGTACAATGGATGATGTAGAAAGCTTGTGCAATCCCCTGAAAAGTTTTTCTAATACAATGAATGGCATTTTCTTTCCAAAAAGAGAAAACAAAAAGAATAGCAAGTAAGCTTTCAGCAAAAAGGGAATTTTGAAGGGGCTGGCACTTGTATTCCATGGAAACAAGCTGTATTCTAGAATATGACAATACATGGAGTCCGACAAACAAGAAAATTTTGAAGGGGGGGCACTTTATTCTGGAGCCACCATTCCATCACTACTACAATTATTAAGTCTTACATGATGAACTTACGAGAAATTATGTCTTCATTTTCTTGACATTTTGCGACGCACTCATAGTTCAATTACATTATTTTTCTCAATCACTCACGTTTGATGATTGTAAAATCTCCCACATTCCAGGGCACTGCAGAAAATCTAATGATATTACATTACCACCAATGTGGAGAAAACGCCTCTGAATAGAACATATAAACGTCATGGAGTTTCCTTGCCGTACTTAGTCCGAACAAATGCAAGGTAATAATAATGTCCCATGTAATGTACGAAATAATAATGGAACTCCAAACCGAAAGGAAAATAGCGAGCCAGAAGAATTCAGCCGCAATGAGTAGGTATAAACCACTGGAGAATGCTAATATCAAAGCTAATATTGAGATCTGAAACAGCACTATGGCAATGGGAAGTTGCAGGATCTGATAATTTTTATTGCCCAAGTGGCTTTGAAGGACGAGGAGGAGAACCAGGAAGGATGTTATCATAGCCACGGTGTCACATATCAGAAACATTTCGAAAAAAAGTCTCTTCACTGATATTAGCAAGCCTGGATCATTGCTCACATCACTTTTGTAGTCTCCTGACAAAGTAAATGCTGCACCGAATGAGACGGTGGTAATAAGCGCTGCCGCCACGGACAAGTTGTTGGCGAATAATGTATAATCTCGAGGTTCTTGCATCTCCAAACGATTTGAATCACGGCGCTGCGGACTGAACCGTGAACCATTGATCTTCAGTTGCTTAATCAATAATTTCTGTACAAGAAGAAGAAGATTGAATCAGTCATAACAACCCAAAATATAGTTTCGAAGTATGTACCAAACATAATCATATATTTTTTTGTGTGTCATATAATATACGTATAATCACTTTCCTAATCCAATATTGACCTAAACCCTAAAATTCTGAAAATAACTGCACATATCCTTATGGGTATTAATGGAGCCTGAAAATTCAACTATGATAAAACACAATGTTTGATCCAAAAATTTCTCTACAGATCCTTAATTTCTGATCCGTAGATTTCTGGAAATTAAATCCAAGTTCTGGATGGACCTGATCTAATAATAACAACCCTGGATATAATTTTGCACCAGCTTGACGCTTATGCAAGAAAAAATCATATATATATATATATATATATATATATATATATATATAATTCTAGGATAGGATTTTAAAATTGGTAGTTCCATTTAAGTCATAAATGTAAATATTAAAAATAAATTTGCAGTCAAAGAATGACTATGAAATTCAGTATTCAAATAAAAAAAAATTAAAAATTCACCAACAATTATATAAGATTATGATGTGAGAACCGACACAAAACCATGGGATAAAGAGAACCATCCGTAATATCCTATAATCAATGTACGTACAGTTCATTATAGAACAACGTAAGTGTAATTAGTTTGTACGTACCGGAGGTTCAAGTGGTGTCCGTGTGCGGCGCAAAGCGACATCAAGAGCGGTATGACCTTCGTTGTTCATTGCATTTTTCTTAACGTTTTTATTGGACGACAGCATCCTTGTGATAGATAAGTTTCCAGATAACGCAGCTGCATGTAAGGGCGTGTTCCCTTTTTTATCTGGCTGATTTAGAAGATCAATGAGATGCGGTGATCGGAGAACATAACTGACAACCCATTCACTTCCCTTCTCGATGGCTACATGAAGGAAGCTCCTGCCTTCATTGTCCATCAGCTCCACACAATTAGGCAATACTTTATCGAGATGCTCAATTGTACTTACATGCCCGCAACTAGCAGCAACATGAATTGCAGAGGCACCATTATTGTCTTGCAGACGCGCAATGGATGCATCCTTTTCCAGGAGTAGTTTTACCTTTTCAATATCACTGTCCGAGGCAGCAAAGTGGAGAGGAGTGCTTCCATTGTTATCGGCTTTCTCCAGTAACCTTGGTCTCTCCTCCAGCAATATTTTTGTGATTTCTAAAACATATACGTCATTGCTTAAAACTAACTCATCACATCGGTTTAAGTAATTACATATATTCCTTACAAAAAAAAGAAAAAGAAATAATCCTCATAAGATTTTCTAATAGCTGTGACAACAATAATTAATCCAAAAAGAGCATGACTTTAACCCATAAAAAGTTGATCGAACATGCATTGCAGGGTAGTCCCAATTGGAACACGTATTTTGGTTTTGGAAGACTCATCTACACCCATTAAACACGAGGAACTATTTGAGCGGGTCAGGCCCATATCTCTTTGATGGTTATTCAGATTTATGACAAGTTCTACCTTTGAGTTTAGCATTTCTTCAGCTATCAGTGGCTTAGATATAAACCTAATTTGTGTAAGAACTTTTTGTAGTGCCAAATCATAATTCTTTCGATTTACTCTAATGTTTGATTTAAGTTGGTTCCTAGTTCCAAATTTGTACACTGACAGCCTATTAGCTAGGAGATGGTGATCCAGTACAGTATACTTACATGGTACGTACACATGCAACTTAACACCCTATATATGACTGCATGCTCGTGTAATTAATTTACTGACCGTAGTTCACAAGGACGGCGGAGTGCAGAGCTGTCTGCCCGTTCGGTCCGTCGCATGACGCCTCGTCCGCCTCCAGTAATCGTCGCACGATCGGCACCGACTCGCACTCTACCGCCATGAAGAGGGGCGAGAGGCCATTGACGTTGTTGGTCACCGCGGACACACCTGGAGCCTTCGCCATTAGTGCATCGACGACCTGTTCATGGCCGTTCTGTACCGCCTCGTGCAAGGCAGTGTTACCAACGTCGTTTGCCATCTGGACTAGTGAACACACTCTGTCGTCGCCCTGGGCGCTCCTTCCAGAGGCAGTAGAGATGAGGTCATTCACTAGCTGGTGATGGCCTGCCCTCGCGGCGATGTGCAATGGAGTGTCTCCTCGTGCGTTCTTCAACTGGAGGAGCAAGGGCTGTAGGTAGAGGGCTTTATTGCAGAAATCGGTGTGTCCCGGCTTGGCTGCGATGTGAAGCATCGAGTTCCCTCCGGCCGTCACATGGACGTCAGGGATGCTCGTTCCAAGTATGTTGGTGTCGCCCGACCTTGCAGCCTCCAACAGTTCGAGGCTCATTGGAGTGAACAGTTCAGGAACTGATTCCGTGATCTGCATGCTTTGAGATAGTGATGAAGCACATAGTAATCTAGACCAGAGGTGCTCCTTATATAGCAGAGGGGTTGAGTGGAAACTTTTCTACATGTTCGGTCAGTATGCGTTATGTTTCGGGGATATTCCATTCATTTTCTTCGCTTTAACTTTTCGGGGTTACTATGAGTGTGACCGGGTTTGTTCGATGCATGAATGGTGGCATTATGTTAATGTTCATATAAGTTGGCAATGATCCTCCCTATTCTTATTGAATTTTAATAATATTTATCATTTTAATTTTATTGTGATTAATAAGTATTTTAAAATTTCTAGAGCTCGTATGAGTTCTCATAAGGAAAGAAGATCCTAATAATTAGAGTTTAGTTCTTTCCTAAATATTTTACATATCTATGAGTCTTTTTAGGCTAAAGCAATATGTGAGAAATACCTTTAGTGTTTAGAGATAATACTCTCTTAAGGGTTTCTAAAAAGAACGAGAGAAAATGGTATAAACTTATTAAAATTTATATTATAGGATCTATAAGAAAGTTATGTTTGAGGGATCTATAAGAAATTGATATAAAAAATTTTGAATTTTCTTCTAGGTAGGATTTGCTAAATCATGTTAAATATTATGTTGATTTTCTGACATGCTTTCTGACTTATTAATCTCTGGGTATTTATTGGTTTTAAAAATTTCTTCTTCTCCGATAAGTGGTATTAGAGCTCAAAAGATTTAATTGTCAAAGATTCAATAAAGATGAGTGATGAAGATTAGGAGTATGAAACAAAAGTATTTTCTCTTCGGGATACACAAAAATAAATAAAATACTTACAAAAGGGCAAAGAATTCTCGTGAAGAAAGGAAACCTAGTAATTAATGTTTGGTTATTTTATAAATATCTTATATATTTCTAAATCTCAAAAAGGGAAGAGTAAGATATGAGAAATACTTTTATTGCTTATGAGTTTCTCTCAATGATATATATATATATGATATATAGAGAGGGTAAAAGAAAAATATATAAATTCTTCAAAATTTATATAAGAATGTCTAAAAAAAAGTAATATTTGAGTAGGGATAATTCAAGTTTTTTGATTGATCCAAATAATTTAATTTTTCCCTTTGTAAATATAGATAGAATTTATCGAATCATATTAAACATTATATCAATTTTCTGGTATACTTTTTAGCTGGTTGATCATTACATATTATTTTAGTTTTGAAAATTTTCTCACTATCTTCACCAACTTACTTTTAGCATCTTTTAGTTCAAATATGTCTTTTTATATTTGTTGCGACTGATCCCAGGAGGAGGATGCAGACATGAGATTTTAGGGACAAAATTAAGCCACATGGAACATGAAAGCGCGAAGACCAGTTTGGCAATTGAAGAGGAGTTGCATAAGAAATTTATATGCGTCCTGATAGCTCATTCAATGTCGATGTTCGTTTGACTTAGTCAATTGAGTTGATCATTCCAAACTTATATAATTTTGACACGTCCCAAAACATCATTGGAGTCCCGAATCGTTATCTTGACCAAATCAAAGAACCTACACGATTGCTATTGGCTATCATTTTTCAACCACATGACTCCAGCTTTTGTTAAGTTTATCTAAAAAATTGCTATTTATTATTTTGAATTATATCAAAAAATATTCTTAATTTTGATTTGAAATTATTTAAAAACTCTCAAATAAAATATTTTATAATACTTTAATACAAAAATAATAACATCAATATTTTATGTGACCTGTGCTTAATGCCTGACCATGGCATTCGTTAGTAGTGTCTACCATCCTGATAGTCTTCTTGCCTCTACAAAATGGCCGGTCTCTATCTAACAAATTGCAACTCTCATTTTCTCGGAGTTTTCTTTGTCGTCGATGTTTCACCAAACGCTCATTATCTCGCCTTCCTCGTTTGGCGTCCACGTAAATATATACAATCACCACCACTTATTTTGCTTGGCGACGGTTGGGGATTCAGAGCTAATAAATTATCTGAGCCCCACCCAAGTCAAGTGCACTGGTCAACCACGAGGGGTCATAAAAAGATAAGGGGTTTGCAGCCACGAAATAGTGATTTCTTTTCTTGGATGCTATTGTTGCCAGCGAGTCTAGTAGATGGATCCAACTGTGCCGACGTGACCTTTGTGAAGTGAAAGATCTTAATATTGGAGAAAGCAATATCAAGAGCAGTAAGTCGACCGTCATTGTTCATTGCACTATTTGTAACTCTTTTTTATTGTATGACAACATGGTTGTCAGACTCGAGCTTCGCGGGAGATGACCGCTAAATGAAAGGGTGTGTTCCCATCTTTATCAGGCTGGCTCACAAGATCATCAACAAGCTCTGGCAGTCCAAGCACGAATTTTGAAGGGGCTGGCACTTGTATTCCATGGAAACAAGCTGTATTCTAGAATCTGATAGATAATACATGGAGTCCAACATTCCATCACTAGTACAATTATGAAAGATGAATTTTCGAGAAATTATGTCTTTATTTCCTTGAAATTTTGCAACGCACTCACAGTTCAATTACATTATTTTTCTCAATCATCACTTTTGATGATTGTAATCCCGAAATTTTTAAAGAACCGCAGAACGTCTATTAATATTACATAACCGGATATTCGAAGAACGTTAGCATAAATGAGAATACAGAAAAATACAGAAAAACAGTTTGTTCTAAAAGGAAGTACAGGACAAAAATGGAAAGGAAAACACAAATGAGGATGGAGAGCCAGAAGCATTCACCCGCAATGAGTGGGTATAAACCACTGGCGAATGCTGCCATCAACGCTAGCAGTGAGATCTGCAACGTCAGTCTGGCTTCGGGAAGATACCGGTTCTTATATATTTTACTGCCCAAGTCGACCTGAAGGAGGAGGAGGAGAACCAGGAAGGATGTTGACATAGCCAAGGTGTCAAATATCAGAAACACTTTGAAAGCAGTTCTTTTCAGTAATATCGGCATGCCTGGATCATTGCTCTCATCGCTTTTGTAGCCTCCTGGCAAAGTAAATGCTGCAGCGAATGCGACGGTGGCAACTAGCACGGCCATAACGGACACGTTGTTGGCGACTAATGTCTCATTTATTTGACACTTGTGCACCCACACTTGTCTTTATGGTGTTTTTCTCGTTGCATCCGCCAACGATCTCTGATAGCATCACGGCGCTGCGGACTGAACCGTGAACCATTGGCCATCAGAAACACACCCATAAAGACCTGCACAACAACAACAAGAAGATTGAATCAGTCATGACAACGTACTATATAGTTTCCAAGTATGCATCAAACATAATTGTTTTCATATTTTATTCTTTTAGTCTTTTAGTCTTTTGATATTGCTAGTATATTCTGCATCATTATATATATATATATATATATATACACGTGTGTGTACACGCGCGAATCTACAAAGTAGTTCCTGTCCTTTGTATTGTGCTGTTCCTTTTATGACAACACTTTGGGTTTCATGTAAGCAATCATTAATTCTTGATGAAAGGTAATAAAGGTAATGCCACCGATACAATGATGCTCTTGGGAGCTACCTTCACCATCGGTGCAACTAACGAATCAATCATCCCAACAAGCTCTAAATAATATAATGTTTGACTCTTCAATTAAGTTAGTTATCTTTATATGGCTCTCTTGCAATCTCACAATCTTCGTATGAAGCGAGCTGTAAATGAACAAAACATCTTGTTCTTGCCTATGATTTTTTTTAACCCTGATTCAATCTTTCTCTTATTAATTTTATTTTTTAAAAAAATAATAAAAATAAATATAGAATAATAATTTAATATAATGCTTGATTCTTTAATGTAGTTAGTTATCTTTGCTTATCTCTTTTGTAATCTTACAAAGGAACAAAACATCGTGTCCTTTGTATTGTGCTTCATAGTTGTTCCTTTTCCTACAACATTTGGGTTTCATCTCAAGCAACCATTAATTCTTAATGAAAGGTAATAAAGGTGGTGCCACTGATACAATGATGCTCTTGGGAGCTACCTTTACCATCGGTGCAAGTAACGAATCAATCATCCCAGCAAGCTCTAAATAATATAATATTTGATTCTTCAATTAAGTTAGTTATCTTTATGTGGCTCTCTTGCAATCTCACAATCTTCGTGTTCTTCGCCTATGATTTTTTTATCCCTGGTTCAATCTTTCTCTTATTTTTTTTTAATTTTTTTATAAAAATAATAAAAATAAATATAGATTAATAATTTACTTATTAATCTATAGTTTTATTTATTTATGAAATATGATCGAGAACTTCTTATAACCTACCATTAAAATAATTTACTCTTATGGAGAAGATGAATATTAAGAATAACTCATCTCTCATCATATGATATACAACATCTCAAATTATCACCGCACATAACTCAAATAGTTAGCTCTATCGAACGAAAGTATCAACACATAGTTAAAATTGATTTCACTCTTCTACACCAAGCTTTTATGCTACTAACATTTTAGTCAAACTTTTGAACTACAGTCGACCTGATTAAAAAGACGAATATACAAGTAATTTACCATCATTGCATACAAAATGGGTAAGATAATCGACATTCAAAGCAACACAAAGTAACCAATGTTTATTAGACTCGAAGGAGTATCAAAAATAGGTTAAATGAGCACACATAAAGGGGGTTCCGAAGGTAGATATAGGCCTAATGTTTACCTAGCATTTTTGTCGAATAGAAAATGGATACACTAAAGATGTTGCATCACTCCTCAAACACCTACCCAAAGCCCTATCTTCTCCGATGCCACCTAGAGGGGTTCTAAGTTGCTGAGATGATTGACATTTCATATTACTAAGCTATCAACTAAAAATCAGTTCATAGCATGTGAGAATGGCATAGTTTTGAGTCATTTTTTCCTTCGCACGGTACCACATAACCAAAAATATTTTTGAGTTTTATATAATGATTACATGAAATAAAAATAATAACAACAAATAAAAATGAGGCTGACTCTAGTGTTTTCTATCTAGTACAAGTTGTACTAAAGAAAATAACATAAAACAAGAATCGAAAACCATCATGGATAAGCGACAAACATCTACTATGCATCGTTCCATAACACATGACTGACATATGATTGACACATGACCGATACTTTAGCAACTACCCCTTATAATCGGTATCCATCATGATTATAATGGTTCAAAGAGTCCACTATAAAAGTATTCCCCAAATATATTATATGAAACTTTTCATAATATTATTCAAGTCATTAGCTAAATCCTATAAGCCCAAAATAAATTAAGCATCAAAGGAGCAATTATTGGGAATGTCCCTGATATAGTTTTATAGGGTTTGACCTATTTATAGTCAATAGGGTTTGGCCTCTTCGAAGTCGGCAAGATTTGGCCTCCTCCGAGTCAAATGAGTTTGGCACCTTGAGGGTCAAATGAGTGTAGTATCCGTTGAGATCGAACTATGGCAAATGTGAAATGAACGTCTGTTAACTTTAAATCTAAATCTAGATCGAACAATCAAATTCTATGCTAATAACATATAAGTGATGAAATAAATTAGATACTTATCCAAAATTTTAGTTATAGACCCTCAATCTTTATTTCATACTCTTATCTTGAATATATTTGATCTGATAATGATTTTCATAAACCTAGTTTTGTATAGACTAGCAGAAATTTTAGTTCGGTTCTAGAATTTGAAATCAATCAATTCATTTCATTAACCAATCTCAAACCTGTCTATTTTTTCGAGATATTTGATGAAAAGATATTGTTAAGAAGAGATTTGTAGTTAAAGACCTTATGTGTTTGTTGTTGATAGAACGTGACATGCTTGTAATGAAAAGAAAATATTTAAATTTGACTAACATTTTGAGAAAGAGATTATGATGCAAGAATGAAGAAAAAAAAAGTTGAAAATATAACATTTTCTTTTCTTTAAAATTTTTACTTATATTAAATTAGTGTGAGAAAATTAGGGTGCACCCTTTGAGAAATATGAAAAAGGGCACGTTTCCAAAGAACAGTCTAGAAATTCACCCAAATTTATTCTCAGCAAGTGTTCCAAAGGAGGAAAAAAAAATATAATATACTCAAATTCTTGAGTTTTGAACTATTCTTATTTGAGTAGTCGCAATCATATTCATGAAAGTATAAAAGATCGAAAAAGAGTGGTAAAAAAATAAAAAAATATTATAAATTATATTAAAAATGCATTTATCATTTTTTATTATATTATTAAAAAGTACATTATATATTATTACATAGATTAGATTAAAAAAAAGTATTATATATTATATAAGATTTGGTCTAACATAACATATGAGTGAGAATATTTTCAAGAAATGATGCCAATGTTTATATTTTCTTAAATCAGATTCGGAAGGGATAGCTAGTTCACATTGCAGTTAATATAGTGATCAGCAAGAGAAGAGTGGCATTCCTTATCGGGATCTCTTATCCTCGTTTAGAGTTAGAAATAACAATACCAAGAGCCATAAGCTCTTATTTTTAACAAAATTATTCCCAAAGCTAGTAGTTTATTCTATAGGATAGTGTCCTATTTACTATTTCTAAAGAGATTATTAGAAATAGTAAATCTTCTTTCCTTGTGTTTATGTTGAGATATTTGAGTTGATTAGTGCATTGTTACACAAGAAATATGTCTCAAATTCGAGACCACGCTAAATTTTTTTATAAAAATTCTTCTTTCCCTATTAGGTGGGAGCCACCCGAAATTGAATGGACTAAGATAAATTATGATAGGGCTTGGAACTACGGCCTAATGATAGTTTTGGATTTGTTGCAAAGAATTGTATTACTACATTATGGAAGATTAGTTTTCGGAACTTGATTTCTTGGGAGCACTCTCAAGCCATCCAACCAAATCAATATTGGAGCTGTTTGAGTTTTTTTCGTTGGATCATTCACAAACTGTGTGTAAAGGATATAACTTTTGTTTCTTACATCAAATCTGTGATGCTGGTCAAAGCTAATACACCACTTCTAATTTAGTGAAGGACTCGATAGTCGGATCTTTCCTTCCTCTGCAATTTCATTGGGCTGTTCCGATCAATGTTTCTCTCTTCTCCAGCAATATCATTGTGATTTCTCTAGAAATGCATCATTGCAGTTTATAAATTGTAAGTATGGAACAAACACTTGCGTGAATCGATGAGATATCGGCGGCGACTACTGATTCCAAGACTGTACTATCAATAATCGAATCTAACCTGACCGACACCTTGCGATGCTATTATTAATTCTTGATGTCATTATTAATTTGGTGATTAGAAAAAGGACACGATCGTCGCATATGGGCTCATATGCTAATCATAATAGGACATGTTTATCTCGATGGCATTACTCGAACGTTCTCTCTATGCTGGAGACATGAACTGTCCATCCGAGACTTGGGAGCTCCGTCGTTGCTGTTGACTGATCGATTTTTGCTTGATGACACTCTTGACTTCATGTTCTTTCTTATCGACGAAAGCAATCAGATCCTTGATGCTGGTTAAACGCATCGGGCGCTTGAAGCTGCGCTCCGATTCGGGGATTCCGACCGTTTCTTGGCTACTACTGTACTCGTTATACTGGCAAAGTATTCTCGCGAAGAAGATGATGAGAGCAACCAGACATGCAAGACCAGAGATAAGAAAAAGGCCCCAGAAACTCCCGAGGCTTAGCCGGTTCGAACCGATCCCGCTGTCCTGTGAGCTGCATCCGGTGGGTGGCAACCATTTGTCGTGGATCCTCTGGAGATCACCGTTTTCCGACAGTCTCAGTATGGCCGTGGACAAGTCCACCGCAAGAGGAGAGTCTCTCGGGAATGCCTGTCAAGACATGGGCTTCGAGTTGTCAAGGTGTTTAAGAGAAGGGGATACGAGTGCGGTGGTGAAGACGAGAGTACTTACGAAGCCCCATCCACTTTTGGTGAACTCCTGACCGACCGTCTTGAACTTGCAGTTTGTGGACAAGAAGAGTTCCACGTAGGGAAGCTCGTCGACTATGGCGGCTACGCCTCCACGTTGTGGCCCGAGCTCGAGTGCCCTGGCGTAGTCTTCAGGATTATTCAGGGATACCAACCGTGACTCGGCGATGTTGAGCTCTTCCGTCATATAGTTCTTCGCAAATGAACCCACCTGATATCCGATAGGGTCAGAGGTATGTATCAAGCTATCCAGTCCTCGGATCCCTGACGAGAGTTGCTCAACCGTGAGGATGGATGTCAGACTTGCAGTGTAGCTTGAATTGATGATCAAGACTACGAAAAGCCAGATGATCAGCACGAACCGCCCGAGCGAACTCACAGTTCTCTCTTCTGCAAGTATGCCGATGTGATTTCAATGTTCAGAGTGTGAAAGAACAAAATCATCTCAAATATTCGTTATTAGCACATCGGGGATTTGAGGTGTTCGTATGATTTACTTACTCTGAGCAAAGAACATCGTGGAGAAACTAAACCTGCAAAAGATAAATCTTTGAATCCATCAGTACATCTGAATAGTGTTGCATTGGTAAACCATGGAAAGAAGTAAAGATGAGTAGTGTGGGAACACTAACCAGCATATCGTCACGAGTTGCTTTCTTGGAGACCCACGGAATTCGGCGTTCAGGCGATGCTCAAGAATCCAAACTACTGCTCCCACAAAAAGAAAGAAAGCCCCCGTGACGCACCACATCTGTATCGTAAAAGGTTTCAGGAAAGCCCATGCGCTCGAGTTCGTCTCCTTGACCGGTGCAACAATGACGAGGCCCGATTCCACGTATGGTTGCGTGAAATCGACGATCCGTGTCCTGTTCGTCACGATGGTTATGTCCCCCACGGCTGCATCGAAGTACTGAAGAACAAACTCGAGAAGTTACATGACTGCAGATGCATATATCTAAAGCATGTTAGAATGACAGAAGAACCAAACCAGCGCAGCACTCACGTTTTCATAGACCCTTTGCACGAGATCATCGTAGCTGGGATTCTTCAGCCCATCTCCAAACAGAATGAATGACAAGGGAACCGGGTATGGCAACAAGTCAACTGCAGCTTTGAACACATCAATACAGTATCCTTGGACGCTGTCAGGGCTGTCATCTCTCGATACAAATTCCTTGTAACTCGTTCGATACGGGACCCCAATCCGCAAAGGCTTTCCATTGTTGGGGAACGCCCAACCTCTTGGAGTAGCCGCGGTTTCTCCAGGCCAGATGACACTGTAAAGCTGCCGGCTACTGGTGGAAGCGTTTGGTGGATTTCGATACGACACTTCAGGAGCAACGACTGAAAGACCGGAATAGTTCGACCAGAATCCGATCCTCCGCGAACCTGTGCCTCCGATGTTCAGTATGTCATAGGCTGGATTGATCAGATCGCCATCGGAATCGAACAGGACTTGACCGCTCACACCCGAGAAGTTTGTCAGCAGCAATTTGTCGAGTAACTTATCGCCACCATCAAAGCGTTTGAGCGCCGACAAATGCAGTGAACTTCCACTCGGGTCATGCAATATAGGTTCATCGGAGAAATCAATTGTTTGTTCTTCGTGGAGGAACTGATCGATAGCATGAGCGAGCAACCAAACAGAATCATACGCGTGAAACGCATAAGTGTTCAAGCTTGAGCTTGCCTTCCCGTTCCGAAACATATTGCTCCATCTGAAGGTAAATGCTCGCTTGAGATCAGACTCCGGGACATGCTGGCGAAGAACAATGGCCCCTTGTATAAGATCCATCGTGTCTGGGTTGGCTGACTCGGTCGAATCTACAACAGAAGCAAGCCAATCTGATGCTATCCACACATAACCATCACCCATCATTCCTAGAGATCTTGCCACCGAGAAGACCGTGAGACCCGAATCAGGGTTTACATGAACGACGTAAACCCGGGATTCCAATAGATTAATCTTCTCCAGCAAGCCAGTGATCGCGCTTCCGTCCGCGTTCGGAGGGAAGGCAGCTTTGTAGGAGATCTTAGAGCGTTTCTCGGCCAAAGCATCACCTAAAGCATCTATTCCTCCTCTACCAAAATCGTCATCCACGAAGATGGCAATGACCTCTCTCCAACCGTAGTGATCGATTATATCAGCTACTGCATTCATCTGGAAATGATCGCTCTGCGTCGTGCGAACCAAATATGAGTACTCCAGAGAAGAAAGTGAAGGGTCTGTGGCAGCGAAAGCGAGGAGTGGCACACGGAGCTCCTTGGCAGCATGTGAGACAACATGGGCAATCCCAGAGGACTGAGGTCCTATTATGGCAACCACCTGTTTCTCCATCAACTGCAATGCTGCGACAGCAACAACTTTCCTCGTCACGGAAACCCAATCCAAGACCACAGAAATATCAATGGAAGTTCCACCTACATCAACTCTACAGGATTGCAGCTCTGTAGCTAAACCTTCTAAAAGGGGAAGCAGAAAGAAGGCAGGAACAAGGCAGAAAAATGAAAGCAAACCGATCAATTATCGAAGCTATCCTCCGGATTTCACTTGTCGAGTTCACCAATACCTCTAAAATGCAAACTAGAAAGAAATGAGACTCAAAAAATGAAGTTTTTCTCCCTCCTGAGGGAGACTGATAAAGGAGAAGAGGAAGAATCACTGAAAAATTGGCAGTTCAGAACGACATGAGCAAAGATTACTTCTTTCCTCGGAAAGAGACGATGTTTATTTCTTTTTTGTGGTAATAAATGCACTCCTAAATGATACGATCGATATCTCAAATCTAGAAATTTCACAAGAAAGCTTCACAGATCAGATAAAACAAAAAAACCGAAGCCGAATGATCCTAATAATCGAGTGGGAGTAAGAGATCAATTGCAGTTACCTTCCATGGTTCCAAGAAACTCACTGCAATTTGTGTCCTGCGCAAGCAACCTGAGCTTTGTTCCAGCGAGAACGCTCGGATTTCTGTTGACGTCATCGACCGCGAGCTCAATCGCAAGCTTCGCAGCTCTCCCAATCGTGGAGTTGAAGGTAAACAGAGTCCCCACTCTGATCTCGCCCGGCCTCGTGCCAGGACTCGTACCATTGCCACCGGCGGCCATGGCACCCATTATAGTAGTAGAAAAACACAAAGCCAAGAAAGAAATCGAACCCATCTTCGTGAACAACAGCAAGAATGTTTATCGGCTATAATGAAGTATAAAAGCTATAGGAGCTTAGAGAACGAAGACTCGATTGGAGAGGAAAATTAGTCAAAGTTAAGGAAAACTAGTGTAGAAAAAAGGAAGGAAACTTGTGGATTATTTGAGGATTCAGAAACATAGGTAGACTTTGAACTGATGAATGTAACTGTTCATGGAATTTGGAATAACCAATGAGAATCTAATGGTTCCAAGGAAAGACTAAGATTTGAGTGTTGGATGGGGTAAGCAGGAGTAAGACCGACCGACCGTATGCCGCGTTGCTCTGTGCTTCCTCTACGGTCAAGGAATCCATACTTGCATGTTTGGGAAGCAAAGCGGCAACCCAGAGAACTAACTACATTAGAAACATCTTTACCAGTCATTTAAAGATGGGTGAAAGGATGTGGAATCCACATTTAGTTTCAAGAACCATAAAATTCATTAAGCTGGCATTTGGCTTCTTGTGCCATCCATCTTGCTAGAAGAGATTTGTACGGCCCCATCATAAAGTGTAAGTAAGTAACCTACACGTCATTGAGCATTCGTAGCTTTGATGCTGTATTTGTCACAAAATAAAAAAATATTAATGATGACTCTTTTTGGGATTAGATAACTGTAAAACTCACATACGTGTGTGTGGGACCAGTCATTACAATTATTGTACTCTGCTTATTTAAAGGTCAAGTTTGACTTGAAGAAGTCTTTTTTAAAGGTTATTTAAAGTTTGACTTGAAGGTTGGTTGACTTCCGCGTAGGATAATATCGTTGTTTTTGGTGTGAATCAGAATTGAATCACCCCGATTCTAGTTCTGGAATCAGAACCAAAATCGTATGTTCTGATTCCGATTTTGATTCAAATCATAAGTTTTTTATTTTATTTTCAATTAAATTAAAATATTAAAAAATATAATCTTATTTTAAAATTTAAAAAATAAAATGTCCATCTATAATGAGTGTAATGATATTTTAAAAAAATTATAAAAATTTTAATATAGCTAAAATGCCTCTATCAAAATTTGAACTAGTTAAACCTTTTTTTTCATGTGTAATCAATTTTGAATCCAAAACCATCGGTTTAGAAGAACCAGAATCATCGATTTTGATTTTTCCAAATTAGGAATCGGAATCGAATCGTCCATTCGGTGTTAGTTCAATTCTAGTTTTGACTCGATTTAATTTTCATTGAAATTAAATCATGATAAAGACTAATACCAAGATCTTTAGGAGTCGAGATTGACCGTCGCATTCACGGAATTAAGCATCAAGACCATAATTAGATGGCTATTTAGTTTTAACTACATGTCACATCTAAGGAGGAAAAACAAAATGGTAGACAACTTGACTCTTATCCACCTTTTGCTAATCACTGACCACAACATCTTATTGCATGAATTCTGTTGCTTTCTTCTTTTCCTTACTTTCTCTGCCTTGCGTTTATCTCTCTTTCTTACTTGTCTTTTTTCTTCCCTTGCTTTCGTATTGATTCCATTTCTCTTGCTTTCGTCTCCCTTTTGCCAAACGAAAGAAGAATAAACAAAGCGCGTGCATGATGTCTACATCCACACAACATGCTTTATTCGAGTCCTTTTAGCGTACTTCGATTTAGAGAACCAGTTTCATGCAGACCATGTTCACCTGCAAGAGATGCCTTCAGATCTATGGCTTATGTCGAACGAGGTGATGAGATTTTGTTGGGAGATGGGAGCTCTAGCCATTATGCCAGTGATCATATAGCGACGATGGTAATAGAAGCGCACCTGAAGAGTGACTTCCTAATGCTGTCATCACATCATTTGTATGATTTCATCATCGATGCATACGCGAGGAATGTGATCGATCTTTGGCCAGTCAGGTCCTCGATCCTTTCTGCACCGATCACTCAGCGACGGGCACCCCCATATTCGCACTTCTTTGACCGACATTGGCACGCCACTCTCCGGCAGTGAACTGATCTTGGGGCAGTTGCCTATGCTCAGCTTCTTGATGGAGGAAACGGTGACCAAGGAAGTAGGAAGTGCCTGCAGATTCGGGCAGTTGAGAAATTGCAGATGTTCGAGGGAGGTCAGCTGCTGAAACCACTCCTCCTGCTCCACTGTGAAGGAGACGAGATCACCGCAACGATGAAGTGCCAGATTCCGGAGGGAAGAGATTCTTCCTAACGTGAACCATACATTGTCGATGAGGTTTTCATCTGTTTGGAGATGACAGAGAGATCTCAGTTCCCGCTCCCCGTATCGTTGGCCTGGCTGTGAGGTCTCATACAACTTGGGGCATCCTTCGGTCTCCATATGTCTCATGTTGGCAAGAGACCTCAGACCACCAAGTAATCTCAACTCCGGGCAGTGATAAAGGTGCAACTCCCGGAGTTCACTCAGGTTGGATAGACAAATCTCCGTTCTGTGTGCGTAATGATACAACTCCAACTGGTTGAGAGAGGAGAGGGTTTGGAGACATCCAGGTAGCGCACTGCCGAGGTCACCACAATGCTTAAGACTGAGCTCTGCCAATGGCGACGAGGTCAGGTAGAGAAGGGGCGCTTTTCTCAGCCTCGGGCAATCGTACAAGTGGAGCACACGAAGGCGGCCCAAGAATTGCCTGCCATCTGCTTCAGCCCATTCCTCCCACTCCTTCAAAGATTCAAATTTTAGCGTCTCCAATGACGGAAACGCCTGCTCTGCATCTCCGTAAAACTCTGCTCCTATTCGTTTCACCGGCATCGACATGAGATGTAATAGCTTGAGGAAGGGAAGCTGCCCGAGCGGTGGGAGACTTTCGCACCTCGCACAATTGTTCAGGTAGACAGACTCCAGATTGGTGAGATGCTGATTCCTCACCAACCAATCTGGGGAAGTCGTACCTCCGTAGTGCTGGATTCTGAGCTCTTTGAGGTTGCAGTGTGGCTCCAGACCTTCGAGTATCTCCTTTTCCCGATCGCCGGGGCTATGCATGTCGGGTTTCCTATTCAACCACAGTGAATCGAGGTGCGATTTGTCCTTCAGTTTCGCCTCCATTGCCTCCTCCTTGGTTTCGACATTCTCGAGATTCTGTATCGTGAGCCGCCTTCGGAGATTTCTCAGTTCCTTCAACTCTCCTATCTGGTGTCCTCTCTTCCTGGCGACGCGGAATTCTGCGAGTTCCTGGAGCTCCGTCAATTTCCCGATCCCGTCGATCAGAGAAATCGTTTCGGCATCCGCGTACAGATGCCGCAATTTGATCAGCCTGTTCATTCCTTCCGCCATCTTCTTAAAGCGGCATGAATTCAGATTCAGCACCTGCAGATGGCAGATCCTGGAAAATGATTTAGGCAAGTGTCTCGTCTTCGTGCAGGAAAGGTCCAAAAACCGAAGGTGTGGTAGGTCGCAGATTGCATCGGGTAACTTCTTCTTCTTCCCCATGCGAACGTTCGACAGATCTAACACCCGGAGGCTCTTGAGATTCTCAAGCATGTCTTCCAAAACATGATAAAAATCTTCAGAATCATACTCGTTGAGAAGTATGATCGTTCGAAGCTTTCGGAACTTGCAGACACCTCTCACCGCATCCAGTTTCGTTGTCCTGAGAGCCAAGTGGCGAACGGTGGGTGGAATTTCCGCAGGCTCGTCGTCGACCACGAAACATTCGTCCCAAGAAACATAAACAGCCAAATCTCTCATCAGATCATGCATCACATGTTTGTTGTTCAGCGTAGGAAGGAAGAAGTACCTGTTGGACAATTCATCAAACATCTGACTCCCCAAGTCCTCCGGTCTCGTTCTTCCCTCGGATTTGGGATGGATGAAACCTTGGGCGATCCACATCTGGACTAATCGTTCTTTATCGAACACATGACCCTTCGGGAATATGGAAGTGTAAGCAAAGCATTGTTTCAGATTTGTGCTCAGGTGCTGATAACTCAGACCCAGAGATGGAAGGATGTTTTCCACGGCGAAGTCGTCCTCCCACCACTCGCTTTCCGATATCGTCGTCCAAAACTGCTCCTCTAACCTGCGTCTCAACAAGCTTCCCATCGCCTTCCCTGCTAAAGGTAAGCCATGCAGCTTTCCCGAGATTTCCCGACCTATCAATTCCAACTTTCTCGCTAAATCGGGGTCGAGCACCTTGTCACCGAATGCACATCGCTCGAAGAGTCTCCAAAAGTCATCTTGCCCCAACACCTCCAGTTTGATCGGCTCCATGGTCCCCATGGTCTCTGCAACCAGGGGGCTCTGAGTCGTCACCAGTATGGTGCTTCCTCTGGCCCCGGAGGCCAAGGCGTCGCGGAGTTGTTCCCATTTGCTTCCTGTTTCATCCCACACATCATCGAGCACAAACAAGAACCTCACGTTTCTTGTAGCATCCTGGAGCTTGGCTTGGATTTCTCCTGAGCAGATATCATCAAAGAGAGGATCGAACGCCATGTCGTACACCAGTTCTTTGACGATTTTTCTCAGGTTGAAATCGTCGGAGACGTACACCCACCTCCGGAGCTCAAAATGGTCGGCCACCAGTTGGTCGTTGTAGACGAGCTGTGCCAGTGTGGTCTTCCCTACTCCTCCCATGCCTACGATCGGAAGAACTCCGAAGCTGGGGTGGCTGCTACTCCCGGCCCTCTTGTCGCCGAAATCGGGATCATGTGCCGAACTCAGCAATATGTCCAGTATCTTATTTCTCTCTTCATCTCTCCCGATCACTTCATCGTGGAGGAATGAGCTGGTCTCCCTGGAGGCAGAATTGTCCTTCCCGTTGTACTCGTCCAGCTCTGCTTTCTTCCGGTCGATGTCAAGGCAAATATCGTCGAGATCCCCCACGAGTTTCCCTAACCTTCGGAGCTCGTCGTCGGTGACGAATAGGTTCTTGAGAAATCTGAGGGCCGAGGAGGCGAGTGCCATCACCTTGCTGCTGTCATGCAGATGACGACTGCGGAGTTCCTTCAACTCGAACTCGTCGAGCATGTCGTCGGCCTCGTAAGCAGCATCTTTGAGTTCCGCTAGCCACAATGCCAGCGACGTGTCTCTGATCGGCCTCCCCTCGGCCGCATGGATCACGGCGTGCACGCCGGGAAGTCTCTCCTCCACTCTCTTCAGCATGGCTCTGACATCCCCCAGCACATTGCGGTCGTCGGCGCAAGAGGAGAAGGCCTCCTCCGTCATCTTGTCCCTCACCTTCCCTGCGACATAACGCGCAAACCACTCTCCAACCATCATCACCACGCCTGCCGTCTTCATCCGGGGAGATACTCGATCCTCAGATTGCTTCTCGGCCGAAGAGTCAAGACCTAATTGTTCCTTCTTCCCTGCGGGCGCAAAAGATCCTTGAAATTGCCACCGACGACTTTCCTAACAAAAGATTGAGCATACATTGGGAATCCAAAAGCTTAGCCGTTGACCTCTTTGCCAATGACTTCTAAGACCAGTCCAAATATTCCCACAAGCTCACCCAACAACCATAATTAATATGAAGCCTGAAAGCAAACCACCCTTTGGTCTCATAGCAGAAGCCATTCGACCAAATAAGCTTACAATCTAGTCAAGCGATCAATAATTTAACGTATGAATCGTAACATTTAGATGGATCCAAAACATGAAATTTAATTAAGGTGGTTGGTCCCCAACTTGGTTGCTTCGAAAGGGAAACAAAGGAGAATTAGATCTGGGGGGCTTATAGATCATACACATCATCAAATAATAAGCAATACCACCTTGCTGATCCTATCGATTACTCTGCAAGCCCATCGATAAGATTTTAGATTTAAAAAACATTATATCACCAATGGATGCTATCAAGGAAAACTAATATGGTTGCTAATGGTCAAATATCAAATGAGGTTTTTATATTTTCCCAAAGAGTTTTATTATCCTCCCGTAGATTCTATTTTCTAGAAACAATACTCAAGTGACTGCCAAATTGATCGTACCACACTACATATCATATGAAGTTTGAATAACTAAAGCACATAAAACACTTTTTGACAATTCAATTCATTCCCCCAGTTGTCATCATCATCATCATCATCATCATCATCATCATCATGTTCAGCTCCATCTCCAATACAAACTTGGTCGGCAGCAGTACCACCGCAAGTGACTCTGGTCATCTGCAAGAAATACATAGCCAAAGATGATGTGTTCTTCCATGCCCGGTGCATCGATGCGTTTATTGGACTGATGGCAACAACAACCGAGATAAGAAGATGATCATGCAAAAAGAATAAAACATAGATTGGAAAAGAAAAGGGAAAACAAACCCAAAGAACTGAGGACTGCTATTCCTGTTCCTGTTGCTGCGATGCCACAGATTCGATTTCCTGATCATCAGTTCGTATGTAAGGAATATGGGCAATCTTTGGCCAGTCAGCTCCCTCATCCTTTCTGCACCGCTCGCTCAGTGATGGGCATTGCAAGATAATCAATTCTTTCAGCAACAATGGCAGGCCATTCTCGGGCAGTGACTTGATTTCAGGACAGTAAAAGATTTCCAACTTCTTGATGGAGGAAATGTTGGCCAAATTAGCAGGAAGGCTCAGCAGTTCTGCACAAAATGCGAATTCAAGTTCTTCCAGGGAGGGTAACTGTTGAAGCCACTCCTCCTGCTCGACTGTGAAGGAAGCAAGATGCTTGCAACTCCAACACCGCAGTTTCCGTAGAGCGTGGATTCTTCCAAACATGAGCCTCATATTATCAAGAACGCATCCGTCGGTGTTGAAATAAGAGAGAGATCTCAAGTTCTGCTCATCACTTGGTTGGTCCCACTGTAAGCCCGGCTCATACAAGTTAGGACATCCTTCGATCTTTAGCTCTCTCAGTTTGGGAAGGGATCGAATCCCACCAGGTAATCTCAACTCCGGGCAATTAATAAGCCATAAAACATTGAGATTGCTGAGGTTAGACAGACAAACTGAGGCTCTATGTTTGCAATCACGAAGATCCACAATGTCGAGAGAGGTTAGCAACAGGAGACATCCAGATAGATCACTACCAAGGTCGCCAATGTTCAATAAACTTAGCACTTTTAGAAACGAAGTAGGCAGGTGAGGAAGAGGTGCTTTTCTCAGCTTCATGCAATTACAAATGTGGAGTTCACGAAGACGAGGTAAAAACTGCCTACTGTCTGCTTCAGACCATTCCTCGCATCCCTCCAATAACTCGAATCTTAGAAACTCCAACGACGGGAAGACTGGATCAGCATTCTCATAAAGTTCAACTCCAATGAGTTTTAGCGCAGGCATCACCTTGAATTCAAGATTTTTTAGAAAGGGAAGCTTCCCAAGAGGGGGGAGACTGACAAGCCTTTTACACGAAGTTAAATAAACAGATACCAGGCTGATGAGATGATTGGTTACCAACCAAGTTGGACACCTCAGACCTCCATAAAACATGATCTCAAGCCGTTTCAAACCGCATGGTGGTTCAAGGCCTTCAAGTATATCCATGTCCAGGTCTCCACGGAGGTCTTCCCTATCCTCGGTCCAGATGTTTGACACCTCATCGAGCTGATGTTTATCCTTCAATTGTGCCTCCATGGCCTCCTCCTTGCTTTCCACATTCTCAAGATTCCGTATGCACAGTCGTCTTCTGAGATTTCTCAACTGCTTCAACTCTCCTATCTGGTGCCCTCTCTTCCTTGCAACCTGGAAAATTTCTAATTCCTGAAGGTCGGTCAGTTTCCCAATCCCATTTATTAGTGAGATTGTTCCAGCTTCAGCATAAAAGTATCGCAACCTGATCAGTCTGTCCATTCCTTGTGTTAGCTTGTATAAAGAGAAGCACCCCTTCACATTCAGCACTTGTAGATGGCACAGCCTAGAAAACGATTTAGGCAGCTGTCTGATCTTAGTGTGAGAAATGTCCAAATATCGAAGATGTGATAGCTCGCAGATTGCATCTGGTAACCTCTTTAATCCCATGTGAACATATGACAAATCTAACACCCGCAGGCTCTTGATGTTTTCTAAGATGTCTTCTAAGACCGCATAAAACTCTGTAGGATTAAACTCATGAAAAAATATAATAGTTCTTACCTTCCTAAATTTGTGCACTTGTCTCACCGCATCAAGTTTTGCAGCTGTAAAAGATAAGTGGCGAACGGTTGGTGGAATTTCCACAGGATCATCATCGTTGACCACACAACATTCATCCTGTGAAACACACACAGCCAATTCTCTGATCAAGTCATGCATCATATATCCACCATCCTGTTTACTCAGAAAGAAGTACCTGTCAGCTAATTCATCGAAAATCTGGCTCCCAATATCCTCTAAACTCATTCTTCCCTGGGATTTGGATTGGATAAAACCTTGAGCAATCCACATTTGTACTAAACGTTCCTTGTGGAAGACGTAAGCCTTGGGAAATACAGAAGCATAAGCAAAACATTGTTTCAGGTTTGTGCTCAGGTGTTGATAACCCAACCCCAAAGATGGCAGGATGTTGCTCACAGCAAAATCTTCTTCCCACCATTCGCTTTCCAAGACTGCGTTCCAAAATTTCTCATCGAATCTGGTTCTTAGCAAACTTCCCAGTGCCTTCCCTGCTAAAGGCAAGCCATGTAGCTTTTGCAATATTTGTTGACCAATTAATTGTAGCTTTGCTTTCAAATCTGGTTTGAGCTCCTCATCGCCAAATGCACAAAGCTCGAAAAGTCTCCTGAAATCATGCGCCTCTAGAGGCTCCAGGTGGATCGGGTTCATGGTCCCCATAATCTCTGCTACTTTTGGACTCTGAGTTGTTAGCAAAATTGTGCTACCTTTGGCCCCGAATGTTAAGGCACTACGGAGTTCCTTCCAAGTCGTTCCCGTTTCATCCCACACATCATCCAGCACAATCAAGAACCTTTTATCCTTAAATTCATCCTTAAGTTTCTTGAGCATGGCAGCTGAACTGATGTTCTCCTCAAAGACTCCACCTGGAGAGTCATATATCAGCTCTTTGAAAATCCTCTTCAACTTGAAATCGTCAGAGACATAAACCCACTTCCGCTTGAAATGGTTAGCGACCCTTTCATCATTGTAAATAAGTTGTGCCAGAGCTGTCTTGCCTACTCCTCCGATGCCTACAATCGGAAGAACACCAAGACTAGGATAGCTGCTACTCCCAGCACCCTTGTTACCAAAATCAGGTTCATCATCTAAACGCAGCAGCATATCTAGTATCTTGTCCCTCTCTTTATCCCTCCCGAACACTTCCTCTCGCATGAATGAGCTGGTCTCCCTAGTTGCAGATTTCCCCTTTGCTATGTACTCATCCACTTCAGCCGTCTTGCTGTCGATGTCGAGAAAAATTTCATCGATATCCCCCACAAGATTCTTCAACCTTTGAAGTTCATCATCTGCGACAAATAAATTCTTGATAAATCTACGAGCTGAGGACACAAATGCAGCCACCTTGCTACTGTCTTGCGACTCTTGAAGTTCTCTGAATTCGAACTCATCGAGTGCATCGTCAGCCTCATAAGCAGCATCTTTGAGTTCCCTTAGCCAATTGACCAGCACTTGGCTCCTGATAGGCTTCCCCTCGGCTGCATGGATCACAGCTAAAATGCGAGGAAGACTGTCCTCCACTTTCTTCAGCATGGTCCTAACATCCACCAGCATGTTGTCATTGTCAGAAGTAGAGGAGAGGGCCTTGTCTCCCATCTTGTCCATAACCTTGCCCGCGACATACCGTGCAAACCATTCTCCCACCATCATAAACATGCCTGTCGTACCCATTGATGCCAATACTTGCACTGCATGGTTTGAGGTTCTTATTTGTTAAAGTAATGGAACAAGGGAAGTCCTAAAGCTTCAAATACACAAGCCTAATCTATTCACTTGGCTAAGTTCTGAATGTCCAAATGACATGAAAGAAAGTAGTAGTGATACATGCGGCCACTAGATTCACATAGTATACTGCATTCACAGAAGAAAAAGGAAATGTACAATTTGACCAACTAATATTCCTACCTCATTTTTATTTTAGAAAAACCTTTTTCTCTTAAAAGACAACTGTTACCAACTAATAAGCTATTTCCAAGAATGCTGGTTGATTGAAATGATCTTATGATTATGTTGAGAAAAATTAGTAGATCCTTATCCGAATCCAATGAAACTTATGAGATCCCAGTATCCAAATCCTGAACAAAAATAGGCCCTATCCAGAAATCCCATACCAACAACCTCGACATATCTGATGTCAATATTTTAAAAACTGACTGACTTCTAGAGCCACTTATCTGTTCGCTCATGCAAAGGGATCATATGACAGCATCATATAATTCTTTTTCTAGACATACATCCAATTCCCAACATTTAGTTCTTTTTCTAGAGGTCGAGAAGTGAAAATTGATTGTAGAACAATGATTCATAAGACAATGTTATTGAGATGCATCTTCATCAAGTTAGGATTACTTTTTAATCTTGAGAAACTGATAACTTTTGAATTTAGTGTTGAGTCAAAGGTTTAAGAGTTTACTAAAAAGTTAAGAACGAGGGCTATATTCAAGTAGGGCTGATAGAAACTAGCACTAGTATTGCAACCTGTAATTGGACCATAAATCTAACATAAAAATGTTCATAATCTTCAATCAGATCTAGGAATTTTTTTTTGTGGTTTCGGATGTGAAGCATGAGACTTGTCTTGTGATACTCATCGGTGACATATACATTGTATTCTTTACCAAGCGGGCGAGATCGAACTATTTGCTGTAATAATAATAATGTATTTAGCATTCTACGGTTCCCTGGGATAAATAAAGAGTGAAGCAGTTTGCTGAAGACATTGGTTCCAAAGAGACTCCCATTAACTGGATATTAACTAACTCAGGAGTAGTCATTCCAACAAAAAGCACTCTCCACCACACTTTTAGACATGTCAAAGTCGATCATACACCATACCAACAAGATGACTAACTTCAAAATATTTCCAAGACAAAATCAATATGTATGTATATAATCAAGAGCAATTCAAACGGACATGATAATTCAGCAAAACGCAACATTCATGATAAACAGCATGCTAGTAGACATATACGATCAAAAGTAGCAAAGAGAACAACAGTCTAGCCATCTCCCTCGCTGCTTGACCAGATGTTATGACTCCAAAACATTGGGTATCCTCGAAAAGAATGAGGATTCCCAAATTTCGGACATGATCGTCAGAAAAGGGATGTGCACCACCATAAAGAACAAAATCAGTTTGTTTTTTTTTTCCAGGAATGATGATTATTTACAGTTCTAATATGGAAACGATATGACATCCAAACAAAAGAACAAGAAAAAGGCAGAAATTCTTGTTGAGTACTCTATCAGGCCCAAATTGCTTTAAAAAAAGGGTTTTTCAGATCTAAAAGAGAAATACTTCCGGACCTGAAATTAATTTTTAGTAAATGAATCAGTAAATTCTATCGGTTTTCTGTTTTAATCTAAAAGGCAAAGTAATAGACTTGTACTTCTCCGATCGAAGATTCGAAAAGGCAGAAATCTCATGAGATAACAAAGCAAACAAATCGATCGATACTCCAATATCTGATGTGTGGATCTTTCCGGCCCACGACCTGATTCAGATACCAGGAAGACGAAAGAAATCTACCATGGGCATTAAGAAGAACTCCATTTGCCACCCAAAAAAAAAAAGTTGGCGCGGGCATACTTACGTTATGGCCTCTGGAAGAAAAGAAGTGACTGGTCGATAAGAGCCAGGCGGCGATACACTTGAGCAGAGGATTTGGGAAACAGCGAAGCGACTTCAGAGCTCCTCTCTGGACGCCCTTCTTCAAAGCTCGTGTTTACCGTTCAGCAAGAATGGTTCACACTGTAATGAAAAAGCCAACATCAAGTGGGTCTTAAAAAGACGACAAAATCGCAGTCGTTGAATAAATGAAAGATGCGTGCACTTACGCCGCCCACTCAAGATACGAAGACAATTTATACGTTCCAAGAAGAACAAAGGAGTTATGTGGACGTTTTCTAAGCCTATTGTCGTCTGTCAAGTCTACAGAGTTTCGTAGAAGTTTCCTGGGTTTATTTATTTTGGTTCGTGGTAATGCAAACGAGATTATTTTCTTTCGTTAATAAAATTTTCCGACATTTTCTTTTTAGGAAAAAGAAAAGTAAGTCTACCGCAGCTTCGTCTTCTATAGTTGATTGGTTCGAGGAAGAGAGAAGCCTCCATTCCGCAGGAGTAATGGTGATGGAAAAAAAGAGAGCCAGAAGGGTGGAGAAAGAAGAAGAAGAAGAACGCGAGCGGGGCAACGAGTTTGCGAAGCTGCCGAAGGAGTGCATCCTCCACGTTTTCTCCTTCGCGACACCTCGTGACTCGTGCAGGTCGGCTGTCGTCTCCAAGGCTTTCCTCTCCTGCACGGGGACCGATGCCCTGTGGGAGCGTTTCCTGCCGTCGGATTATGCCGAGATCCTATCGCGGGCCGTTAATCCCGTCTCCTCCCCCTCCTCCAAGAAGGAGCTCTATTTTGGTCTCTGCAAGCCCATCCTCATCGACGGCAGAAAACTGGTACGTGAAATGATTCCTTAGAACTCCCTTCCTTCCATCTAAAAATTGCATACTATTTATTCGAGTGAAACTGAAATTTGATTCTCAATTTAGTCTTTTTTATCATATTAATCCTTTAACAGTAATTAAATTAATTATGTAGCAATCAAATTCTTTCTTGCATCTACCGATTGTCAGTTCGAACTAATCTAAAAATTTAGATATATTCTATTTCATTTAATTTTCTTATTTTCCTTTTCGTTGGTTTGATGATTGATTAATATGACATAAGCGTTGCTAAGTTCAAGTAAAAGTATACTTTTGCGGCTACGATTCACTCAACTGTAAACGATTGCTGCGAAGTTGTAATCAAATTATTTGTGAGATCTGAAATTATTTGTATCATTAGCATTAACAAGGAAGACGAAACAATAAGAAAGGCATCAAATTACATAGCTCTTCTCGAAATTAGAACACTAAATTTTCCATGCGATCCATCCATCTCCGTGTATCCAATACTTGGTTCTTCTCCATACGCGGAACGAAAAGCTTCTTCTGAACTGCCAATTTCTCTTCAATGTCAGAGCTTTCATTTGGAGAGATCGACCGGGCGCAAGTGTTACATGGTGTCTTCGAGTATCATGTATATGGCATGGCGGCACGTATGGCGACACTGGAGATGGATCTCACATTCAGACTCCAGGTGACTGCTACTACCACTACTTGTACACTGAACTGAAAATAACGCAATACATTTGCAAGCATTTCTAAGAAGCGAGAGAAGGGCAAATGCAAATACTGGTGGTCACCTGATTGAACCATGAAACAATTTATTTCACAGTATCAATTCATTTAAAGCTCGATTGAGATTTGCTCCAAAGTTGGAGGAGGAATGGATTCAGTGACCCATTAGAATTTTCACTTAAGTTACTAACCTTGTCACTTCATTCATTTTGGATCATCAGGTTTGGAGAGGTGGCAGAGCTTGTATCCGTTTGTTGGCTTGAAATCACTGGCAGCATAAATAGTGGACTGCTCTCTAAGAAGACGTTGTATACAGCTTATATGGTCTTCAAGTTGGCCTCCGGCGCATATGGCCTCAATTCCCCTCCGCAGAAAGTCTCGGTCAGCTTGGGAACCTATTCATCCGATAGTTTCATTACTCTACAGCAGGATGATGACGATGATGACGACGACCAGGAGGAGGAGGACGAGAAAGGAAAGAGGAAGCTGAGGGACGATGGTTGGATGGAGATCGAGCTGGGTGATTTCTACAACGATGAAGGGGATAAAGGGGAAGTAAGGATCCACCTGAGCCAGTGCGAAGCCCTGCATTTCAAGCATGGACTCCTCATCGAGGGACTTGAGTTCAGACCCAAGATTTAAGGAGGACATGCATGCGCACTAGCCAGGAGGAGACTCGATGACTCTTTTAAAGAACTTGAACCTTGCTTTTCATGATCCATTTCATCATGAGCTGATAGAGAGAGAAACTCTGGGCTTCTAAGCTTATTTCATATATAATAAACTTCACTGTTATTAATCGTACTAATTATTTTGTTAGAAAAAGATTCTAGTCATATGATTTAGTATTTTACCATGAAACTTTTTTCATTCGGAGTTGTTCTCCTCTGACTCCGAGAACGATAACATGCTTGTGGATGTAGAGGACAGACTTGCTCGAATCCAAGCTATGATCCATGCAGCTGAGGGGAAGCCGATCGAGAGCCGAGTACTGACCGATTGGCTATGTGAACTCAAAGATGATGCTTATGATAAGGACTACAATTATGCTGCACAATGTTCAAAAAGTCTCCAGCAATCAAAGAATCGTGCTGACCAATCTACTGTCGAGCCGCGCTCAGAGAATTGCAACAGTTCTGCCAAGTCCTAGAAAACATCAAGAGCCTGCGAGTGTTGGATTTGTCATACAGCCCACATGGTGGTCAGACGTTACCAGAGGCTATCTGTGACCTCCCACGTCTTCGGTGTTGAGACCATTCTCACACTATGATCATACGACTGCCTAAATCGATGTCTAGGCTTTGCCACCTGCAAGTGCCGAATCTGAAAAGGTGCCATTTGAATGCAAGAGATGACATGGTTTGAGGACACCTCATGGGAGAGTCGAAGGACCTAAGAAGTATCACGAGGCGACTTACTGTACAGAAGCTTGAGAATGTCGAGAGCAAGGAGGAGGCCGCGGAAGCAAAATTAAAGGAGAAAGAGCACCTCGATCAACCGTTGTTGTCCTGGAATCCTGGCGTAGGAAGCCAAGGGAGAGATGTGATCGATCTTAGAAAGCTTACGATCGACCGCTACGGTGATCCGACATATCCAACTTGGTTGGTGACCGCCAATCCGCGTCTCATAAATCTTGTATCTATCTTCCTCGGTGGCTGTGCAAATTGTCAAAGTCTCCCACCCTCGGGGCAGCTTCCCTTTCTCGAGGGTATTACACATCGAGTTAATGCCTGCTGAAAGCGAATCGGAGTTTAATTTTACGGCAGATTCTGATCCAGTCTTTACGGTGGAACGGCAGAGAGTGAAAATGAATGTACAGGCACCTGAGAACAGAGTGGGAAGAAGCTGAGCATGCCCGAGGACTAGGAGATGGATTCGGAGAGCTTGGAGAAGCTGAGCTTCTTGAGGCGGTTGCTCATCGGGTTGCTGCACTTCAGATCGACAACTTCCACAGTGTAACCGTGGCCTTTCTTCTCCACCTTATCCTTACCAGAGTTCCGAGCCATGGGACTGTCACCAGACCCTAATATCGGAACTCGATGGCCATTTTTGCGTGTGCTGTGTCGGCGTTTCTGAGCATCCGCACAGTGATCCTGCCCGATACTGCTGCCGCTGCTGCCACATCCATCTGCTTGATTTCTCCTTCGCGATGCTTTCCCAGGAGCAGCACCGCAGGGTACGAAGACGGGACCTGTTTGTTGTCTTCTTCGAGTGGAAGAAGATGCTTGTTCCGAGTGCTTCATGGATTCTAATTCTCGAGTCATCAGGGAGCCAATGGTGCCGGTTGTGCCGACCTCGAGAGAGCCTTCGCCATCGTCACTGACATCCATGTTATGTCGATGGAGAATTGATCCTGCAAGCTGTGGATCGGCGTTATGAATTCTGAAAAGAGTTCATCAAAAGTTTTCCTTTTTTCTTTCGAATAAAACAACACAAAAATAGAAGCATAGAGGATTCGGAGATTTGATTCACTCACAGAAACTAAATATCACAAAAGCCAGAGGTCGGAATTCTTCACCGGAAGCATTCTCTCGTTCATAAAGATCTTACCTAAGACCGATGGAATCTATCATCAGATATCATACGATCCAACAAGAACAACTCCAAGACGTCAAAAATCTCGGAAAGAAACATAAAGGGAAAACCTAAAGCTATCCATGAAGAGAGAGCCACGGCATTATTGCAAGCAGACGCTTCTGATGACATGACTTACAGAGATTGGGGGCGTAAGTGAAACCATAATTAATACACATCATAAAGCATCGAGCAACTTAAGGCCCCAAAAGCATAAGTTTAAGATATCATGACCAACCAAATCCTGAATTCACTGTGCAAACCACATGCATGCATGAATACACCGATCCAAATAAAACGTATAGGTACATATAAAACAATGACGTGTCTGGTTGAGGTTGGGTCCATCGTCCTCACAATGCCTTGGACCTCAAGGTGGAATTCGATCACCAAGGAGTACTTTTTGGAGCTTTCCTAATTCAAAATTTGTGATTGAGATCTATCTTTTAACTACTACTATGCAAGAACATCAAATGATCCATTAATAATATGACTGGTTGCATTTGATGAAGGATGATGACAAGAGCATCGCAGCCTTAGTGTTGTAGTATATTTATGCATAATGAAAAATGGTATCCGCTACTAGTTTGTTACATGTATAAATTAAGAGAGAGAAATAATAATAATAATAAAAGATAAATTAGTGTCAACATGTTATGGTGATGGACAGCTAATATATTAATTTTGTTAAATTTAATGCTTAAGCTCAAATTAATAGTCTTTATCTTTTTTTAGTATAGGATTAAATTAAGATGTTATAATTTCTTTATTTAATGGCTTAATATCTTTTTTAAGCCCAAGATGGTTCAAAATTAAAGTCTAATCTGATTCATGTGAAACATAATTGGGTGATTATATTTTTTCTTATTCGAGTCTCTCTCACTATAGCCTGTAACATATAATTTATGGCTCAATGAGATACTTTGTCTACTAACTTTATTTAAGATCGACATTCATGAGTCGTCAATTACTATCCCAATTATTAATGTCATTCGTTTGCTGAAACAAAGACAATACATTTGTCGATCGAGAGATCGGTGGCTGTGCAGCTCTCGTTTCACGTGAATTCTTCGAGAACGCCAATCATGTGAAAGAATTCATACACCGTTCTTAAATCAGCTCACCACTAAAAACCATCCCCCGCGTGCATCTCAAACATGTGTGTCCTATTTGATGTGGCAATTTACGATACCACTCTTCCCAGAATCGAGTTCCTCATCTCACAAGGGTAATCTCCAATGTCCCCCAACATCCATCGTCAGATTCCCATTATGATCCCTTTCCTTGTCATCTCCAACCTCACGTCGCTTGCTTGGATCACACACATCATCATCATCATCATCATCATGTTGATTCCGCTCCTTCCCCCTCTCTAATACCAACCTTGGACGACTCCTCACTTACAGTTCACTCCTCGCCTCTCTCACAAAGAAAGGCCAAGCCTTCAAGTCTACTCTATTCCCCTTCACTCTCCCCCTCCTCTCTCTCCAACTTCCTCGTCCTCCTCTTCTCCTCCCAACAACCATTTCAAGATCCCTCAACCCAAACCACCCCTTCTCCTCCCCTCTTTGACCTTTCGTTCCACAATCTTTCCCTCCTCCCATTTGCTACATTCCTTCTTTGTTCCATCAAGATCCAATTTTTGTCTCTCTTTAAATGGCTACTTCCACCTCCAAACCCTCTTCTAGGCTCTCCAAACCCTCTTCCTCCTCTTCCAAATCCCAATCTTGCTCTTCCTCCTCTTCTGGCCTTTCCTCCCATGTCGCCATGGTGGAGCTCAAGTCGCGGATCCTCGCGGCGCTCGCGAAGCTATCCGATCGCGACACCCACCAGATCGCCGTCGACGACCTCGAGAAGATCATCCGCACCCTCCCCGCCGAGGGCGTCCCCGTGCTCCTCAACGCCCTCGTCCACGACCCCTCCCTGCCTTCGCCCACCCCCCAAGAAACCCCCGGCTCCAAGCACCCCTCCTTCCTGATCGCTCGCCGCGAGTCCCTCCGCCTCCTCGCCCTCCTCTGTGCCGTCCACACTGACGCCGCCTCCGCCCACCTTTCCAAGATCATGGTCCACATTGCCCGCCGCATCAAGGACTCGGCCTCTGACTCCTCTGTTCGCGATGCCTGCCGCGACGCCGCGGGCTCGCTCGCGGCGCTCTACCTTCGCCCCTGGGTCGCGGCAGCGGCTGCGCCGGAGGATAGCGCTGGCGGCATCGGAGGGTCATCTTCGATGGTGGCGCTGTTCGTGAAGCCGCTGTTCGACGCCATGGGGGAGCAGAATAAGGCGGTGCAAGGCGGGGCAGCCATGTGCCTTGCTAGGGTGGTGGAGTGTGCCGGGGCTAACGATGATGGTGGGGAGGGGGAGGAGGGAAGGGTGACGGCGTCGGGGACGATGCTCCAGAGGTTGTGCCCCAGGATCTGTAAACTTCTTGGAGGCCAGAGCTTTCTTGCCAAGGGGGCGTTGCTTTCAGTTGTCTCTAGCTTGGCGCAGGTCTGTTCGTGGATTCTTTTAGTTTCTTGACATAGTCTATATAACCTACCAATGTAGATTGTTTTAGTAGGCATTAAGCCCTTACGTTAGAACAACCTCCTGGGTTTGTATGTGTCGACGGTGATGATGGCATTCAAGGTAAACCACATTGTGCGATCTGAACTGGAGATCAGATCCATGGAATTTTCCTCTCTTCTTTCGGTTAATCTGTCCTTAATGGTCTCATTGAAGCCAATGAGATTTTCCATATTCTCATTTTTGTAGTCTTGATTGTGGGAAATTTTTGTTGGCTCTCTGTGTTCTTCTCTTCTGTACTCCTGTTGTCTGATTAAATTCTTTCTTAACAATGCTTTGATTTTTTTTTTTTTACCTAATTGATCCTTTCTGTTGCTCTTACTTCATGGTATCCTGTTTGTCTTCTTTCTTCTTGACACTTATGTAGTCATGTTCTAATTTAAGAATGTATACATTTTTAATGGTTTTCAAATCTTGTCTAGTATGGTTTATCTCAATTTCAGCATGTTTCATCATCTTTGTAGAGAAGCAGCTTGTCTTTTTAATTTTATACCTCAGAGTTGGGCAGCGTCAGATATATCTTGTAAATGCTCTTTGGTGTTTAATAAACTTATCTGACGTATGCTTTGTTTTTTTAGAATGTTAATAAGAACTGATAAACCAAAAAAAAAATTTTGAGATGTTGCCTATTTTTCTCCTCGAAGAAACATATTCACTGTTTGAAATCAGTAGTCAATTATTCCACTTGTAAAATAACACTGAATCTTTTTACCTGAGCTTTAAATGTATGTCTTCTTCATCAAATAAACAATTTCAAGATGGAAATGATATTTTGAATCCTCGCTTTTTATTTTTATTTCTGTTGTAATTTACTAGTGTTTGGTCAGGGGCTTCTATTGGCAATATATCATTTCCTAGTATTCTTGATAGAGAAAAGTGCTCTCTTTGCAGACACCAAGAGAACAGGCTAGAGTTTCTGAAGGAAATCAGATTAGATTAGGTTGGTCCAAACAGAATACTTACCATTTTGTTTTTCAGGTAGGAGCGATACATCTGCAGAGCATGCAACAACTGCTGCAAATTGTTCGTGAATGTCTTGAAAGCAGTGAATGGGCTACCCGTAAGGCAGCTGCAGACACATTGTGTGTCTTGGCCTCTCACTCGAGTCATTTGCTTGGTGATGGAGCTGCAGCAACAATAACTGCTCTTGACGCTTGCCGTTTTGATAAGGTGTCTCTTTTATTAATGCATCAATTACAAAATATGTGCTTACACTTGATATAGTCAGTTGAACATAATTTTTAATGGAAGTTTGTCAAAGGCTATACATCTTGTTTTGCTAGGTCTGTCAATATCTTGCATTATCCATTTTAGGTAAAACCTGTCAGAGATAGCATGATGGAGGCACTGCAGCTATGGAAGAAGATCAAAGGACAAGGAGAGGGTGGAACATCAGGAGACAAGAAAGGCATGTGCTGAGCGTTCTGACATTTTAAATTTATCCTTCTTTTCCAGTTTCTGTTACTTCCTTTTTTCTGACCTGCAGATTCTAGAAACTCTGACTTAACTGATAGTGAGGAAAAGGCAACTCACAAGAGGTCCAACTCTAATAAGAGGTCAGAAACTTTGAAAAACTCATCTGCTGGTTCTTCACCCAGTGAAAATGATTCTGTATCCAGAGGAAAAGGCACTAATATGCCTGAGAAAGCAGTCATACTGTTAAAGAAAAAAGCACCATCTTTGACTGACAAAGAATTGAACCCAGACTTCTTCCAAAAGCTTGAGAAGAAGAGTTCAGATGACCTGCCAGTAGAAGTAGTGTTACCTCGTAACTGTTTGCAGTCTTCCCATTCACAATGTGAAGAAGGACCAGAAGCAATTTATAGTGATTCAACGGAAACACCAAAGCATAGTGGAGCAACACTCCAGCAATCGGATGACATTCATGGACATAATAATGCTAATTATCATAATGCAGAGAAACGACTGGGGGTTCACAATAATGTGCAAGACTCGGATTATTTTCCTAGGGGGAGATGGATAGAGCAAAGAGGTATCAGAGCAAAAGAATCAAAAGCAGAGGATTTTGATGGTGACGATAGATTGGAGGTCTGTCAGAAAGATCCCTCTCCTGGCTGTCTTAATGTCCCTAGATCTGATGCTCATGCTGAAGGGTCCTTTATGAGCAATAAAGCGAATTGGTCTGCCATACAGAGGCAGCTAGCCCAATTAGAGAGGCAACAAATCAGTCTTATGAACATGTTACAGGTTTGCCATAAATGAAGTTGCTAGTTTTTCATTATTTTTTATGTAACAATAAATTCTTTTTTCTTTCCTTCATTTAATGATTTAGTAGCTCATTTTTTTATTGTTTTTAGCAGATTGTTAGACTGCATATCCTTTTAGTGCCTGTTGGCTCTCAAGATTGGTCTCATTATGTTTTTCGTTGTTTATGAAGATTGATTTACAAAGAGTAGTTTTATATTTCTCATTCATGTTTAGATGTGTTTCTACAAGTATCTTGTTTCTTTTTCTTGCACTTTATGATAATTTGTTGTTCTAAGATAATATTCCTCAAACTTTTCCTACCTTCAGCCTATAATTGGACTTTTTGAAAACTTTCTCACTGTATGCTGTCCATTTATTCAATTCTTGCTCCACCTCTTAATGTGCCACAAATACTGATTGGTTTGCCTCATATAATTGATTCATCTATTGTGTGATATCACTATTTACATTTGCCTTTTTTTCTTTAAATAACAGTATAAGATCAAGTTGATAACTTAATTCTTTTTTCTGTCTTTTAGTCGCTTGAAGAAGTGGTATCTTGGTAAAGGTGACTTCATTATGTGATCCACTTGTGTTAAAGGATCAAATATGGTTGCAACTTTGATATTGTACCTTTTTCTTGTTTATACAATATATTCAGGCGCACTCCGCCTTGGATATTCAGAAGCAATTGTTCATGCACAGGTACTTCCTTCTAACACAAGCAACTACTGAAACGATGTGTGAATGCATACCGATGTCATGTGAATACCACTGATGCGAGTAAAGCCCACTGTCACATTGAAAAGATTTTCTGGGATTTGGACAATCACATTGAGAAGATTTTTCTGCCTGTTACCATATGCCTGATATACATGTTGCCAGCTGGCAAGCAGCTCACCTGTTGCTTTTGTATTGCAGGACTTTATGGGAGGTTCCCATGATAGCATGGTAACTCTAGAAAATCGAGTGAGGGGTCTTGAGAGAGTTGTTGATGAAATGGCCCGTGATTTGGCTATTAAACCAGGAAGGAGAGGTGGAAATATGATGCAGGGATTCGATAAATCTCCAGGTAGGTCTTCAGGCAAGTACGATGGCCTTCATGATTGCTCCAACTCAAAGTTTGGCAGGGACAGTGAGGGGCGGTTCCCATTTCCAGAGAGGTTTCTCTCATCAGAAAGTATGGTTTCTGGAGTAAGGAGACGAGGTTCTCCTTGGAGGTCAGAATCTGAAACATGGGATTACCATGGTGCCTCAAGGAATGGTGTCGTGAACTCTAGGAGAGGGTTCAATGCTGTTCCAGTGGATGGTAGAGTACCTAGATCTGAGCATGACGCTGATCAAGTTGGTGGCAGGTGGGCCTGGGATAAGGGACCAGGACCATTTAGGCTTGGTGAAGGGCCTTCTGCAAGAAGTGTTTGGCAAGCCTCAAAGGATGAGGCTACTTTAGAAGCTATCCGAGTAGCTGGGGAAGACAACATAACATCCATAACTGCAGCACGAGTAGCTGTTCCTGAATTAGATGCTGAAGGTATAGCAGATGATAATCTGGGGCTGGACAAGGGTCCACTTTGGGCTTCGTGGACTCGTGCGATGGATTCACTTTATGTTGGCGATGTTGATTCAGCTTATGCAGAGATTCTGTCTACTGGTGATGACTTATTACTTGTAAAGCTAATGGATAAATCTGGTCCAGTATTTGATCAGCTCTCTAATGAAATAGCGAGCGAAGTCTTTCGTGCAATTGGACAGTTTGTTCTGGAAGAAAGCTTGTTTGATATAGCGCTTAGCTGGCTCCATCAGGTATCATTATTGATATACAAATATTTATTTGATTGTGTTTCAGTTATTCTCTATTACAATATCTTTTATAAAATATTGTGCAAATAGTTGGGCAATTATGGTTTTATAGTTGTTGTTGATATTATTGTTGTGCAAATAGATTAAATTCGTTAATGCACAAAGCTAGATTATATTGATTCTTTTTTATGTTTGGGGTGTATATGATTTATCTTGATTATTAAGGTAGACTTTTGTGAAGTTGACAAAAGTAGTACACTTGTTTACACCCATGTGGTTAAGCATGATGAAGTTTTCTTTTCTGTATTCCTACTATGGTGTTTAAGAGAAAAATTAGGAAAATATACCAACTTATTTGACATTATTCATGGCAGAGCACGTGGAGAATAGGAGAATGTGCCAACTTATTGGACATTCTGTATTCCTGTTAGCTTTCTGACATCCACAAACAAATTCTTCAGTATTTGGAGCTTGTGGAAAATCCACTAGTTCATCTGAAAGTTGAGTTCGTTTCAGCTGTGCAAATGTTAGTTTAGCATCTTTCATTTTGGATAACTAAACTGCATGATGATGTTTCTTTTTCTTTCATCTAAAAATAAAATGCCAAAGGTCAAACGCAAGAGACATGTTTCATATTTTTTTTGTTTTATTGTATTTTAAGAATAGATCTCTATTTCAGATGTTTCTTGAAGCAAAAAGCCTATCTTTTAAAGAAACAATTACGAGACCATGCGATCCGAACATGCAGTCATTTAAATTCCCACTTTTGAGTGCTACTCTTTTGTGGCGTCCACAAAGCTTTTGCTCATTAAAAAAAAAACAAAAAGACAATAAATCAAGTTTGCCTTTCTTTTCATTTATTTGCAAAAAGAAAGTAGAGCTCAATGGGGACTTTTGTGGAAATTATGTAATCATTCAATGTTTGCTTTTGTAGTTATCGGATCTTGTCGTGGAGAATGGAAGCGAGTTTCTCAGCATCCCCCTCGAATGGAAGAGAGAGATGTTGCTGAATCTTCGTGAAGCTTCTGTTTCAGAACCACCAGAATATTGGGAGGGGACACCACCGGATCAGCTAATGATGCATTTAGCGGCTGCATGGGGTCTCAACTAGCAACAGCATATTAAGTAGCATGTAACAAGTTTCTCATGGGTGTCGTCTAATTCTATTTTTTTCATCAGCTTTGGCTCATTAGAAGGATAAGATAGCGTATGTAATGGAATCTACGAGAAAAATATGGAGCTTTTCTAGCAGAAATGTGATGACACTTATGAGGAGTCCCTCGTTCTTTACCAATCTTCTCTGTTGATTGTGGACAAAATTACTTTTTCGTTGAGCCGAGAAGAAAACCAAATCAGGGAAGCTAACACGAAGAGATGATGCTTTCCTGATGCATGTAGAGCAGATAACTTGGCATGTATCACTTTGGAAATCTTGTTGCTCAGTTTGCTGTTGTTGGTGGTGGAAAACGTAGATATCGATGAACAATCTTATTAAGGAAACGTTCTTCTTGTTCTGTTGTGTTACATCCGGACACGGGAATTTCCAAGCAACTCGACCAATACATTTGATTGGTTGGATCAAAGCAACCACCCTCATCATGTGCATCCTACCCACATTTGACGTCGTCAGCGGTTGCAGCATATCCTGGAGACTGGCCTAACTTTGTCAACCCACATCATAGCACTTGCAAAGAAAGATGTGGTCTTCACAGCAGATATGTTCTTTTTTGTTGCGATAGATGGCAGCAGGAATCACCATTCACATCCGTGCCAAATCGAAAGCTTAAATCCATGGCAGGACTCGTGATAGGAGGATGGTTCGCGTCTATCTTCTTTGCCAGGTTGGCCGATCAGGTCGGCTCCTACATCGGAAAGCAGCTCAAGTATCAGAAGGGTGTGAAGAACAAGCTGACCAAGCTGGAAGTCAATCTCAGAAAGATACATGCCGTGATCCATGCAACCGATCTCGGTCGCCACCAGAAAGAACACTTGGAAGCCTGGTTGTGTGAGCTCAAGGATGCCGCTTTCGAAGCAGAGGACGTGCTGGATGGCTTCGAGTACCAGATCCTCAGGGACACAGTAAAGGGCAAGGACAAGGTGCACACCAACTTCTCATCCGCTTCTGCTAGTTTTGCCCAGTCGACTAGTGTCTTTTTTAAGCGTCTATTTTTCCGTGATGAGGATCTAAATGAACTGGACAAGGTTATCGAAAGATTCGATAAGATTGTGGCAACGATCGGGAACTTCCTGTTACCGTCAGATTCAGGTGCTCAGAACCAGAAGCATGGGGTTTTATGTGCCGATGCGCAAAGCGATGTGCCGGAGTGGAGGGAGACGACCTCCATCATGAACGAATCGGAAGTTTTGGGCCGAGAACACGAGATCAACAGTCTCGTACGCTTGTTGCTGATGCCTGACGTATCCTCGAGGTCCAACAACGAGAGGTTCTCTGTGGTGTCGATAGTTGGGATCGGAGGGGTGGGAAAGACCACCGTTGCACAATGTGTCTACAATGATAGCCGGATCGATGATCATTTTGATGTGAAATTATGGGTGTGCGTCTCAGAAAAATTCGATGTGAGAAGGCTCACAAGAAAGATGTTGGAGTCCGTTTGCCGAGACAGTCGCCACCATCTCACAAATCTGGATACGCTCCAAGAAATTCTCAAGGATAAGCTAAAGGATAAGCAGTTCTTAATTGTCCTGGATGATGTGTGGAACGAGGTGAGAAGTAGATGGGAGATCCTCCGGAAACCATTTCATTTTGGAAAGGAGGGTAGCAGAGTTTTAGTTACCTCGAGGATTCCAATGGTAGCAAATAATATGGGCACCAGGGCACCGGTAATCCTTAAGGGCTTAAATGGTGCTGACTACCGGAAATTCTTCGAACGATGTGCATTCGGTGATGCCAACCCCGACGATCATCCGAAATTGAAGTTGATTGGAGAGCGGATAGCCAACAAGCTTGTCGGTTCACCCTTAGCAGCAAAGACCGTGGGGGGGGCATTGAAGTCCAAGTTAGAGGAAGAACACTGGAGGAGTATCATGGAGAGCAAACTGTGGCAAATGCAACAAAAAGAGGATGACATCTTCCCAGCATTGAGGTTGAGTTATGAGCACTTGCCTACTTCCGGCCTGAAACAATGCTTTGTCTACTTTTCTTTGTTTCCCAAGAATTACTGCTTCGAGAAAGACAGACTGGTGCGTATGTGGATGGCACAAGGTTTTCTCCAACCTGGTGAACGAGGGAGGAGACCGGAGGACGTAGGCGAGGACTACTTTGATGAGTTACTGCATCGGTCCTTCTTTCAGGACTCGTTGAACGGTCAGTCTGGCAATTACGTGGTTCATGATTTGCTGCATCAGCTTGCCGAATCTTTATCTGCACATGAGTACTGTAGAGTTGAAGACGATGAATCAGAGGAAATTCCAGATAAGGTGCGCCATGTCTATGTTAGTTCAAGCAATCTGGCTAAGCTTTATGAGACCGCACCCAAGCTGAAAAATTTGCGCAGCCTAGTAGTGAATGGTAGTTTACTGGATACGGTTGCCAAGTCCAAGCTCATGGATTTCATCGAAGTCACATTGAAACGACTAAAACGCCTTCGAGTCATTGTATTCGATGGGCTAGCGCTGGATGTATTGCCGGAGAGCATTGGTCACATGAGACATCTCCGGTACCTAGAAGTTCCAGGTGGCCAGTTCATAGATTTGCCCAAGTGGATCTGCAGGCTTTACCAGCTACAAGGGTTGAGTCTCCAGTTTCGTTCACCGCTGCATCTGGGCAGGCCTTTACCGAGAGGAATGCACAGATTAGTCAATATGCGTTATCTGAATATAAATCCAGAAAAGGTTTCCACTATCGTCGAGATTGGCAAGTTGAGATCCCTCCAAGAACTACGAGAGTTTCATGTAAGGAAGAAAAATGGATACGAGCTAGGACAGTTGAGGGACATGAGGCAGCTGCGAGGACAATTAAGCATCATGAATCTGGATATGGCGGGAAGTGCAAGCGACTGCAGGGCAGCCGAGTTAGACAATAAAGAGCACCTTAGTGCATTGCATTTGTACTGGGGACAATTAGGAAGAAAAGATAACGACAAGCATGAGGAGGTACTGGAAGCCCTTCGGCCACATCGCAATCTCACTGAGTTGAGAATCATAGGCTACATGGGGACCGAGTCTCCAAGTTGGCTGAAGACGTCGTGGTTGTCCAATCTGGAACATATTGAATTGGAGGATTGCCAGGGCTGGGAAGTCTTGCCACCGCTTGGGCAGCTGCCGTTCCTCAAAATCCTGCATCTCAAGTCTCTCAAGTTAGTAAAGCATATTTGCTCTGGATTCTATGGAGGGCATAGCATAGCGTTCCCCTTGCTGGAAGAGCTGCTGTTCAGTGATATGGGTGAATGGAGGCAGTGGTCAGGTGTAAAGGCAAGCTCTCAGTTATTCCCTCGCCTCCGTAGGCTGCAGATTGACCGCTGCCACAAGTTAAGGGGATCGCTTGTTTTGCCTACCGTGCTTGAAAGACTTCATGTTGTGCTATCTGATGATGTTACCTGGGAATCATACAAAAAGCCTCATGTCGTGCTATCCGATGATGTTATCTGGGAGAGTAGTGAAACCAATGATATCTCTGCAATTCTGAAACTTAGCATAGATAATATCTCACTTCTCACTAATTGCCTTCCAGCTGAATGCCTTCCCTCACTCCAGAGACTGGATGTTGTTTACTGCAGCTCCCTTGAATCCTTTACCGATGAACAAGAGAAGTGGCTCCAGAGGCTCTCCTCCCTTGAAGAACTAAGATTCAGCGACTGCGACAATCTAACCAGACTGCCGACCGATCTGAATAGCCTTGTATTGCTGAAGACACTGCACATCGAGGGGTGCCCAAAAATTGACTCGCGGCCTGAGAAGGGCATTTAGACATTGCGGGATATCGTCAGAAGATGAGCAACTGGTTGCAAGCCTTGGGGGTTAACCCTGCTTCATGCTCCGCATGTTGCAAGCCTAAATTTTGGGCACTACCATCTTCTGCATTTGGTAAGTGCATTACAACAGCATCATCAAGACATACTCTTCTTAAATTGTCTCTATACTTATCAAGACCATGTTTCTTATACAGATACCATTAAAATACAAAAAGATTTATATCTTTCCTATTAAGAAGAAAACAAATAACAAGAAGACAATTAAAGGAACAACACTGCATCTTCTGAACAATGTAAACAAGCGATTAAGAAAATGAACACAACGAAAAATCTCTGTGATGACGTAAATCATCTTTTGGCTGCAAAAGAATAGACGCCAATCTAAATTTTCACAATTAAATAAGAAAAGAAGTTCATATTTACAATTTTGTAAGTGACTCTAGTGGTTAATTCCTTGCTATTTAATCATTCAGAACCTTACAGAGTAGAGTTTCTTAGCAACTGTGCTCTCAACTTGCAGGTTTACTAAGTTGTGTTTTAATTTTTGTCTATCCTTGTGGTCAGATGAGATTGTCTATTCCCAATATGATCAAACCGTATCACTTCGACAAAGGATGATCGGAAAAGATTCTTCAAGAGTCTCGGGTGCAAGAAGCACATGATGAATACCACCACCAAAACCTATGACTACAAAGTGAATTAAGTGTATCCAGGAGGGACAAAGTATGGGAAGCATGCTCAACAGAACAGAGTAATTTCAGATTTTTGTTATGTTTGGTGATATCATTCTTGAAAGCCCGAGATATTGACATGTAAGGATGAAGCAAAATCATTCATATAACCAATGCTGTTTTTTTCATGAAATCAATAAGTGAAACCAAATTTCAGATAACAGATTTGTGAGCAAATTGATAAGGTTCAGTTCCAGCCATTGTGAGTCTTACACTGGGGAGGTTACAGTTCTTTCTGAAATCTGTAGCATCTCGGTTCAATCTCATATCGAAATAGGTAAAGACTTGGATTGGCATATAAAAATATGATGGATATATTACGATTAAGTTGGATTTATGTATTTTGGGTCAATCATTCATGTTCTATAAAAATTAATAGATCAATTATTTTATTAAATCGAATCATGGCAAGTGATCAGTTGATTACTTCCGTCCTTGGCATTGCTTAATAGATCCATCTGCTTTACAGACAACCGTGGCAATGATTTGGGTTCGTATGGTTATCCAGAACCAGCATTGATCGTTGATCATTCCTTAGCATTCTTATGTTCGAAGCATCCACTTTACACCTAACTAAATGATCATACATTTATCTAAATGTTCTATGCATTTCCGAAGACAAGACCATGCATGGTCGGGGAAGCAACACTATCAAGTTGAGTTTATCATTTCAATATATTGTAACAAGGAGTATAATTTTATCTTGTACCGATGTATTGAGCCCTATTTGTACGATACAGTATTTACCGAGATGTATCGATGTTATGTCCAAAATTTAAAAATAAAAATAAAAAACCTGAAAAAAAATAGATTAGGATTTTTAAGCAAAAATAAAAATAAATTTAGTAAAATTTTAACAAAAATAATATAAATTAGGAAGGAATTTTGTCATTTATCTTTTTCGAAATTTAAAAAGTAGTTTTGTGGTATGTTTTGAATCATCTTTTCATTAATATTGAATTATTAATAATAAAAAAATATTTAAATTATTATATTATTTTTTATATTACTTAAACTTGAAGATTGAAATGAATTAAGTAATTAATCAAAGGATATACTTGGTTTTACCACCCAAAAGAATGATAGGACTCCATGAGCGATGGATCGAAGTCCTATCTATCTGTATATTAATATAATATATTTTTCGAACTCAGTCTTGAAATTGATTTTATAGTATAGTATAATGATAAGATGTGAGTGAAAAAGAGTTGGAGAGAATTCAATAAATCAAAACGAGTGAAATGAGTTAAAAAGAGGGAGGAAAGGGTTTAGAAACTCTTTTATAAGTCTCAAATGGTCAAATTGATCATTTAAAATAGGATAATATCAATCCTTGATCGATAATAATTGAGATTTAAATGTATCGATCAAGTTGATAATAATCAAATTTCGATCATTATTACTCAGTATCACCTAGTAGAGAGATGTACTGATATCCTATAGAACTAGTACGTATCTCCTGATATGGGTGATACATATTGATTCAGCAAACCTTAGATTATACAATTCTTTAATGTAAAATTTCATGTTAACATGAATGTTCAAATATAACAAAAAAAAACAAAAAAACAAAAAAACAAAACCAAACTAAAATTGAATTGGTTCAATTGATTTATCAATTATTCAATTATAAAGGCTACAAAAAGTTTCTATTCGTCAATCCAATTATTTATCAATTGGTTCGATTATTCAGTTCTGATTGAATTAAATTAATTTTAATTTAAAAATATCAATCCAATTGAGTTATTTGTCATGAACTCTTAATCAATTAAAACTGACTAATCAAATCGATATAAATGTTCAATTTCACAAATGACATAAGTCTGATTTCATAAATTATATTATGTTGATCTAATTGAAGCAAGATTATGTTCGATTTAATTAAATCGAACCGGTTCATTTGAAAACTATATTTAAAAAAAAATTATTTAAAATTATAAATTGATTAACTTGTTAATCGAATCAGATTAATCAGATTTAAATAAGTATATATTTTTAATTATTTAAAATTATAAATTGATTAACTAGTTAATCGAATCAGATTATTCGATTTTAAATCAATTCAATTAGGTAGATCTTAAATGATTCCAATTTGAATCTATCTTATTTTAATCGAATCCAATCGAATAAAAAATTAATTTGATTAAATCAGCTCTTAACTATGCCGGGAATTAGTACCACATAAACCAAGAATTAATTAGGAATTCCAAGTCAAATAAGTAATATACAAAGATAACCTCACTCGATGGAAATACATGACGAGGATCAACAAGAAGAGGTGGCTGCAATTAAGAGGAGGAGAAGGTGTCAAAGATGGTGGTGTGAAGTGGGTCGCTCAGGTGAGTGGCCCAGTTGTTGAGGGGACCCTTGCCGGTGGCGGCGGCCTGGACAGCGAAGCCTAGGAAGGCCACCATCGCGAGGCGGGCGTGCTTGATCTCCGCCAGCTGCAGGGAGGCCTTCTTCTCAGGGTCGTCCGCCAGGCCGAGAGGGTCGAAGTACTTGCCGCCGGGGTACAGCCTCTTCTCCGGGTCGAGCTCTGCGTTCCTCTGGAACTCGATGTACCCTATCACGAGCACCTCGATCCATATCAATGCGGTGATGTCGAAGGGAAGGGAGAGGCCGAGGTATGAGGACCCATCCACCAACTCTACCTGCAGTAACACATCCAACCAGTGTTTTACATACAGCGTTGAAAGTGTTTTTGTTACAGAGGAAAATAGAAAGAAACAATAATGTAGGAAGGCTTGGGTAGATGAATACTGTTGTTTCTGAAAGTAAAGCTTTCACGTAAGAAAGAATTCGGCAGTAAATATAAACATTCTTTTTCGTACGCTCATAACTATGGTGTGCGACGTCATCGTACCTTGCCAGCATCTTGCCATGTAACGCCGGTGAGCCACTCGACGGAAAGCGCCCCGAGGATGGCGAGCATAGCCCACCGACCGTGGATGAGCTCGCACTCACGGAACCTCTGGAGCCCAAACACCTCAGAGTAGGGCTGGAAGGGAGTGGACTTCACGTCGGCGCTCTCCGTCCGAGTCCCGATCACATCCCCTGCCGGATTCTTCGCCAGGTTCTGGTCCAGTGAATCCAAGTCGTACTGAAGGTACTCGGCCGGCTTGCCGAGGCCGAAGGGGTCGAACCCGTAGTCGCCGACGAGCGAGCCATCCAGCCACTCCGGTGCCTTGGCGCCCGGGTACCACAGCGGCCTGTCCGACGTCGGCGCCTTGACCTTCTTGCGCAGGGACTTCTTTTTGCCGAACCCGAACTGCGCCTGGAATCGGCCGACCGCCCTCGCGACGACACCGTGCTGGCGCAGGCGGATGCCCAAGAACGGGGAGGTGGCGGCGGCTGTGGAGGCCATTTCTCACGAACACTCTTCTCCTCCTCACTTCTCCAACTGAAGTATAGCGCGAGAGTCGAGTCAGGTGTTGGAAGCCTGTGACCATGTGGTGGGTTATAGGCTTTGTGGGGGTTATCTTGGGATATCAGATGAATGGATGATGTGGAGGTTGAGATCTATCTGACGGCCGTGCGGTGTGTGGCCTTATCCTCTCCTTATCCGAAGAGGCGGCCATGTCGGGAGATCTGTCGTAATGAGGTTGACAAATGGGAAAGGTTGGAGAGATCTGTATAGTATATGTGGTCTCTATTGATTCAGCTCATGCAAGTATCAAAAAGGAACCGAGAAGATTATTCTCGTCAGAGAAAAATAATCTTGCATATTTATCTACTGGATGTTGTCGATAAGACGCTGATAGTAAACATTATCGAATAAAATAAATCAGGGACTACGATAATGGACTTTTATGGAGAGGTTACAAGCCCGATCACAAGAGTATTAATCAATGATGATAGAACCTGTTAGTGTAAACAACTTTACGCCGTGGCCTCTGGGCCGTCGTGGCTTGGTTGAGGGTCCGAATGACGGGGATCTTACGCGACGTTCTTCGAGATTGTCCTGGCGGTCTGTTACGGTGGTCCGGTCGGGACGTCTCGTCGGGAGGACAGCTTTGCTGTAGCGCCGGGAAGAAGCGCCATCGTCCTTGTACCTGCACACAGTCAGTGGATGTGGAGAGGATTTCAAGTGAAGAGGATTTCAGGTGGCTCGACCCGACCCCTCCGACGATCAAGTCAGTGGATGTGGAGAGGATTTCAGGTGAAGAAGGGTTTTTTTTTGTCTCTCTCCCTTTTCCGTTTGGAACTCGGGGGTATTTATAGGTAAGTTTAAGGTTACCTGATGGGCCTGCCGACGGGGGCAGGATCGTACCTCTGATGGCGTCTGACATGACCGTTGGCGTTGCGTGGAGAACCGAACTGCTGCAGGGTATGGGCGAACCTCGGTCGTCGTGTTCCTTTGCCTCGGCCAAGCATGCCGGGTTAGACGACGATGGGATCGTTGTCTGAGAACGGGTGACGTCAACGCACATCGCGTCGTCATTATTGCCCTCTTTTGGGGCAGAACGTCATCTAGACGTAGCTGACGTCGTGACACGTCATGTCGTCATTATTACCCTTATCAGAACCTATCTCTCTCTTGAGCATTAATTCTCAATGGCAGAACTCATCTTCCCTTTTTCGGGAGCATTAATCTCGACGGTAGAACCCATCTCCCTCTTTCCCGATCACTTAACACAGGCAACTGATGTCTGCTTATCCTGCAGACTCTATAACCCAAATAAATGATGCGCCTGTGATCGTCTTTCATAAACAATACATCAAAGTAAAATATATCAGTCAATCATCGATATAAATGAACCCCCGAAGGACCGCGGATTAAGGAGAGAAGTTATTAGCCTCCCGCCATTGATCGCCCATGTATAAAAAGTTAGCTCTCAAAATCGAAAGGGTTGAGTTGGAAACCTCCCCGATACCAATCTCCTGTGCAGGAACTTCGATGAAGTGAAGGTCCATCTCGAATAAGCTCCGGAACCTTTTGGATGTAGAATCTATCTCAGGCAACAAACAACACCCCGGGATCGTGCTCACCGGTTCGCTCCACTCCAACCAACATTCGAAAGCACCACGTATCTTTCTATGACAAACTTGTGAGCCATGCTGACCTGCAGTCAATGTCATCCTAACACAACACAAACATCGAGCTTTTTATTCGAGGAATGGTCATGGTCTTCACTTACTACATGACTACATGGATCGACAAGGCATGGATCAACAAGGAACGGATATATATATATATATATATATATATATATATATATATATATATATATATATATATATATATAAGATCAGAGGGTGTCTTCTGGGATTTGGAACTGTTGCACGCCAAAAGTTTGGAGGGAGGCATTCTGAACGAAGAGGAGGAGGCCGCATGTTGCAGAGTTGAAGCCATCCCAGAGGGTGAACTGGAGAGAAGCAGAGAGGTTCTTATTTGGCGAGATGCCCTTGACGGAAACGAGCTTCTCGAGACGTCGGACTACGTAGTTATTGGTGAGAACGCGGCCCTTGTTCTCACCCTTGTCGCACTCGGTGACGAGGCCGCTCTCGTAGAGTGCTACCATCACGTCGGCGCGTCCGACCACCTTGCTCCGCAACGCCCCTGTGAAGGACACCTGCAGTGTGTCGGGCGCTGGCTTTTGGAACGTCGCCTGCAATGCCCATGCAACCTCCTCATTATCAAGGAAATATTCATGTGGAGAGGACTAAGAATTAGAAAGAGTCGGTAATTAATATATATTGGATTCGATCCACTCGTTGTTAGGAAATATTATGATCAGTTCTGGTCACAGAGGAGGAAGCCAAACCTGCATGGTGGGTGAGGGGAACCTGGGGACGGATTGGAGGGCGGCCGAAATGGCGTCGAGGTCGGTGCCGACGCACTGGGCGCGGCCGCTGACCACCACCTGCGGAGTGTACAGGGTGTCGAGGTGCAACGCGTCGACGTAGGCCTTCTGGCGCACGGTCCAAATGCTGGAGCCGAAGGGGTCCTTCCACCCCCGGTAGTCCCAGTACTCCACGTGGAACCCCAACACCGCCACCGGCGGTAGGTCGCCCACGAGCTCCCCGCGGCCCAGCTGCATGGCCACCGCCTCGGCCTCTGGGGAGGTTCCGCACCCCTGCGACGAGAACAGCTCCACCAGCACGGGGCCCATCCGCCGCTGCTCCTCCACATTCTGGTCCACCGTCGCGTTCGCTTCCGGTGATTCGGACGAGGAGGTCGCCCGTCCGCGGCCACGGCCGAAGCACGCGAACAGCCGCGGCGCCATGGCCGATCGGAGAGTAAAATGGGGGCTTTCGCTCCTTGGAGATCTCCAATTATAACGAACGAGAGGAAGAAGACAGGAGGAGGACGACGAAATCGAGAGGAAGAGGACGAGATGTCGGAGACAGCTATACATAACGTTGGTGGCACGAGAAATGGAAGAGGGGGAAACAGACGCCGGTGGTGGCCGCGAGACTCGGTGGTGGATGATGACCTGGCACGTATAATTATGGGACCCGCATGCTTAGTCGTCGTTTCGCTGCGATGCGGGAGACAACCGTGCCAACACCTAAAAGAAAATATAGACAATTGGACCTCAGCTCGTGGTTTGTAGTCCATTGGGTTTCATGAGAAAGTGCCATCGAACCCGTAGCCGGCCCAATCGATCCGTGTAGGCACGCACTGCATATGAACTGACGGAGTGAGTAAAGGTCGCAGTCAATGGAAATCCATTGCCGAAAGGTAAGTTTGACTTTTCGACCCAAGGATTAAAGGATTTACAGCTCAGCTCCACATCACCAGATTCTATCCACAATTTTATCTAAACCATATCCTTGAGAACCATTAATCCGATTCACGAGACAAACAGGTCTCCACCACAAACTTTTCCATGCCCTCGGCTTTCGGCCTCTCACATGTGAGACACGGGAAGAGCTTTCGTTTTACGGTGCACCAAGTTCTCTATTCGTTTAAAGTCAGCTAGCCAGCCTTCACAAGGGCCTTATTTTGGGGATAAACAAAGTTCTTAGTAGTTAGGGAATGAATACAAGCTGCCTTCCCGTGAACAACATATCATTTTCATGAACTTTCTCTAGAAAGGTTTACGTGGACCAGTTTTGCACCATGATAGAACAGAACCACCTGTTCATGCACCTTTGACATCATCTGCATGCATCAGCTGCCGAAAGTTGGCAGAAGACATCATGTTTACTTGTTATCAAACTGAATATTTTTTCTTGAGTGAGGTGCATGCATCTATCTGCTTAGAAATTTTAGGCTCAGGTAATTTGTGTGAGCAGAAGCTTTTTGTTCACATGCATCCAAAACTGCCATACAAAGCATGTTGAGAATTATGGAGGATAAAGCACCACATCATAGAGGCAAGAAAAAGTTGGAGACAATCGTGCACACAGCTTTGTCCATCACTAATCGAGCATGGTTCATATGGTGTGGATTAACAAGAATCTTTAGCCGCTGTATATTGCAGTGGTAAGAAACCAAAAGAAAGAAAAAAGGATAACATAGTTCAGAGGATGGTGAAAGGATAAGAGCTAATACTGATGAAGGGTTTGCTAAAACCTATATCTATAGCTTAATAACACAGTCCACTGAGTCATGCGTAGATTTTGGATCTGTCAATGCCCATCTCAACATTGCCGACATGGATGTCATCATCTGCAATGAACTTGCCCCAGAACCAGTGGGCCTTCCAGACGAGGATCATCTCTTCAATGGGGACGTTCTTGGTCTCGGGAAGGAAAAGGGCGATGAAGATGGTCATGATGAGCACCCATCCACCAAAGAAATAGAAGAGACCAAACTTCATGTGGCAGAGCATGGCCAGGAATGCTTGGGCGATGACGAAGGTGAAGAGCATGTTGACAGATACGTTGATGCTCTGCCCCGCCGATCTGATCTCCAGGGGAAATATCTCGCTGGGAACCAGCCATCCGAGGGGACCCCAAGACCATGCAAATCCAGCGACGTAGACGCAAATAAACAGCACCACGAATGCAGCGTAGGCCTTGGAAAAGTGCCCCTCCCCGCTGGTACCGTATTTGATAGCGATTAAGGTTCCAACAATGATCTGCATCCCAAAATGAGTAACGTAGCTCATGAAAAGCTGAATTATTAGTGAAAGAAGAACTCCCTCTTCTGAAGACTGATCATGGAGAGGAATCAAATCCTAGATGTATTCGTACCTGACAAACAATCATCTGAGATCCTCCCTGCAAGAACAATTTCCTGCGGCCGAGCTTGTCGGCGGTGAAGATGGAGACGAAGGTGGCGAACACGTTCACGAGGCCAGTGATCACGGCAGACATGAGAGAAGCATCGTTACCGAAACCGATAGTCTTAAACAGCACGGGGGCGTAAAACATGATCACGTTGATGCCGGTGAGCTGCTGGAAGAAGGGGATGAGGATGGTCATGGTGAGCTGAGGACGGTACTTCCTCTTCACGATGTTGGCCCACGGGTGCTTCACCCGGTTCGACTCCTGGCTGGCAGCGACCAAGTCGTCGTACTCCTCATCGACGTCGTCGGTGCCGCGGATGCGGCGAAGCATGTGCTTGGCCTCCTCGGGGTGGCCGCGCTCGATGAGGGAGTTGGGGGTGTCGGGCAGAAAGAGGGCGCCGAGGCTGATGATGCCAGCGGGGACGGCGGCAAGCGCGAGGCTGACGCGCCACCCCCACCCGCCCTCGATCTTAGCCGTGCCGTAGTTGATGAGGTTGGCGGCGAGGATGCCGATGGTGATCATGAGCTGGAACCCGATGTTGAGCATGCCGCGGAGTCGAGCAGGCGCCATCTCCGACAGGTACACGGGAACGGACTGCGAAGATAAAATATTTACATATGAAGAGAGATTAAAATATAAGATTAAATAATCTAACAATATAAATTTTTAGATTAAATTGTTGTCTGACTTTATATATATATAAAACTCATATTTGTCATTGAAAGATCGCTTCCAAAAGACTTTGTCTACTTTAATATTCTAACAAAGCTCCAAAATTTAGTCAACTTGGGAAGTAAAGGGTCGGTGGACTGCAAGTACACAAGTTGGCATCGTGCCACTTGTTGAAATTTTCGAAGACCCAAAAAGAATATAATCACTATAATAAGATCGCATCAAAATCATCTCACCAAAAAACGAAAATTTGGTATCGAAAATTACCCCCACGGCTTACCTGGTTGGCGAAGCCGACGCCGACGCCGAGGAGGATGCGGCCGAGGATGAGCATGAGGACGTTCTTAGCAGCGCCGTTGAGTGCGGCGCCAATAAGGAAGACGAGCCCTCCGCCGAACATGGACCACTTACGGCCGAACGTCCTCGTGACCGTCGACGCGAAGAAGGAGGCGATCAACGCCGCCAGATACAGCGATGACGTGAAGGTGGTCAGCAGCTGGCTGTCGAACTTGCAGTACTGGTTGGTGCTCTTGTCCAACTTCTCCTTCCTGTACACCTCCGGGAAGAACTTTTCCAGGAACGAGTCCATCGACGTCACCCCACCTACACTCCACCAATCCAAATCCCCCCTCCCCCGTCAGATCCAAACGAGATAAAAAGGACACAAAAGCAGTAAGATCGAAACAACTATTTGCAAGATCCAAAGTCGCACCGGAGATGCCGATATCGTAGCCGAAGATGAGACCGCCGGTGGCAGCGACAACGCAGGTGAGGAAGACGAAGAGAGTGAGCTTCCCCGGGTAGTCTTTTCCACCCCTGGTGTTGACGATCGCACCCCCCGCCATTGTTTCCGCCGGACCTCCGAAAACTATACCCACACTAGGATCGCAGAGAGAGAGAGAGAGAGAGAAGAGGAAGACGAGAAGAGATGAGGATGAGATGTAAGAGGGTGGGAAGGGTGCGCATATATATAATGGGAGGAAGAGAGAATCCGTGACGACGGTAATTGGTGCGGGATTTAGCCTACCTTATCGGGTGCAAAGCGTATGGAGTCGCGTACCGACACAGACCGTCGGATCTTGACCGTCGGTTGGAGGCTGGAGACTTCAGAATTAGATACACCAATCAACGTAAAGGACTAGGAATACAAAATTTGGATCCGATGGATTCTCCACTCCCACGATTTCTTATGATCTAATCAAAGGTTTCCTTGTGAGACGTTGGACTCTAAATCTCAATCTTCGGTAAAGGATTCCTAGGAACGTTTTATTAGAGAAACTGGGGTTGACTAAATCGCCTCAATATTTATGATTTATGTAATCAAACAACGGATCTTTGATTATACTATATTCATGGAAGATTAGGATGAGAGGGAGCCTTGGGACATTGATGATAGTTTATTGTCAGCGGAGATTGAGCGTGAAGTAATCAATCTAATGAGCTTGCAGGAGACTTGCAACGGCACATGATGACCACGCCACCGCCAACGGCTAAGACAAAGAGGATATGGACGATGACGAGGTCATTATGTGGTTTCGGGTTTCCTTGCGTGGGTTTTCCCAAAGGAATGGGTGATTTGACACCACCTTACGAATCTTAACGTGGCGAATCAATTCGATTAGCCGTCGTTGATTCTTCCTCCCCATTGTGATTCTTGGGGAATTCTAAACAAGGAAAAAGACGTCAAGAAGATGACGTATATTTATGTATCTTACGCGGCCATTCTACCAAAAATGCAACTCTGATGCGGACATTGGCGGATACACAGAATCAACATTAGACGATGACATCTACTGGTCTTTCTCTGTGAATGACGAGTCTCTGCGTAAGGTAGAGATGGAGATCAAGCGATTGTTTATTGTTTATGCACACGAGAATTCAACAGTGCAAGTAGGTCGAGTGTTGCAGAAGCATCCCTCCGTTTCTGTGTGAATCAGAGAGAAGCTGAAGAGGACACAGATTTCCAGGTCTGATACCCAGCCAAAACAACTCTCCTATTTTTGTGCTTGAGAGTTGGGTTGACTTTGATTTCCGATTCAATGGTGTGAAATTTATGAGATCCGTGGCTGAGCTTTGAAAGAACGGAGTCTGCCCCTCCGCTTGATAGTTCATTTCATGCTATAGTTCAGATGGCAAGCAACCAAGTCCTTATCCTTACAGCGGAGACGACGAAAGCATTCCCAATGCACCGGCCATATCTCTCCACTTTGGTCAAACCGCGTTAGGATCCATCAATTCCCGGTGACAAAACGTTGCCTATTCTGTTCTATCCTATTCTGTTCACTTGCTTCAGCTTCTGCCGCTTGTGCTGCCAAAGTGGGATCGGCTTGACTTGGAAGTCGACGGGGACGAGAAACTTAAAAAAATTGATGGATCGTTGACGGAAGTAATAATTCCAAAAAACTAATTGCTTAAATGTTAGCGTTATTTGTATGTTTTTTTTGTTTTTTTAGACATCTAGATTGAAATATACAATAGATATTTGAATTGAAATATACCATTCATAGGGGAAATGTGCCAACCCAGTTAACATAAGAAGTTCGGGGCTCCCAGGCAAGCCATACAGAGATCCTCTGGAATCCGAATTAAGCCGGGTTATGCAACTATTATCGCCATTTTCCTAAAATTAAGAGTGAAACAGGTTCATGATATAGGTAATGTTGGTGTAGCAACATTCATTGAGCACCACAAGTACCATTTTGAGAAGACGATATCATATACCATTGAAGGCATGGCACCATTTTGAGAAGACGATATCATATACCATTGTAGGCATGCTCCATTCAATGGATGGAAGAAAAAAGTAAGCCGGGCCTACAATGTATTGATGTACGGGTAAAGATAGCTACATATCGAGAGTGATATGCGCATTGTTGAATCTCGAATTTTGATAATAAAATCAATTGATAGTGTTTATGATTTGATCTGCATTTTGAGTGATGTAGGATGCTTCGATCAGGGAGAGACAATTAAAGCGGGAAGAATTATGTTGGGCTGGAGAAAAACATGTTAGAAGATTAGACGTCGAGTCCAAAGATTGGTCGAAGTATCGACAAAAGGTTTTGGGCCATGAGTTCGGGCATCGGGCCAAGAAGAACATATATTGTGCCAAGAAAATCAGAGTTACGAAGGTCAATTGGCTGATTAGGTAATAGGCCGCAAGAGAGGATGATGGGCCGAAGAATCGGATGAAGCGTCGATGAACCAATGACATGCCAGACAATATTTGATTAGCTTAGTAATAATTGTATAGATCGAAGTAGGTTTTAACTATGTAGGATTAACTAGGATAGCAAGGCATAAAGCAAAATGAAGTCTTAGAGTCAAGGACACGATTTCGTTGGGAGTTCGAGAATTCGTCGGAAGTCCGGACGTTCGTCAGAAGTTCTGCCTGAATTGACCGAAAAGTCCAAGAGCTTGCCAAAAAAGCTCATCGGAAATCGCCAAGAAGATCGTCATGAAGTCCAGGTGCTTACCGGGAGTCTGTTGGAACATTACTAAGAGATCGTCGGAAGTTCGTCGAAAGATCATCGGAAGCTCATCGGAAGAAACCTAGACTTACGACTTGTTTAGCTTAGTAAATGTCTTAAATTTCGTAGTTAGCACATAATTGATATTAGAATTAGGCTAACCTAATTAGGGGCCAGTTGGGCCCATGTATGGACTGTGTTGGGCCCAATGAAAGGCCTAAACAGTGAACCAATAGGTGATACCGTCGTGGCACAGTCTCCGAGACTATGTCAGGTGGTGGTACAGCTAGTCTAGGTAGTGGTACCACCCAAACACAGTCTCCAAGAGACTATCAAGCGGTGGTACCACCTAGTGTCAATGCTGCATGCGATGGTACTGTTTAACATATGCGATGGTACCACCCGTACCCGGGAAACCCGGGATAAGACATTTTTAAGTTCCAAGTTTGAATCAATTTGAAGCCTATAAATACCCCTCTCATCCCATGTTAATATACACAAAAATTGAGAGTGAAAAAGAAAGAAAATGATGTTGTAATCTTGTGTGAAGTCCTCTCAAAGATCTAAATGTTACTATAGTTTGAGAGAGGAGTAAACGAGGGTGTAAAGGTTCTCTCCTAAAGTATGCAAAAGGAGAATAGAGTTGTAAGGAGGTTGATCTTTGCTTATTAAAGGAAGATCGTTAGTGGATGCCGGTGGCCTTGACGAAAGAGGAATTAGTGGAGTAGATGTAGATCATGACGATTGAACCACTATAACTCGATTTGCATTTACTTTTTACAATTTATAGTTACTACAAACTGCCCTTCTTTACTCTCACTGCTTTATTTCCTCATTACACGCTTATGTAAGTGTTTTTAAGTTAAATATATTTTCGATCGATTTTAATCAGATAAATTTTTTTCAAACCGACGTTTTTACCACTGCACTAATTCACTCTCCCCTCTTAGTGTTGACTCATTCGTAATAGGCACTACTCAGATCAAAGCACCTATAGTTGGTACTCGATCGAGATGGAGTACCTAAAGTGTTAGTGCTCTAAATACTTGAGAATCAGAGTGGAATCTTAGACATAGGCACTCATTATGATGTAAAGGTTGCTAGTGAGCTTTGGGTCCATACTTATTGTCTCCCCTAAGGAAAGAGATGAATACACACTCTCTTGTTATCTTAGAATATCCAAGGATAGAACTTCAACTCTTTAGATTATACTATCATAGACTTTACTGGTTTTACTTAAGTTATGCGACACCCGTGTATGTCCATTCGTAAAAGGTCAGCCTTCCCAAAATCTCTTATAGTCCCTTAAGGACCTACAAAAGAAAGGATGAGTTAGAATAAGCATTTAACTTAAGATTTCACAAATAGATATTTCAGCAAACACTTAATGAATAATATAAATTATAAATATAGACTTCATAAGCTCTGATTGATCACATAATAAAGAATCCAAGATAGTCCACTATAGTCAAAAGCCTTTATAAATGCTCACGTGATTTTATTGTGAAACAAAATAATGAACCAACCCTAAACACTATCCCAAAAGCTTATTCAGTTATGTGTCGCTTGGGTAACTCTAAGGTGTTGTATTGGTTCACACTTCTGCATCACTCTATAGAGCTAGAAAATCTCTAAAATAATTGCTTGGATGACCTATTTTTGGATAGTTTTACCTCTACATGGCAACTGCATATAACTTATGTTTACAAATCTAAGACAATTATAAAAATCAATTGAAATGAGATTCTCAAGCTTAATGCAAGCCCTCTATATACTGTACAAAGCATAACAAAATCGAAAGATACAGACATATATAAACATTACATTGAACACCCTTTGTATAAATTTATCCATGACAACAGGTTGGCTTAGAGAATAAGACTTGGACAATATAGAAAAAGACATCTTCCCAACCTGATATAGAAGAACGAGGGATGATACTTCAGAGTTTGAGGAATAAAATGTAAGGATTGATACTTAGAGAATAAGACTTGGACAATATAGAAAAAGGCTTCTAGGGAGGTCTCAGATTATAGAGTGTGCCCATTTCTATGAAGAGGCTTCTTATAGCCTTTAAGCATCGTCTCAACTTTCAAGTGTCTCATTGATGGCTTCTTACCTAATTTTCTTACACAAGTAACGTCTTGTCACTTGTCAACCTTTCAAGTGGCCTGTCAACCTTTCCCACTCATGGAGGCATTAACTAGCACAAACGTTTGTCGCTAGTGCTAGCATCAAATATATGCCCAATGCATTATTCTTGAGCCAAGTATAAAAAAATTATGTGATGCACCTTCCTTGGGATAAACATCAAAAGTCATCCAATGTGTCATTCTCGGACAAAGCATTAAAGATTACCTAATATGTCATTCTCTAGCTAAGTATCAAAGATATTCTCACCCTTCTCAAGCTAAGCATTGAAAAATGTTTGATGTGTTCTTTCTCAGACTAAGTATTGAATGTTATTTGATATGTATTTCTTGAGCTAAGCATCGAAAGTTGCTTAATGTGTCTCTCTCAGGATAAGCAACGAAGGTCACCCCAATATACCCCTCGTGGCCTAAGCATCAAAGGTCATCTCAATGTGCCTCTCTCAGGCTAAGCACCAAAAGTCACCCAATGCATTCTCCTCAGGTCAAGCATCAAAAGTCACATGATGCACCCGTATTGGGCAAAACATCAAAGATTGCCCTATACGTCCTTATTGGGCTAAGCATTAAAGTCGATCAATACATTCTTAGGCTAAGCATCAAAGATTGTTTGATCAATCCTTCTTAGACTAAATATCGAAGGTTACTCGATGCCCCCTTCTCACGACTCCTTGGGCTACATATCAAAGATTGTTTGATGTGTCCTTCTCGTGTTAAACATCGAAAATCACTCGATGTGCCCTCTCTAGCTTAGCATAAAAGGTTATCATATATGATTTTCTCGTAATAAGCATTGAAGGTCACTTGATGTGCTTCCCTCTAGACAAACATTAGAAGTTGTTTAGCGAGCTACTTGGCAAAACTCGTTGATCCCTCAAATGGGTCATTAGCGACTTCTTGATAGAGGTGTCGATGACCAACTTATCAAACCAACATATTGTTGCACTTCAGAATCACTTTGAGAGAGCTATAGAAGTATACTTTAAATGGAACAAAATGATATGAAAAATATTTATCCCAATCAAAATTCGGTATCCGGTAGTCCGGTCAACATAAAGAGTCCGGGCCTAGTCAATAATAAGCCACGTACACTTGGCACTTGCTGCAGCAATAACACTAATTTTTTCCACAAGTGCTCGTCATGCTGCCATTATTTAACTATTATGATTACTACGTAAGAATTCTGTGTGTTGAGCTTGAGAACGTAACTTTTATACACACTCAAAAAAATCTCAGATGCACTGGCAAATGCAATAAAACCTCGTGTACAGATGTTTCTGCCAATTTCAGCTCCACGTGGTCGACACGGTGGAGCCACGCCGTCGGCACGTCGGCTCTTCCAAAAACTGATCTACAATCATATATTTGTAATGTACGATAAACTACTGATATGTGATGTATACCTTATAAGACACACACAACTTATTTAATACTTATTGTAATGATACAATTGTTTGTTGCATATAATGGTAAGTTGTCAACCGACATTCCAAAAAGCTTAATCTTATTAAAGTATATTAAATTAAATACATCTAATCTGATTCCTTTCATTCTTAGTAACGTCGAGCTATTCTAATCTTTTAATCTTTACTAATATATATATAGATTATTGAAATCTATCCTATTTCCATTTGAAACACGACTATAATCAACCTAGTTGGAGGGTTTGAACCTGCATAAATCATTGTGCAAATATATTTTGTTTTTAGAGTGACAACAACGGTGGAACAGCCATCAACCATTCAATGCATGTTGAAGCTGGTGATTGACGATGGGTTTGGCGATATGATAAGCTAGTCGTGTCACGAAGGCAATCGTCATCACGACACTTTCACGTCATCGCCGCTTCAATTCCACCCAGCGGACATACCGCATCTACCTTACCGACACCTCGCTTTGATTTGACCGACACGTTAGGTTAGGTGAGACCTGATCCTAAAGGTCGGTAGTATGGCGTTGACGAAGATATCGATTCGATCTGAGATAGACTCGAAAAGACACCTCGCTTAACTCGAAGTAGATTCTCACTTACCTTGTCCTCGACTTCGATGCTTTCGGGTGATATATGGATCAAACTTAGCTTACACGTAAAGAAGACGATAAGTTTCGTTTGGTTTCTTCTGTGTGGCGGCCATATAATTGCACGAGCTTGTCGGGCTTCCTCATGTACGCCTATGGCTGCCACTCGTTGGATGACGGAGAAGTGAACTTATGGAGGAATTGTACTTGATTTTGCACTCTCTTTCCTCGTCCATATATGTCGTGTACATATACGTGGAAATCCAACGACCCATCGGCCCTTTCATTAACGAGCAAAGATCTCCCCTTAGCCCCCGACCAAGAATCTCTGACCGGCCGCCGGCGATGGCGACGGCAGAGACTTCTCGATCACCGGCCGCCGGAGATATCAATCTCGATCATGTTCTCCTCCTCGAGCTCGAGCTCGATCTCGATCATGTCGTCCCCGTCCTCGTCGTCCTCCCACATGAGCCGGTGTTCCTCCGGCGAGCTCGACCCCTCCGCCTCCGACGCAGCCTGCGAGCCACCGTTGCTCTCGGTGTCGGAATCGGTACCGTACGCGAACCTGATCGGCCCCGCTCTCCTGCTTCCTAAGTCGGCATTTTGCGGCCACATCCGGTAGTCCTCCGAGCCTCCGTCGCCCCACTTCTCCTCCTCCGCGTACGTGAACCCGAGAGACCCGAGTCTCACGCTTTCCAAGTCGGCATTTTGCAGCCAGCCCCGGTACTGGTGCGATCCTCCGCCGCCGCGCTCCTCCTCCTCCTCCCCCTCGTACTCTTCGTATATGATCTCGAGCGGCCTGCTCCTCCGTCCGCAGCTGATGAAATCATTGCTAAAGATAACTTCTTGATGGTAACAGGAGGATTCCGCCTTGGTTTCCGGGCAGAGTGAGGTAAGCTCCTCCTCCCCGTCATCGACGGTGGCAACAGCAGCGGGGCACTTGAGCGGCGGGGAACCGTGGCGGAGGAGGGCAGCGAGGAGGAAGAATGTGGAGATGGGAACGGGGGACAGGACGAGGGAGAGGAGCGAGCGGGGGAGGTATAGGATGACGAGGAGGGAGGCGGCAGCGAGGATGCCGAAGAGAGGGTGGGTGGAGTGGGTGGAAAGGAAGAGGAGGGATCTCGAGAGGAGTCTCAGCGCTTGTATCGAGAACTCTGCTACAGGAGCAGTGGATTCCTCCGCTTTTGCTACCTCCATTGGGCAAAGAAAAGACTGCTCTCTGATCCAAAAGTTCAGGCTGAGAAAAAGCCTGCTGAGAAGAGGGAAGTTGATAGGGAGAATGAACCTTTAAAAGGGGAACAAAACGTGAGAAAGAATAAAACAGGGGAAGAGGGAGAGAGAGAGATACTAAGGTGTGTGAGCATAACATCCCTTTGTCTCTCATGTTGAGACTACTTGCTGTGTTTTCTTGGCTCCAGTCCTCTACAACTGGTTGGAATGTGTTGGCTTTTGTTTTGGCATTCGGTATCAACTCTGACACAGATAATACAGGATGTGGAGTGGAAGGTGAGCGAGGCATTAGAGGAAGAGTCAGAGCGATCTCCTTCTCAGGCTAGCGGTATCTATCGTCAAGATCAACAAAAGACAAGTCGTGTGAGTTCTATCCAAGTATTTACATTGCTTTCTTCGATCGGATTTGAAGTCAGATGTTGATGAAAGAAGCCACATGCAAATCAACATAGATGACCAAACATAACACATAATAATGGCCTTCTCTGTTCATTTGGATAGCAACAAAATAGTGAATGATTGAGTGAAGTGCGTTGCTTGTTTACCTTCCTTTGCCAACTCGATCTTCACAGCTTTTGGAACACCTTTCAATCCACTTTTCCAACAACATCCGGAGGTGAGGGACGCCCCCAAGTCCTCTACCCACTTTGTTGACATCACTTTAAGGTCACTGAAAGGGAGAATCCACCTAGAAGGATGCAAGGGGGAAAGACCATTGCCTCATGGTATGTCGGAAGAGGATCATTTGGTGCTTGATCCATTTGCAAGATACGCCCTTTCTGCCATCAAAAGTTTACGCTTGCTGAGTTCTGGAACAGCAGGAACTGATGAAGACCTCGCAAATGATTTTTGGCGTATCAAAGAACCGCTCTGCACACGCCAAATGTTGCAGCAAAACCCTCTCGAACATCTTAGCTTTGTGCTATACCATGCTCTGCTGCTAGCAAAACAATGGTCTCGCAGCATCTTCTTCAGGCAGTCTCCTTACACAAAGCTGATAATTTGTTAAGCTTAGTAGTGGGACAAGCATGCAATGAGCGGTCGATCATAAAGTCCTCATCATCCACATGCAATTCATGAATGAAGGGGACCCCAAAAGCCTTTGATCGAACAAATCAGAAGGTACATACATACGGCTTTCCCATGCATGATTGAGAGCTTTCTGTGATACGACTAGATGGTAGGTGCCTTTCTCATGGCACTGGAAACATTAAAGATCAGAACTGGCTCGTTGGATTCAGTATGGATCTCTGGTTTTTCTGAACAGATTGCCTGCAGCAGTAAACATTTTAGCGTCACAGTTTGATCAATCCAGAAGGTAAAGCTTGCTTTTTTTGGTGCCATTTAGATCAAGAAAGGATTCGATATATTTATGAAAATTAACCTATGGTTTTGTGAGGAAGCTGAGGATACAAGTAGTCACTCACTTACAAGAATTTTACATGACAATGAAGAATTCACCTTAGAAAATTCCTACAAGTAGCAGCTACTTACATTGGAGAAATCCAATCCTCTTCAATGAATGGATTGAAGATGACTTGAAGTGTGCCTTACAAGAATACAGTGCAAAACAAACTATACCGAAGCGGAGAACAAAAGAATATAATGTGTTGTTTACATACAAGCCTACTGCACATATCTACATCTCTGAATCAAGTTGACTCTGCGGCCATTCGTCCTCGAGCGAACGGAAAAGGGCGATGGCAACACTCGAGACCTTTCCACCATCCAGCCGCGATTTTGCAACCCTCTGTTGCATCGGTGCGTTTGGAGCCTCGTCACTGATCTCATGTCTCCTGAACACGGGCTTCGAGGACGGCGTGCTAAAAGCAAAATGCAACCTCTTGGCGATCAACGTCTGAAGAAGATTGGCAAAACGCAAGTGAGAACCTCGAGAAATTAGAGAGGCACCACAATCAAACTGCGATTTCAATGAGGAGGATTACCGCTCCGTTGACCGTCTTAGACACCAACACAAGCTGCTTCAAGTCGCTGTGGTCCACCTTGCACAGTATTTTTACCTACAGAATCAGAACATGATGTTAGATTTTTGGAAACTAAAGATCAGAACTTGTTTGGTGATAAAGAAGAAGTGGGAGGAGTACCAAGATATCTTGAGGCAGGGCCTCCAAGCGATTCAGTCTCTCCATGCTCGACATTCTGCTCAGCCTCTTAGGAGAGTGCCAACAATTGGCAGAATCAACAGTTCTGGATAACACAACGCGTTTCCTCCCCATTATGCTTGTGCTACGAACAAATTTTAGGCCAGTTGCAATCGATTCCTCGTGCTGAATCTTTCCTACTGCCATACTTGAATGATCCACTCTGTTTAGAAATGGAAAGAATCTTAGGGAAACTGGAAGAACATTCAATCCTAAATCGCCCCAAGACCTAATTTTGGCAAAATGAATCGCCCAAACAATCGAAGACTTTCAATGAACTTTATTGAAAAGACGACAACATCACCAAAAGCTTAAGAACAAAATAACACATTTTGAGACTGTATTCGGCTAAAACTGCGGATAAAAGATTTCTCTAATGCTTGACAAAAACAAAACCCGAGATGCTGAATGGGTGGGAGAAAAGGAAGACTCAACAAGCACAAAGGACCCTTCTTGCTAAGCTTCTAATCAACCACACAAACTAATGCTCGACTACAGAAAAATCTTCGGGGAGCAAAACAAGAGACCTAAAACATCCTAACAAAATCTTTAATGAGATACCTGATGATAGCCCTAAATTGCGACGGTACGAGCTTCAATAGCCCGGCTGTCTACCACTTGGAGATGAACGAAGTGGAGATGGAATGGAACTGACGCAGCACCTGTCCGCCACCGCGTCGAAGGAAACTATGCCGCCTATATAAATGCGAAAACTTTTAGTTTTATCTAATTTAAAAAACGTGGAGTTTTCTTGGAAACTGCCGTCAAAGTTATACGACGACTAAAAATATCCGACAAAAAAAAATCTATATAATAGAGAGAGAAAGAAAAAGAAATACAAGTTTAGGTTTCCCGCCTTCGCACCCAGAGCCCAGCTGCACCACCAGCGTACGCGTGTCCCTGGCTGCACGTGGCGAAATCCTGGCAAGCGGAGAACTAGCCGTTGGGTGGGAATGTCGTGTCGCCCACGTTGGGCAAAGGGGAGGTGGATCAGATTTGGCGGACGTGGCGATGGGGTCGGTGGAAGTCGGCCGTGGACGTCGGTGGCTTTTGTGGAAAGCGCGCCGGGTCTCGGTCAACGGGCGAGCTGAGCCGATCTCGACTCGGCTTGAGACGCGTCCGCCGTCGAGTTTGCCTCCGACTTATTTTGACCACGATGACGCGGTTCCGATAAAACACCTGTGCGCATGTAGTAACTTTGTATTTTTTTTATTTCCAAAAAAATCTTAAATTTTTTACTTATTTTTATTTCTATATAATGTTTTTGCTTCCTTGGCTATCTCTACCCCACATCCGCCCTCTTTGCTCTATTTGAACGAAGGAAGAATTGATGGTGTCGTCTTTGCTCTATTTGATCGAAGGAAGAATTGATGGTGTTGAGATCAAGGGTGACAGTGGAGGTGTAACTACCAACTCGATGAGAAGTTAGTATCGTTGAAATCCAATAGAGAGGAGGGACGCGCAATGAGTGTAGAATCTCAAATTTTGATAATAAAATTAATTAATAAGTGTTTATGATTTGATCTATGTTTTTAATTGTTGGGAAGGCGGAATAATTCTTTTCCCTCTTTGTGTATCAAAATAGGTTCCTCATCAAAATACCAATTTGATATCAAAATGCTAAATCAATCAGCACAGCATAAACAATAGAGCAATAAATCAATCACACAGTGAGACCAAATCTTAACGTGGAAAACCCAATGTGGGAAAAACCACGGGACCGTAGTCCACCTCAAACTTCCCCTATCAATAATAATGATAACAGGTTTACAGTAGGTCTTCTCTAGAATAACTAGAGGATCAGAATAACATCAAGATCATAGATCTTGGCTAAAGGATAGCATATCTTCATCACGTAGGATGAATCTCCTCAAAAGAGAATTCTAGGTCTCACAGAGTGGATATCGTAGGAAAGCACCTTAGAGAAGGTAAACTGTAGATCAACACCATTAGGATTGTAGAGTTTGCTGCAAGGATTCTCCACATAAAATTTGGGCCAAAACTGACAACGTTTGGCCACCGATCGTCAAGTAGAAAACTCAGAAACCTTACTTTCTCTCTCTATTTCTCTCTCCTCTTTTTTTTTTTCACTGCACGCCGCCGCACGCCGCTGCAATCTGATCTTCTTTCCTCACCTTCTCTCTCCTCTTTTAATTCGGGCTCAATAGGCCCAATTGTCCAAGCCCACATATGGACTGGACCCAACATTAATAATACATGATACTTTGATCTATGTTAGAAGATTGGACGTCGAGCCGGAGGATCGGTCGACATATCGACAGAAGGTTTCGGGCCATGGATTCGAGCATCGGGCCAAGAAGGGTGGATATTGCGCCAAGGATATCAGAGTTGCGGAGTCAACTGGTCGATTGGGCAATAGGTCGCAAAAGAGGACGATGCGTCGAAGAATTGGACGAAGCGTCGAGGGACTAATGACATGCTGGACAACATGATTCATGCTTAGTATTAATTATCTAGATTGAAGTATATTTTTACATGTGCAGGATTAACTACGATAGCAAGACATAAAGCAAAATGAAGTTCCGGAGTCAAGGACACGATTTCATTAAGAGTTCAAAAGTTCAACGAAAGTCCAGACATTCATCGGAAGTTTTGTCAGAATTGGTCGAGAAGTCTCGGAGCTTACTAGAGAAGCTCATCAAAACTCACTAAGAAGATTGTCATGAAGTCCAGGAACTTGCCGAGAGTCCGCCGAAACATTGCCGAGAGATCATCGGAAGTTCACCGGAAGCTCGCCGAAAGAAACCAAGACATAGGGACTTTGTTTAGCTTAGTAAATATCTTAAAATTCATAGTTAGTATAAAATTAGGATTAGAATTGGGCCAACCAAATTAGGGGACAGTTGGGCCAAGTTTGGGCTGCGTTGGGCTAAGAGAAAGGCCCAAATAGTGACCAAACAAGTGAAACCATCGTGACATAATCTCTGAGACTGTGTCAGGCGGTGGTACCACCCAGACTCAGTCTCCGAAACTATCTGGGTGGTAGTACCGCTAGTCTGGGTGGTGGTACCACCAATCTAGGTGGTGGTATCGCTAGTTTAGATGGTGGTACCACTTAGTGTCAGGGTGATGGCGGTGGTACCGCCCAGTGTAGGCGGTGGTACCGCTCATACTTTAAAATTTCAAGGGTTTAAATTTTGAGCTCCAAATTTGAATCCATTTGAGGCCTATAAACATCCCAGCTATTCCTGCATGAATAAGTAAGAAATATTGAGCAAAACTCTATGATTCTAAAATTGTAAACTTTAGAAAGTTTAGTTGCCTCCTCTCAAAGCTTAGAGAGAGTTCTAAGGAAGGTGTGAGAGGGATACCTTGTAAAAGAGGATTATAAAAGGTTGTCTCCTAAACCTGTGAAAAGGAGAAGAGGGGTGTAAGAAGGATGTTGATCTTCGCTTATTAAAGAAAGATTGATAGTGGATGCCGGTGGCCTCGACAGAAGAGGAATCGGTGAAGTGGATGTAAGTCACAACGACCGAACCACTATAAAAATCTGATTTGCGTTTCTCTTATGCAATTTACTTTACTACAAACAATTTTACTTGCTTTATATCTACTATGCTCTTCAGTATGCTTTCAAAGTTAATACCTTTACGAAACGGTTTTTCGGTTTTCCGTCGGAAACGGATTTAATCGCAACAAAGTTTTAAAGTGACGTAATTTTTACCACTGCACTAATTCACACCCCCCCCCCCTCTTAGTGTCGACTCTTTTCCTAACAGAGAGGAGTGGTCTCGAGATCCGACGAAAAGTAGGACGCATAAAAAAGAGTCAACAGAGGATGAGAATGCATAGAGGGAGTGGACATAGAGGTGACGAACAAGACACAATGATAACAACAGACAAAGAGTGAAGATACCGAATGAAAGTTAAGAGTAATTTTTTTTAAAAAAAAGGGATATTATATGAAAATAAACCAAAAATTAGATACTATGTTGGAAAATAAAACTTGAGTTTTTTTAGAAATTTATCCTTTTTTTAAGGAAAAGCTATAAATCTTTATTGATGAAATGAAACAACCCTATTAGCATCACATAAACCAAGAAAACTAAGTTTAGAAGAAATGAATTCCTCAAGAAGACTAGAAAGTTTGTTGGCCTCAGCATTCTAGCCAATTAGCAACACAGTTTTCGTCACGAAATATATTCGAAATTTTACAATCACCTAGGTATTAAGTGAAATATATATCTAATAACATTCAAAATTCTGTAAGGGAGAGAAAATTATCTACTAAGGATATTGACCAACTCCCAAAAGACAACATAAACCATTCCAAAATAGCCTGTCTCACAATAATTATTATCCTTTGTGGTAAAATACTTATAAACCCAAAAAAATAGAAATATCATTATGTCTAGTAATGAAGTCGATATTATCACACTCATGATCTCAAAAATCATCTCAATTTAATTTAATCTGCAAAAGTAATTTTATGAGGAGAATCCACTTGAAGATGGAGTTAATTTTATGAGACACCATTGTTTGCAGTCGGAATCCTTCAACCTCGGAGTGCACATCGATAGCAGGAGATCATAGGAAAGGGAATGAAACGAAAGCAAAGGAACCCTTCAGAAGCCGGCATGTACTGTCGCCCTTCTCTTGACACATGGCCGACGCAATCTACCGTAATGTGTTTTTTGATGCACGATTGTGGCCGGCAAATCACTTTCTATAGTCATTCAATGATATATAATTTCCTCTTCCGTCGATAATTATAAGTAATTGTCTGACGTGACTATTTGGAACAAATCTCCTCACGTTTCTCGATTCCTTCGTCTTTGCTCCTCTCTTCCTCCGGCCATCCTCTCCGTTCCTCAAGTTGAAACGACGATGGAGAAGCACACACTGCGGAGGACCAAATCCCGAGAGTTGAGCAGCTCCCCTTCCCGCCTCTCCTCCTTATCCTCGTCTTCTTCCCTCAAACGCAGCTCCGGAGACTCTTCCACCTCCTCCTTGGCCTCTGTCGTCCTCTGGCCTTCTGCGTCTGCTGCCACCGAAAAGTCCCTCTGCCTCGCGGACCACCTCAGTGACGACCGTCTCAGGGATCTCTCTGCTGAACCCAAGAAGAACGGAGGGAGGCGATTCCTTCACCCCATGGCCGCTGGCAACGCCTCTCCCCAGTCAACGATCCTCGGACGCCAGAGGAGCTACTCCCAGTACTCCAGTCGATTCAAACAAGAGGAGAAGGACGAGATGAAGAAGATGCGACATAATCTGAAAGTGAGCAGTCGACCCATCCTTGGCGGCTCCATGCGGTACATCGGCGAGGTCATCCGCTTTCCTCCCTCGCCCACACCCGCCTCCTCCCTCCCGTCGTCTGTCCTCAACTCACGCTCTGGCATCCTCCACGGCAAGCCCCGCCTCGAGAGCGTTAATCTTCCCAATCACGACGAATTGCGAAGACCAGTCCGTTCGTCGAGCTCGTGGTCGCCATCGCCAGCTAAGCGGTCGGTGTCGCCGCTGGTGGTGGAGGCTCCGGTGGCGAGTGCGGAGAAGGGCAAGAGCCGCTCTTTTACGAGCTCGGGTTTGGATTTGCTACGACGAAAGTGGCAGGGGAGTCCGTCTGATACCACGAAGTTGAAGAAGGGTATGGTGGCTCACCAACTCCAACTAACGTGGAACCGTTTGATTCAGTGGAGGTGGGTGAACGCTGGGTCGGATGAGGTGGGTCTGATCAAAAGGACCCACGCAGAGGTACACTAACTCTTTTTCCCAAAATAATGTGCAACTATAATTTTCATTATTAAAACACTATTTTTCACAAAAAAAATAAATTTTAACTCTTAGTCAAAAAAAATTCAATAGGATTAGTTGGTAACTTTCATTCGGTAATAATATTTTTTTTTCTCGTTAAAGATTAACTATATTATTTTATGACATGCATGTGTATAAATAATTCCTTAAAATAAATTTGTACCTGATCAGGTCTTGTCTCCCAAACTATTAAGTCTTTTGGTTTACCTTTTTAAATCCAAGTTTAGCTTATATGTAACTATACAACTTGAAACTAGCCAATATACTATTGCAATAAACATTTGATAGATAATTGTTAGCATAATTGTGTTAAAACTCCAATTAAGATCCAATAGTTTACTCATGAATTCATCCCTGTGACATGAACTCAGGTTAAAGTATTCGGTGCATGGGTCGGACTATCCAATTTGCGAGCAAGGGTGGCTAGAAAAAGAATGCAGCTGGAAAAGGATCAGTTGCACTTGAAGTTGATGCCATTGCTCTCTTCTCAGGTAAGTAATAGAATCAATATTTGAGCCATGAAGACTTTTTTTATACTGAAAGACATTATTATATCTATATTTAAGAGAAGAAAGAAAAAAAATTAATTATTTTAGGTATGATATAATAAAAATGGCAGTTTTTATAGAGCCTAATTCTGATAGCTGTGATGACGGCAGTTGAAGATACTGGAAGACTTTAGTGAGATGGAGCGGCAGCACACCTCTGCTCTTTCTGCCATTAATGACTGCTTACAGGCATCTGTGTGTAGGTTGCCTTTAGCTGATGGAGCAAAGGTGCTTTTGTGTTTGTGCTTTGTTGTGCCAATTACGTACGTACGATTTAGCATCTAATTTTGCAGGTTGATCTGCAACTGTTAGTATCAGCTCTAACACATGCAACGGACTTCGCTTTGATGACGAGGACGACAATAAGCAGACTTACTCACACGGTAAGAACAACATGTAGCCATATTGAGTTGTTCTACGGACGAGTAGTATTATGTTTTCCTTCTGTCAGTGCTAACAAAGTTGCCAACGTATTGGGTAATGGCAATAGAATGCGCAGAAGATAGTCTCATCGCTTCCGGAGCTCAGGCAGGTGGTCAGCAGCGAAGGAGCTCTTCTGCAAGAATGTTTCGGTTTGCTGGTTCGCATGTCTTCTATGCATGTAAGTAAACACATCACGAATAGATCGTGTGGTACAACTGGGATGCTTAATCTACCGTTTGTTTGTGGAACAGATTCAGGAGCAAAGCCTCAAGTGCCATCTGATCCAATTGCACTTAGAATATAGTTAGTGGGTGATCAATGGAGCCATAACCCTCCCTCTTGCCGTCCACCTCGTCGTCTCAGTGACCTCCACACTCAACGAGAACACGGGCGCCCTGTCACCAATGATACAGCTTCACAGGGTAGCTGGTTACTCGTCGAGGAACAGACTGCAATCTCTTACATTTTACGAACTTGCAAATGAACAGAAATATAGCACAGAATTAAAGCCGAAAGGGAAAGAAACCAATAGCCATAACCAAACACAAACAGCGAGTCGTGCTTATATATCTTCTACCAGTAGTGAGATTGATCAGTGACTCCCACGGTTGATCATCTCCATGAATTGCTGAAGCGACTGCTGCCGCTGCAGCCTCATGTCCTCGTTGAACTTCTTTATGAACGCCTCCACCCGCCGGTTCAGCTCCTCCTGCCCCAGCGACGGCTCCCTCCGCAGCCTCCCCCGCCCCACTCCCGACGTTTTCGACGTCAAAGAAGACGATGACCCCCCGACGCCTCCGTCAGCCAGCGGTCTCGCGGTGGCGCAGTCGCTGAACGTCTCTGACTTCCGGATCGCCGCCGCCGCATCCGGTTCTGCCGCATCCTCGCGAACGACACGTGTGTCCAACGTGTCGGATTTCTTGAGGTGGCGCGCGAGCGGCATCGCACGGCCCTCCGTAATCGTCCGCCACGTGCTCTCCAGCGTCTCCTCTCGCCTTGGCCTTGCCACCCTCCTCAACGCCTTACCTGCACCATCGTAGATTCACCATTTTACTCCTACTGAGCAATTCAAACCTGGAATCATTGGGGCCGCCAATCGCCACCGACGGAAAAAGAAACGGAAGACGTCAGATGGACGCCTCACCGTCAGGGCCGGGCTTGAGGCTCTTGCGGTGTCCGAATCTGATCGAAACAAGCGGTTTCTCCAACCCGGCCAGGTACTCCATCGGGAACTCCGTCGACGGCCTCTGCTCCGGAGAGAAGTTTGAGCTCGAAGTCACGAATTCCTGACCCACTTCTTGTTCTACTCCCACTGTCTCCGCCTTGGACACCGTCTCCTTCTCGCCCAGAACTATCGCTTCCTGGTCTCCTCTGTCATCCTCCGTCGTCGCGGTGACGAACCGCCTGGAGGAGGCGTCTTCCACTAGCTCCTCCTCGTAAGGAGGCATGTATTCCATGAGGTGAACAACCATTTCAGGCGTCAGAGAAGATGCCAACTCGGTGGATTCGGCGTGCGGCTTGTCGAAGCGGAAGGAGGCGGCGATACAAAGGATGACAGCGTTGAGTACAACGTAGAGGTAGGGCGGTGTGAGCCAGACAACAATGGAGGCGAACGCCCGTGGGACCTCGGCGGCGAGGAGCCGTTTAATAGGTGGACCCGCGTGGAGCAGCATCGCGGCCGCCGTTACCACCACCACGGCCGAGGCGAGCGCCGCCTTGAGGGACAGCATTACCATCCGCGCTCCGCCGCCTCTCGTGTTGGGGAAGCCTATGATCGCCACGGAGTGCGCTAGTGGATATACCAAGAGCAGCAGGAGCGGGGTTTGAGTCGTGATGATGATATAGGGACCATTGGATAGGATGTAGAAGCAGGGAGATTGCGGCTTGGATCTCGCTCCGAAAACATCATCGCTCGCTCTTCGTTATCTGCTGTGTCGCCTCCCTTGCATCATCGTTATCCCCCTCTCTGGTCTCGATATGCATCTTAAATCCTGCCGATTACGAATTTTAGCCCAGGGTTGTCGCCTGCTAACCAGTCTTCCTCTCCCCCACCACGCAAATCCGCTTCTTCAAGTGATCTGAGAGTCGCTGATATGCTGGTCAACGCTCATTGTTGTTTCCTCAAGAGAATTCAGCGTTGAAACATTCAATCCTTCGCACTTAAATCCTCTTTCTGCACCAATCTTTTGCACGTATGAATATTCACTTACAGGATTAATTGTTAGTACAATAATTGCTGACTAAAACTCCTCAGTAAACAAGTGTTTATCTTGCGTACGATACACTTGTAAAGATAACCAATCCGTCTGTACTCCATAATCTGTCTCCGACCATCATCACTAATCACAAATGAATACAGGTAAAGCAATTTTATAACTTATGGTTTCACTAGAAACTATTGCCAACAGCAGTTCTAAATGTGTACATGAGATGTAGAGAGAGTCTCCATGTGAGATTTCTATGAATACAACCCATTTTTCGATTTGAAGCTTCACAGTATATACCCAACAACTCATTGTTTATGCATGTTCGGGCCTTGCAACAGCTGCACATAGTATGATGTCCGAAGTTGATAATTTGAGAGTCAAGGTTACAACTCGGAGAAACTAGAATCCTGTCATCCTGTCAAGTTCATTGTCTAGGTCAATTCCTCAACTCCAAAACTCACAGTGACTATACATACAAGAATTTACGCGAATATGTTAAATGAATTTTCTACCCTCGAAAAAAAAAGAATTTCTGACATGAAATATGCAGGCGGCAAAATGGTGACTCAAATGATAAGTGGAATGCAATTGATTTACGTCTAGAACAAATTAGCTTTGACTTTTATAATTTCTTTCTAGAGCTGTCCAGAAAGACAGAAAACTGTGCAATTGATGTTTTTTGGGTATGATTTCCTGTAAGGAAGTATCGGTGGGAAAGAAAAGGAATTCCTCAAAGTATCGGTGTAAAATGACATTTTGAAAAGGCAAATATGCAAGTATAAACAAATTAATGGTTGCATTCTTGAAAAAAATTGGGAGGAATGAGAACATTTTATGCACTCAAATCTAAGAGAGCCTCTTACCATTTTCGGTTCGGTTTGGAAAGAAATCAATCTATGTCCTTCACTTCGGCTTCAATGTCAACAACTGCAGCAGAAGAGGCCTTTCCTGCATACGTTAAACAGCTGCGATAATAAGATCATGATTTTTGTCCAAGGCTTCGAGTAGAAAGAGATTCTGCATAATAAATTATTATCGGAAGCCAAGTATGTGACAAAATATGCAGCAAATGCTACCTTTCTCAACTCGAGATGAGAATCCATTGAAGGCTTGTCCGTAATTTGTGGAGCGTTCAGATGAAAACCTAGCTGATTCTCTTACAAACATGTTGCCCTGTACTGGAATCAGATAACACTGTTTCAGAGCTAAAACATAAGTAGACTTTTCTCACGTCCTCCACTGCTAAAGCACTTTATTTGGAGACACAATGAAATACAAAGGTACAATAAAATGGAAGGAAGCAGGTAATAAAAGAAAATTCTAGAAAACACTAGAATGTTAAAAAAAATATACTTCAATTGCAAAAAAATTTCCAACCAAAATCCAAGAAAAAGAATCCTAAAGGACACAAATATTTCTGATCATTCATTTCATATAAGTTCTAATTGCCAAGCACATGCAGAGACAGTAGCAGCACAATCAGTCTTGTCAAAATATACTGAAGTAGTTGCAGTTAGACCCACATATATGTATGTATGTGTGTATAAATATATATTATATGTATTTGGTCACCATCACTACCAATATATACAGTAGTGACTCATTTGATTAATTATCCAGTTCCTAAAAACCTGACATCTGTAATCCCAACTAAAAGAGACAGGTAGGAAACATGTGAGTGAGTCTAATAGTCATTTTGGAGATCTTCGATCATACAAGATAGAATTACAACAGTAAGCTTCCAACTTGGCTATGCAAGTATGCAAAGAGCTCGGTGAACAATTAGGCACTATCCAGACTCAGATTGGGTATGATCCAAACGATATTTGTCACTACGTGGCCTTCGAGCACCAGATATAATATTTTCTTTTTCAGAATAAGATGCTATATACACTTGAATAGAAATTCTCATATGTCATTTGTTCTTTAGTTACATCTTCATTAGATTTATCAACTAATAAGCTGACAAAAGAACAAAATGGGACCTATATTTATAAGAAGGAATCAGATCAACCAGGTGGTCCACATAATATATTTAAAATCAAGATAGCCTTACTACCAGAGAAAGGTTGACTGCAGAAAGGGCACAGTTGTGGACCATCCTTCATAGCTGACCTAAAAGAAAACAATTTGTTGTTATATTGTTCCAGTAAACAGAAAAGCACTTAAAGCTCACTACTATAGAGAATTTTAATCTAGAGGATGACTGCCATGCTTACTTCAAAATCTGGAATTCCTTTCCACAGTTGGGACACTGCACATGGAAGAGCTAAAAGGTTAGTAAATCTCCAGATTAAATACTCAGAAACAAGCTCAAATGAAATTCCAGAGTCACTCTTGTAAACAGAAAAGCTCATGCTACAAAATGAACCACATCATCCATGAAGAAAAAGAAAAAACAAAAGAAACAAAGATAATGGGCAGCCTTATAGAGAACACCTACATTCAGTGATGACAGTTCCAATATCGAGGCTTCAGAATTGAAAATATAAAGTAAATTTTGGATATCATTTTCTTATGCGTATCTGATGCACAAATGTCAATTCTTCAACAGCTTATTTCTTGGATCAGATGCAACTGGAATGTAAGAAATAGAAAAAAAAAATTATGAAATGGAAAAATACTCACACCACTTTGAACTATGTCTCGTCCAGCAAACCAGAAGAAAGCGCCAAACCCCACAATAGGTAACAATACTGCAAGGAGCTGTTGATATGTGCTTTTAGTGAAACATCGAGAAAAATGTCAAAACATATATAGATAATATGAATAAAATGAAAGAACAAAGGAAGGCATTTCATATGTTTTTATTTATTTGTTGTCTTTTCTATTGTCATTTATATGATTTTCTTTCACAGGGAGAGGGATGGCAGAGCAGCATGGTTGTTCAGCTTTGTTGAGCTGGTAAAGGCTTGTATAAGCTTCAAACAGAATGACAAGAAAATATTAACCCATTAAATATTAAACTTATTAGTGGTACACTAATTGGTTTATATTAAAAATATTACCACAAGTTCTTACCAGGATATTTGGGAGGTCCCTGAAAACAATCTTATAAAAAATTTTGAACTATAACTACAACAGAATGTAGCCATATAACTCATATTGTTCTGATTGCAGAATATGATGAGGATAGCCCGGCTCTACAAAAGAATTCAACCAAATCAACATGCTAGATGTGGTGTTGAAGATTGTCAAAGATGTCTTACATATCTGTTGTATGGCATCCAACATCCACTCAGACCACTAAGGACAGACCATCTAATTGCAGACCAAAGGAAAGAACCCCTTACCCCTTCCTGCTCTACTAGACAGACTGAGTACACATAAATTGACCATTTATATACCCCATGTATGTATATAAATTGAAACTTAGGGCTAGGAATAGTGAGTTGGTATTTTGTAGAGAGATGGCTATTCTTGAGAAGCTTATCTTGGGATCTATGCCATTGTCATGTCTTATCTCCATAGTGATAAAACTCTCTTCATCGTCTTTTCTTATGGATGCAGGTCAATTGACTAAACCACATCAAATCTGAGTGCCTTCAATTTAATTCTCTCTCTTTTACTTTTCACTCTTCTTCCTCATCTTTGTGCTCTGTGCCTTTATTTGATGAAGTGGCTTTGAGGTTTGGTTTGAGAGGTCAATGGAATGAGAAGCAGATATATTCAGTAATTTCCTAGCTTTTTAATAAGTAAGAAAAGAATTGTCCAATGCACAAGGCCTCCAACAATGCAGGTTTAAGAAGAGTGACCGTATGCAACATTACTTAGCTTTTCAATAGCTGTAGAGATCAAAACATCACCTTCGGACGGGACATATGTGCAATATGAGCAACAAAATTTAGGACAGAAATTTTACTCAGATAATATTCAGTCGACTACTTTCCACTTTCCCAAAGTCAATCAACCGCTACTCCTTTGAATGGTCATGAATCATTGGATCTTCCTAGTTCCAAATTTGCCCAATAACCATGAGTAAGACATCTCGAACAATTTGTGATCCCCTTACCAGTAACTCAAGAATTAGTTGGACATTAACATACCCTTTTTAAATTACAAACTTCAATTCAACAATTATTTCACAACTCTCGCTAGCAATTGCCGATTACTCTCATCAGCTACCAAAGTATGAAATGCTTTTTTTTTGGGGGAACTTCTGAACTTCACAGTTGCATCAGAATACGATGTCATACTTCCTTCTATGCCCATCTAACAAAATTTTTATAATTTTTAATTTAATTTAAAAGCGAGTAAAGTTTTCTGTACCAGAGTTAGACAAGATGCCACCTAGTTATACTTAATTTTGAGATAAAGTCTTGGCCAAAAAAAATGAGAGAAGTACCTATTAGGAGGACATCAAATAAACAAAATTTCTGTTTCTCTTGGGAAATAAAATCACTTTCCATCTCCCCTAACAAAATTCTAATTGTGACAATCTCTGAAAGAATGAGACCGATTCGATCTATGATACCAATATTTCTCATTTCATACAACAGTATGATGTATAAAAGCACAATGACTGGATGACAAAATTAGCAAAAAGAAATTAATCCAAATTCACAAAAAGTATTCCTATTAACACATAGATACTAAGGGGAGTTAAGAACATCTTATAGGAAACAGAAGGGAAGCATTTGGTCACACAGAGAAAGTCATCATAATATGAACATGCATCTACAAGAATCAATACATCATGAATGCACCGAAGACACGATCAAACATCAATCGACTACTTGCTGAGTAAAAAGAATCCATCAGAGAATCAAAGAACATGAGCCCTTTGCCCATGGATATAAGCTCTTTACTAAATCACAGGATATATAAGCTCTTTACCCAGATGGAAACGATAGTATCCAAGATCCAGCCAAGTTGCCCGGTCATGGTGAGGTATGTCAGCCCGAAAGCCAAAGCCAGATTACCCAGCACCCTCGTGGTGATACCCTTGTCCCAATCTCCTCCACCACCACCATTGAAACCAAATCCCTGGTTGGCTCCGACTACAACCAAGCTCCCCTTCCTCCCTCTACCCACCAAAATCAAATCTTTCAAATTACCTCCTGGATATGGAAACACCTGCCGAGGATACTCGATGAAGCGCCCATATCTATGCAAAGATCCAGTCTTTCTTGTTGGGAGCGAGCAATTTATGGCGTGCTTTAGTGAACCTAGATCGAGTCGGTATCCTTGGCCGTAAAGATTACCAAAAGAGAATCCGGAATTTGGAGAAAGAATAGAGACTTGCAGCGAGACCATGGCGAACAAATCATTCAGCTAAGAAATAAGACGCCAAAAGAAGTGGAAGGTGAACGGATGGCAATGAACTGAGGAGGAACGAAGCCCGTGGTGGTTTTATCTGTTCCGGACTCACCAAATCTGGATTCTTCCGCTGATCTTTTCCTCTCTCATGTTTTTTTTCTGCTATGATTTTTTTTAAAAAAATAATAATAATAAATGGATAAAAGGAGGATAAACTTTAAAAAAAAACTTTTAAATTTTTATTTTTATCACAGAGTCTTTTTTAATTTATTTATCATAAATATCTTTTATTTTTTAAAAGATAATATTAACCTTGACTTTTGTTGTCATCCTCATGGTCTCTGTCTTACCTTCGTTTCTTCTCTTATACGAAAAAAAATTCAACATGGAATTAGTAATCGATGTAGGTGATCGATGAGATCTTTTGATGAGATAGAGGTGATAAAAATGATAACTAAGAGTACATTTAAAACAATAATGCTATAGAGATTATTACGATAAGATAAAAATTATGGGATAAATGATAAAGATGATCCAAAGGATATTATGTCAGAATAAAATAAAATTGAACATTCTGCAAGGAAAAAATAAAAACGTGAAGTTTTTTTTTTGAGAAATTTGACCTAAAAGAAAAAGAAAATCAAGAAGCCATTGGAAAAAAGAAAAGGAAAAAAGAAAAAGGAAAAAGAAAAAAAAAAAAAAAAAAAAAGAGGGAGAAGATGATAGCATTTATATGGGCCGTTCGTGGATAGGGCCTTCATATGGGCCGTCCATATGGGAAATGAGGCATGTTAAGCAATGCATTCTTGTAGATGGTATGGGCCGTTCAGGATCTAATCATTGCTGAACATTTAAACTTCAAGATAAAAAGGTACAGTAAAGAACAAAACATTCAACTCAAGCATAAGATCTTGACATGTTGACATCCTCTCTTTATTGGTAGATAGCCTAAGAAGGTAAACTCTGTCCTTCATCATTTGATCTCAATCATCCATATTTCAAAAGATGACTTAGCTCACATTACATCTGGAAAAGTCTAACCTACAACACTGAAGCATAATAACCTCCTTAAACCGACAGGTGTGTTACAAATGGAAACAAGATGATGGAAGAGAGAACAACATGGCATGCAAGACCAATTCTGAAGCAGGAATGCCGTCGATCTTTTATCTCCCTCGAGGGTTTACAATCTGAGAGAACACTGCACTTGTCGTAGCATCTTCTGCGTCGTTTTCGGAACCGGTGTTTGCTCCCTCGACGACACTAATGCTGTTGTCAAGGGGTTCCATGTGTGGTAGTACGATACCAGAAATACTCCTTATGCTGTTCTCATATGGGTCATCAAGCGAAGAAGTCTCCTCGAGCTGGAGAGCATACTCGAGGTTCCATAGAACATCTCCCATTGTTGGCCTGTCAACTCCCTGTTCTGCCAAGCATTTTTCAGCTGTATCACCATATTTTCTAAGGGAAGTTGCATTAATTTTCCCTGTCAATGCTGGATCTACTATTCTTTCCAGCATTCCTTTCTTCTGCCAGTTCATTGCCCACTCTGCGATGTTTACCTGCTCCCTCGGGAGCACCGGGTTGAGAGCTGGCCTTGCACAGAGAACTTCCAGCAATACGACACCAAAGGAGTAGACATCCGACTTCTCGGTCAGCTGCTGCCTCCTGAAGTACTCAGGATCAAGATACCCGAAGCTCCCTTTCACTGCGGTGCTAACATGGGTCTGATCCAAAGCAGGGCCAGTCTTCGAAAGACCGAAGTCTGCTACCTTTGCAACAAAGTTCTCATCCAAGAGAATGTTGGTCGTCTTCACGTCACGGTGGATGATGCTCTGTGCTGCACCGGTGTGGAGGTAGTGCAACCCTCTTGCAGCACCAATGCAGATCTCAAGGCGCTGTCTCCATTGCAGAGATGGAAGGTTGGCACCGTATAGATGGCTCCGTAAGGGTCCATTTGCCATGTATTCGTACACCAAAATCATCTCAGAACGTTCATCACAGTAGCCAATGAGCGAGACCAGATGACGATGCCGGAGCTTGGATAACATCTCAATCTCTGTCTGGAATTCAGCCAGCCCTTGCTCAGACCTCGGATTCCCTCTCTTGATAGCAACCTTAGTACCATCTTCTAGTGTCCCCTCGTAGACCTTTCCAAACCCACCCACTCCAAGAACCAAGTTCTCATCAAACTTGTTGGTCGCATCCAGGATCTCTTGGAACATGAAAACCCGTCCAAGGTTTGTAGATGCCAAAGATATGCAGCTTGCTGTCCCACTCTTCTGAGAAGTTGTCGATACTTTGCTGATGGTGTGGGAGTGGCCATAAAAGGGTAGTGGTAACCATGCATGATCATGGGGTTTAGTCTTTCTCCTGCGAACGATGAAACAGCAGTAGCACAAAGTCATCAGTGTAATGACAGTCATTGATCCCAAGACCATTCCAATTACGATTCCCAACTTATTCCTTCCTGGGGGTGACTCTGGAAGAAGGTCCTTAACAGCATAGACTCCATCTAAGCTTTTCGCACCGTTGCTAATCTTCATGATCTCCAGTCCATTCAGTATAGCATTGCTGAAATCAGCCACTACGTCTGGACCGACGCTGACGGTCATTGTGTTTGAACCATCCGAGGAGTTGGAAACAAAATCCTTGTAGTAGGGCACTGATAGATCACCCTTCAGTGATGACAAATCCAAACTGGCAATAGCAATATCAGAATTGATATAGACATTGAACACAAGTGTGTTCAGAGCCTTGCTAACGATATCACAGAAGTGAAAACGGATCAAGTAAAGGAAGCTTGGATCTACCGAGAAAACCCAGGTGATGTTGAAATTTAAATCTGTCACATTTGCATCTCCCATTGTTTCTGCAGTGGAATATACCAACCTCGGTGCTGTTTCAATGGTGATTCCATCAGGGTAAGTTATGGTCGCAAGATCCGCAGATGCCTTCACGGCGGAGCTGTTGACATGGAGGTACTTGGCATCATTTTCCCAAGTCCTCCCGAGAGAATCATGCTGTGGAGTGAGCAAAGGACCGCCCATATTCAAGCGATACATGGTCTCAAGACCAAGCACAGAGAGACCACTGAAAGGAGCATTAGGTACTGCAAGAGCCTGGTCATAGATCAGCTCATCAGGAACCGAGACGACTTCGATCCCATTCACGAATGAGACAGAACCATGTGATGGGATAAAAGTGAGGGCCAAGCAATCAGAGGTCACGTTCACCGAGTACTCCTTGAACAGGTAAGTGCGGTTTGAGTTCTTGAAGGTGAAGTTGTTCATCAGGACGAACTCATCTGTGATGACGGTTAAAGGAGCAGCGCTCAAGTTATGGCCGGAATTGGCAATAGGATAGAAGTAGAGACGGATCCAGTGGCGGCCCTGTTGCCGGAGATAAAAGTTATAGGAGGCTGGTTCCGAGAAGATACGAAGGGATTGGTATATTGGGGATGGCAGGGCAGAATCGGAGGTGGAAAGGGTACCATCTCCAGAGGTTCTTAGAGAAAAGGAGGATTGCTGTGAATCAGGAAGGAAGACTTGGCCTTGGACTGACACATTCTGGGAAGATCCGCAGGCGAGAAGATAGTTGTCCGCAGGAGTGAATGCAGCAAAGGAACCATCGACGAGAATCAAAGCAAGGCATGCAATGGACAGCCCCAAACAAATCCGCCTCAACATTTTCAGATTCCCCAGCTAGATTATGAGATGAATCTCTCGAGCACTTCAAGATCACCTTTTCCCAACTTGGAACTTGTGGTTCCAGTTTCCATCTTAAAAATCCTAATAATTCTTGATCATATTCTAGAAATCTATGCAAGGAAAATTACCAACATACAAATCTAGATCAGCACATTCTGACGGCTAATATTTCTGATTTCGGTAAAATGGAAACTACAAGGAAAAAAGAAACAGCAAAAAATCTCAGTTGGAAGATAAAAAAAGAGGAAATCCAAATGCCAAATCCTTAGTCAAACCAACGGAAATGGACGAGTATATGAAGTCTTTATTTAGGGACCAAAACCAGAGAAGACGAAGGAAAGGAAATAAACCAAGGAATTTGTTCTTCTCACTCAGACGCACCGCTCTCGCTCCAAACTCTGCGTTCAGGCCCAGTAGCACTACTCAAGGAGAGACCAAGATGAGCTGAATGCGCCGGCCAAATGGATCCCCCGAGGCTTTGGTGAGACCCAAAGCAGCTGCTTTCCAGCCTGGGGAAGGAGACGAGGCTGTCACCACCTACATGGAGAAGCCACAGGACCCCACACCGGCTACCATCGCCTCTTTATCTAGAAAATGAAAGAACGGAGACATGATGACCAACTTTTGGACGGCAACGAGTGGAGCCAGAGATGTTTCCGTCCGTTACCGGAGATCACGTGCTGCGGGGTTCCTTTTCCTTCCGTCCGCGAACGTAAAGATCTGCAACAGAGTTCTTGCAAGCCGGAGAGACAGGACATTCTGTTGAATTCACTTGTTGGGGAGTCAATTTAACCCTCCATCGGAGAGAAGACACGTATGCATCTATCGCATCAGGTCCTGCCCTCTTTTTGGTGATGGGAGAGACGAGGTGGACGTACGTGTGCTGCCACGCGGCTACGGAACAAATACTAGGGATGGCGTCTTCCCTTATTATTTGCATGTCCTACTTATACATTGGCCACTCTCTTCTGCAGGAGGAAGAATGACTTGTTGCATCCATCGGTGGTTTCGATTTCAGTTTTGCTTTTAGTTTGGAATCGAAACTGTCTATTTTAATTTTAATTTTTTATTTTAAAAATATCTCCAATTAATTAATTTTAAGTTATTGGAATGAATAGATTCATTATTTGGATAGATATTTGATAGTTTGTTATTATTATTATTTTTAGTCAAGATCAAACCATTAGAATTGGATTCAATTAGGGACTACCTAACCATGATCGGATCTACGGGTCGAACTCGACACATGCATCCCTGTCATGTAATACCAATCGTATTTGTTAATATGGGTTCAACTCCATGTCGGTCGACCATCTTGTTTGTTCTGGCGGTTGTCACTTCTATCTTATTACAGAAGAAGGATAACGTAGCAACGAAGAAGACATCTTATTGCCTCGTTATTCATTGATATCATCATTATTGTTATTGTGTTCATTATTGTTAGGAGAAGATATCATTGATGGCTAAGTTAAACTGATGTGGTTCAGACCTATATGTGCAGTGTTATCTGAGGTGTTTATGAGGTGAAAATGTTGAGCTCCCAATGAGATCGTCCGAGGTGCCACCTATACGAATACTAAAGTCGAGAGAAAATTTCTAAGCTAGTCCCTTCAACACCTAATTTAGTAACCAAAGTTAGATGAGTGCAGTCACCAATCATAAAAAAGTAACATCTTGATTATGTTAAAAATGAGCTTTTATACTTAATAGTAAAATAACGATAGTGAGAGAATGATATACGTGCAGTCAACAAAATGAGTTTTCAACCATCTTTAACAAACTTGATTTTATTTTTTTCAACATAGACAGAGATAACCTATAATCACTTGTCTTGGACCGATATCCACGCGAGCAAACCAATAAGGGGTGGGTAACTTTTATAACCTTCTTCTATCTAAGGTGGAAAGGAGGTTGGCGCATGACCTCTCCACCATGGTTGGCACCCGACCCACTTGCCTTAAGTGGGGAAAGGGTTGGTACATGACCCACTTGCCTCAAGTGGAAAGAGAGTCGATGCTCGCCCCCTCCACTTTGAGCTAGCCTTAAGGGAGTTGGGTTTTCCCAACCTCCATGTCTCAAGCGAGCCTTTCTTTAGGTGCTTTGGCTTTCTCGACCTAGAGGGCTCTCTTAAAGTGGGATAGGTTTTTTCGACTTGTGTCTCAGACATATTTTACCTTATGCCTCTCATCATGATAGATTTCTTTATATGCAGATTTGGTTTTGTCGACTTATGTGTCTTTAGCATATTTTACCATGTGCCTCCTACCACAGTTGGTTCTTCCTACGCAAGTCAAGCTTTCTCGACTCATGCATCTCAAGCATGTTTTGCTTTGTGCCCTCTCACTATAATGGGTTTCTTCGCATATGGGTTAGGCTTTCTTAACATGCGTCTGCAGCATGTCTTACCTTGTGCCTCCTATCATGACAAGTTTCTTCCTGTGTGAGTCGGGCTAAATACTTTAGTATATTATTGTTGTGTCACTATTAACTCTTTTGTCTTTGACTTATAGCATCACTATATCATGGCCCTTCTCAACCATGTTCAAAATATATGATTAATTAATAATATCTTATGATTGACAATCTTTGGGAGAAGATGGAGGGGCTAAAGAGGGAGAGGGGAGACCCAACACTTGCCTCTGAAGTAGAGGCTCAAGGAGCCAAGCTGGTGATGCAGCTGGAAGAGGTCGAGCGATACCTCACTTATTAGATTGAACAATTGAGGATGGGAACAACCGCATCATGGAGGACAAGCTGCTACGACTTACTCAAGACCTAGACTTGCTGAGGACCTGGAGTTTTGTCATGTTATGTTGGCCTTCATTGAGTCATCGGGTTTATATACCCAACTTAGTCCTCATGTCTTTACTTTGTCATATCGTTGGCCTTGTCCACCTGACCAATCTTCTACTTTTGTAGATCAAAGTCTTATTTTGGATGTAGAGGCTTGATCGAGTTAGTGTAGTCTTTTTAAAGTAATGAAACTTTCTTTCCTTAGATTGTAGCATTTACACTTAAAAAATATTCTTTTTTTTTTTTACAATTGGCACCAACAATATGGAAGATTAAGACTTGAGGCTTAGGGGATAGTCACCCTAACCTGATTATGAGAGATGCCATAGGGGTAGAACTTCTTTAAGCTTACAATGTGTTGTCCTTAGTAGCACTACTCTCTTTTTTGTTTCGAGGTGAGAGGCTCCATCTCAAATGACCACGACAACTCGATAAAGTCCTTCCTAATTTGACGCTAACTTGCCCCATGATCTAGTTGGATTACTAATTTTAGCTTTTTGAAGCATAAAGTCCCCTAATTTGACTCATTGAGAGCGAATACTTCAGTTATAAAGTTTGGCCATCACTTTCTTATATCTCAGCACCTTTAGGTGTTCTTCTACTCTAACCTCGTTGATTAGGTCAAGTCTAACCTAAAGTTCTTCTTAGGAGACTTTCTCATCAAAATTCTCAACCTGAAATGTTGAAAATACCATTTCAGGTTGTAGGATAACCTCAGCGCCAAAGGCTAAGCTGAATGATGACTCTCCCGGCTCAGTCTTAAGTATTGTTCGGGAGGCCCTCAAGATACTCGATAGCTCATCCACCCAAGTGCACTAATGACCAACTTCTTGCATCCTTCGAGAATGGATCAATTGGTGATCTCGATAAGATCATTGGTCTAAAGATGAGCTATTGAGCTAAACCTTAGTTGAACTTTATTAGATTGACAAAACTCTTTAAACTTTATATTATTGAACTAAACTCCATTCTCGTGATTCTGAATCTTGAGATTAGGAAGTAGGAAGATGTCATTGACATATAGGACAACCCGATGTGGTTTAAACCCATGTGCACAAGGTTGTTCAAGGTATCTCTGAAGTGAAAATGTCGAGTTCCCGAGAAAGTCATTTGAGCTATCATATACATAAAAATCGAGGTCGGGAGAGGTTTCTTGATGCCTAATTATTAATAGTAAAAAAGTGACCCATTAAGTATGTTAAAAGTGAGGTTTTGTATATGGTAGCGAAGGAATGGTATATTCTATGAAATATTCTACGGGAATAGCTTTTAATCACCTTTAATAATCTTTTTTTTTTAATGTAGGCGAAGATAACCCATAACTATTTATCTTGGATTGATGTCCACACAGGCAAATCGGTGGAGAGTAGATTTTATCTCTTTCCTTTAACTTGGAGCCATGCAAAAAATGTGTTGGATGATGATTAGTCGATAATATCTTTCCTATTAATGGTTATCTATTTAACACAGGGTTATGGCTAACCAATGCTACTATTGTATCTTGCTTTTAATCTACACTACGAGAAAACACCTCCTCGTTAGTCATAAAAATCGTGCTACAAATATTTAGATATATGGTTAGTGGATGATTTATTGACGATGTTATCACCTAATAAATTTATTATAATAAAATATAATTTGTTATTAAATTTTATATCACTAAAATTTTTAAATTTATGAATTAGTGACAATGATGTCGCTAATATTGTCACAAAAATATTCTATAATTGAATTAGTGACATATAAATGAGCTCCTTAGGAATATCCATGGGGATCAAATTGATACCATGTGTGTTCAAGTAGATGAGCCCATAAAAATATTATATAATTGAATTAGTGATATGCAAACGTTGAGCTCCTTAGCAATATCCATGGGGATGAAATTGACACCATGTGTGTCAGAGAGATGAATTCAAAAGAGATGGGTGGCTTACAACGTAATTGTTCATGCATGAATATTGGGTATTAGGAGATGAGCTGATGCAATTTTTTATAGATGGATATGAATTTGGAGAGGTTAGAAGCGATGAGAAGGAAAGGGTAGTGATCAATAACAGGGACTCGCAAGAGGCAATGATGACTAAGAGAGGTGAGGGCTTAGAAGCGGCAATGGGAAATGGAAGGAGGGATAGGATGTAATGACGTTCCATTGAGGCAGAGGAAGGGCACGATTTGGGTGAGTGAGGAGGCGAAGGGAAGGGGAGGGTGGTGGTCAGTGGCTGGGACTCACGGGAGGCGATGATGGCTAAGAGAGGTGAGGGCTTGAAAAGGAATGGAAGATGAGAGGAGGGAGAAAGCGATCGCCTCCCATTCGAGGTGGAGGAAGGACAATATCAAGGCAAGGGGAGGAGAAGGGGAAGGGAAGGAGAGTGTAGGTCTGTGGCTAGGACTTGGGAGAGGCAATGATGACTAATGTGCTTGGAAAAGGCAATGGAAGATGACAGGAAGGAAGGGAAGCACTCAATCGTTCTTCGGCTTATTTTTTTTCTTCTCGTTCGAGACCTGATAAGAAAAATATCTGTACTTGACACGTGATAATCTAATTAGCATAAGATGAACAATGTACAAACGATAAGAGAATACTTTGTCCATATCTCATAATATTCTTTCGGATTAAACCCTTTATAAAAAGCCCATTAGGGCATAATAATCAATATTAAAGACTATTTACTAAAATTATTTTACTTTTATTAGTTAGTGACTTATGTGTAAAAAGGATCACGTCTGAAATTTTTTTTTTCTAATCTCACTCTTCATGTTGATCGATACATGATAGCCTAATTTGCATAAGGAGGATAGAGAACAAATGCTAAGAAAATATTTTGCCCATATCTCAGAATATTCGTTCGAGTAAAATCCACTATATAAAGACCATCATGATACAATAATCAATATCATGAACTATTTAATAGAATCACTTCATCTGTGTTGGATATTGATTTAAGTATCGGAGGAAACATGTCCGAAATCCATTTGGCCTCCATCTTTATGCAAGTCGATCACGGAACAAGTATTTGAGTCCTCTCGATTACCGAGTGAGCATTTTAGCCTCCTCTTCAGTCAAATCAAACATATTGAGTATATAGTCCTAAACTAAGTCAGATAAATATCATTTTTATACTCTCCATCGAGCTCAAGATTGGCTCATCCCTCCTACCCATTAATGATCGCTTCGATGACACGAGGGAGGAGGTCTTCGTGATGGCAATTGGTTGGGGTGGAAGCGAGAACAGCCATGAAGAAGAGCTACACATAATTCATTAACTTATATAGCTTATCAACTGATCTCAACTATCCTCTCGATTTGTTGCCTGCCAATACACTATTAAATGCCCATGTTGCCACCCAATCCACCTTGGACATGCTAATCTTCATACAACAAATATTAGAAACGTCTTCACCCGATCTTCTGTAACAAAAGCCCATCTCGCACAATCTGTAGTAATGGAGACGATGCGCCAATATCGGGTAAGATTTTGATCCCAATCTACCAACATCTTGTATTATGGTTATTGATGTGCTAAGATTATGATTTTGTCTCATCAAATAGATCCCAAACTTGCCCACATCAAGCAATAAAATTTGTCAGATTTTTTTAATTTGCCCACATCGGGTGATGGGAAAGACACCCACATTGGGTAGATCTTGATATGCTATTATCACATTGGGCAAATTGCTACATAGCATAAGTTAAGCTCTCAATCTACCCATGTCGGGCAAGATCTCAATCTGCCCATATCAAGTAGCTTATTCTTGATCCAACCATCTTGGGCTAAAATTCAAATGTCGACCTATTCATATTAAACAAACTGGCTCTAAGTTCAGTTAATCCAACTCACCTCATGTAGAAATTTATCTGTATGCGATCTACTCATATCAGGCAAGTTAACTCTATGTTAGAGACGCTTGTGTCCACAAAGGACACATCAACTATTGAGATATTTTTTTTGTCCATGGAGGATGCATTAGATGCCTTAGATGCTCTTGATTGTCAAGAATGCATCAGCATTAAAGATGCTTATGTCCATGAAAGATGTGTCAACTACTAAGATATTTTTTTTTGGCTATAGAGGATGCATCATACACTCTAGATATTCTCATCGATTAAGTATGCATCACGCATTAAACATGCTTATGTCCACGAAAGGCATGTCAACTATCATGATATTTTTTATCCACAGAGGATACATAGCAGGTTAAAGACACCTATATTCATAAAGGATGCATCGAGCATTGGGATGCTCTTATCCGCAAAGGATGCATCACATGTCGAAGATGCTTATGTCTGTAAAGGATGCGTCAGGCATTTAGTTGCTCTTTTCCATGAAGGATACATCGGACGTTGGGATGCTCTTACTACAAAGGATGCATCGCACATCAAAAATGCCTATATCCACGAAGGATATCTTGGATGTTGAGATGCTTCAAGGTCCTTTTGATCATACATCGTAGAGAGCATCTTAGGCTATGTCAATCATATTATGAGAATGCCTTGGGCTGTGTTAGTCGCAATGTTGTTATAGAAAACACTTCGAGGTGTGTCAATCGTACAATCATCATAGAGAGCTCTATGAACCATGTTAATCGCATTGTGGTTGGAGGCGGGGTATACTCGATAAACTACATGTTTAGTGAGTTGGCGGAATGATGTTCTTGCGATATGGGATTCTTCTTTTAGCGCCAAAATGATAGTGATAATATTAATGATACTTGAATCAACCCAACTCGATTCATGATCATATGCACAAGAAATCCAATGTAGTCAAAGATGGGCCTCAAATGCTCCCTCGATAGCCGAGGAAGGTTCGAACGTTTATTTCGTAGTCGATTTATATAAAAATCAAGGTCACGTGCATTTCTAAACGTGATTTTTCGTATACTTATGTCAATAACTAACTAAGACAAAATAATTTTAATAAATAATCTCTAACCTCGATTATTGTGTCATGATAATTTTTTATAATAGATTTAATAAAAAAAAATATTATAATATATGAACAAATTATTTTCTTAACATTTGTCCTCTTATATCTCGTGATGATTGGCTTCCAGTAGTGCCGGAGGGGGTGGGTCATCGGGGAAGGTCTCCTTCAGGTTGGCCATCAAGGTGTTGAGGAATGGCCGCGGCCGCAGATCCAGCACCCGGAGTATGAAGCTCGTCACATAAGAGAAGACGACACGAGAGATGATGACAACGGTAGCAGAGTGAACGGCTGTAACTCTCTCTCTCTCTCTTCTCTCTCTTTCTCGCATTAATGTCCTGACATGAGAACAGTGAATGGTTGGAAATCAATAAATGGGCGAGTTACGATGAGAATAAAGGGCAGGTTAATTCAGTTATGTAACTGTATTTGTATCATAATCGAAGAAATCCTACCTTTGATCATTCTATTATATGAGCCCCCCTCTCCTCTCCTCTCCATCCATCCATAGAAGAGGCGCTTCTGTTGCCATGGCCCACCACTACTCGTAAGCAGGCGACGGCCCCATCTGTGGGCCAGGGCGACATCAGTCCTTGGAAACGCGGATGAAAAAGAACTAGCGGGGCCAAGTGGGCAATTAATTGGGACAGCTAATGTTCCACTGCATTTGGTGGGCAGCAACAATTAATGGCCATCGGCTTTCATCCGATACGATCCTACTAGTGTTTCATCTGATCGATCCCTAAATCCAACCCGAGAAGACAAGTTTTCTTTTAGAAGAACAATTGCATCAAACTAACCATCATATATACACACAATCTCACAACGGAAATCAAAAGGCAAGCGCTCCGTCGATCCCATCTCATGCGACCAAGAAACAAATGGTCCTCGTAGATCTCAGCCTACATGCATAGATCTCATAGGTGGTCTGTGCAAATCCATCGACTATATATCTACCGGTTGTAGGACTTGAGGAGGGCGCCGCAGAAGGTGCAAATGATGGCCCGCCAGGCCTTACGATGAACGGTCACGTAGCAGAAGCGCGTGCACGTCACCATGTCGGCGACGCTCGCGCAGGCACCGCAGCGCGAGCAGATCCCTGCCGCCGGCTTGCTGCTCCTCACCCTCCGCCGCTGATCCACTAGGAAGCAGAAGAACACCATCTTCTCCTTTCTCCTTCCGCGCACCAGATCTCTCTCTCTCTCTCTCTCCTATGTAGATATGTCTCTGTTTGCTAAATGATGGGCCTCATCTCTGCTCTCACTGGTGGACTGCGAGCTTGCAAAGATGAATGCGGAAATGACTGATGAGAAAGGCCGAGAGACGAGCAAGGGAAGGAAGAAGAAACGGAAGGCGAAGCAAATCAAAGAAAGAGGAAGTTGGGAGTTAGAGAGGGAGGAAGCTGAAACGGATGAGCGACGCGTGGGTGGCAATGGGGCACGCGGTTTTGGTAGACGAGGCGAAGGATTTGGAAGGGGATATATCATGAGAACCGTGTGACCACCGTCGAGCAAAACATGATGGATCTGCTGCCGCCTGGTAGGCGCGAAAGAGAAGTTGGCACGGTGACGGGCAGCCTTTCCCACCCCCGCAGGCAACTTACCAAAGGTGGTGAGGAGACGAGACGGATGGCGACCCAAATCAAAGGATCGCGCGCCTTTTCTTGATCTACCAGATAATTTATTATTATTATTACAATGACTAGTAGTGAAATAGGAGGATATTTGTAATGATTTGATAAAGTGCTTATTAGAGCTAGCCAACAACTGGTTACAATTCTCAATAAATGAATCAGGTACATCAGACTAAAATATACTTGTTTATAATACTAAGGTTAATCGGATGCACAGTTAATGTTCTTTGGTAAAAAAATTAATATAAAGAAGTTTTAGACTCCGTATTTATATATGAGATATGATCATCAGAAACTTATGATCAAACTTGCAGTAGCAAGTTCCGTAACTGTATCTCGTTCTTTTGTATGTATATTTGATTTACATCAATGCACAATATAAGTCCAGTAAGTGTCAAAAATTAGATCTGGTAGATCTTGCAATTCATTTTGATCATGCCAAGCGACAACACACTTTTAAAAGAGTCATCGCCAATCAAAAACTCAATAGATGAACGAATAGCAGACGCATGAACTCATTCTGTCCGCGACTATTACGAAAGTAGTTGTTCTATAGCACAACAGCACAAAACAAAAAGAGCATATGAGACACAAGCAGCCAATACGGCTACAAAGAAGCTTCAAATAACACCCTCACATGGACGAACACTGTGACATCCAAACGTCAACTGTCAGATAATTCAATGACAGAAGAAACAAAGAAAGCATTAATGCAAAATTTTTGGTGCTGATTCCATCGTATATCCTATTTAGTCTTTTGGCGACCAGTGATGTATATGTAAATCACATTGCAGCCCTCAGAGCACCACGAGCTGCCTCATGCTTTAATTCTGCAGCTTTCCCGCTCCCCCGGAAATACATGTATATTTGCTGCAAGTAGAAGGATGCAAGGATCATCGGTGAGAACACATAGGAAGATAAAAAAAGTGAACTGTACACGAATGAGAATATTCCCAAACCATGGAAACGACAAGTTTCTTTTCTCAAAGTCCAAATTGAGGTGAAGGAACATATTAATTTCTTTAAAAAATGGTATATTCTCCCATGAAGGCTTGTGCAAACAATATGTATTATATTTTCAAGATTCAAAGACAAGTATGGTGATCAATTAGGTCACCGTATAAATTATTCATATTATGTTTTCCTTTTTGACTTACTGCAGTAATAATAGAACACAAAATTTAAACTTAAGAGATCATCAACAAATGAATTTTCAAGGGTATGTAAACAAACCTGCATAACCCAGATGCTGAGCAGGGATTCAATGCAGAACAATCCAAATCCGACTAAATAGAAGATCTACAAGTAAAATCATCTAGAGTTAGATAAGGTTGCATTAGAAATCGGTGGCGGTGAAGAGAGATATTCCTTACAGAATCTTAACAATCATTTATAACAGCTTTCTTTACCATTTCAACCAAGAAACATATAAATCAACTATGAAAATTCAATTCAAACAAGCTAAAATGAGTGAATAATATTTCATTTTATTGCATACAGCACTTATCACAATTACAAACATGAAGTGCTTTTTTGCACCATGTCACGCTACAAAGATAGCAACCTATGCATGACTGGCAAAAGAGTGATTCTTTGATGATCATGACCATGGAGCTGGCAACAGCCTTTCCTAAATTTTTGCCAACTCCATTATTTACAAGCTACTTTAAGCAATATTGTAATGGCATAATAATAATTAATGAGAAGGTCTTGAGTTGTACATCTTTAATTTATCTACAGCTTACCCCAACCAAAACATCTTCGCTGATAAGATCTACAGCTGGCAGAATACCTCTGCAACAGAAAAGCAATATTAATAAGTCATAAAATGAAAAGAAACGCACAATGAGCTTCTGCCGTTAAACTTGCAAATCCAATATTTACAGTATTTCAACATCTACTGACAAAATGAAGTTACTTTGATCTGTTAAAATATTCATCATCGCCAAAAGATCTTCAATGGGGGAGCTTTGGCAACTTTCATATTTTTCTTCTAAATTTTGTAATAGACTTTGGTAAGGGAAAGATCAAAATTATACAACATGTTCTGCTTAAAACCATCAGACATTAAGGTTACACATGCATACTCAGCCAAAACATAAAAGGTCAAACATTAGCCAATTCTCAGCCAAAACTTTCCTAATCACCTATCCAACCATGCTATCAATTGTTATCAGGAAACCAAAATGGTATAGGTTAAAGAACAGTTTCAAGAGAGTACGATAGGCCCTTCCTATGATCAGACCAGTTTACAATTTCTTAACTCCACTCGAACCTTCGGAACAAAAGTGTCATAGGACCAATTCATACCACCAATTTCATTAGGCATGTTAGGGACCACATCTAGAATTTGACAATGACAGTATCAACTACATGGATCCCTTCTGACAATTTAGCTTTGTCAAGGATATGTCACTGATTAACCATCATGTCCTTTCTTATTTGTTCCCAACCAAGTTTGACTTAACAACATCTATTTACTTTATGCATTCTTTAAAAAGAAACTCTTAATCCATTAACCATATATTGATGAATCCAATCAGATATTAGGATATTTTGCATCATCTGAGACATTCATTAGGTTAGTTCCTTTCTAAGAAACTAAATTCAATAAATCTAAAGAGATCCTATAACTACAAAAACTTTTTTCCTAACAGGAAATAGGTGGTCCCAGTGGATGAGGCTCCCACCAAATTGGGGTCTTAGGAAGATCAACATATGCAGCCTTATGTTTGTGAACATCGATACTGTTTTTATGAGTTGAACCTTGGTCATCAGGTTAGCAAAGGAGTAAATTTACTGGACTAATATACCATTTATGCAGTCAATGTTTGGAGAAAGGCAGCTTGAGGAGATGCCTCTCTGAGTCCATTGCTGAGAAGTGTAGCAAAGGAGTAATTTTACTGGACTAATATACAATTTATACAGTCGATGTTTGGAGAAAGGCAGCTTGAGGAGATGCCTCTCTGAGTTCATTGCTGAGAAGAGTAGCTCCTGTCTGCTGAGCCCTCAAGATTTCAAAAATTAGATAACATGATAATTCTTTCCTCACTAAAAGAGCTTCAATTATTGAATCTCTCACCTAATCTTAAAAAATAAATGAAAAAAACCAAAAATTAAAAAAGCACCCTTAAATCTAATTTGATACTTAATAAGCTAATGACGCAACATAGGCTTGACTTGCTTAAAACCTTTGAATTGGATCATATTTGTTGCCTTTTGCTAGATAGAGCACATCCTTGAGAATACTAAGTTGTAGAATTGCACTATTCTAGACCTTTAGACTTGTCTTGGCACCATGGCCAACATGGATCTATCGTGGGTGACTGTTGCAATTGCAGCTTCTTGTTTAAAGAAATATTTATATTCCCAATAAAGAGAATATTAAAGATAATAAATAAAACGTTGGAAGTAGGATCATATCAAGTAGAAGTAGATAAAAAATATATTCTTTTACTAAGGATTTCCAGGATTAAAAGGACATGAAATATTGTAAATGACATGGTCGTCCAAATCTAGGCTTTGGTGTGGAAAATTAATGCAGCATGTAATAATTGAGAACTGATGTAAAAAGAGTACAACGCAAAGGCAAGAGCTTAGAAACTATGGTTGCGAAGAAGTAAACTTGAAGATAGAAGAAAAACTAATAAGAAAACACAAGAAAACTAATTCAGAAAAATAATTAACAGCAAAATTGGATTTAAAGTGCCTTCCAAGAGGAAATTTTCTTCCTCTTTGTTAGTATCATGCCAAAAACAAAACTTTACGTCAAAGATTTTCCATGGAAAATGAGTGGAGGAGCCACAGCTGAATAGACGACAAAGCCAATGTGAAGCTGCAAACAGTAAGGATCAGAGAGCCATTCAATGTTTCTTCACTGGAAAAATATGAAGAATCACCATGAAATCTAAAACATAAAATAAACATACCAGGTAAAACAGGAAAAACCATCCATAGTTCAAAGCACTATCAGTCCTGCAGATATATTGCCAAATGCCACATCAGTGTACAAGATCATTTAACTCCAGTGAAATTAAATGCTTATCAGAACCAACAATTAGATATAAATAAATAAAAACATATATGTATATATATATAGTACCTCATGGCACGATAAAGAGGTCGATACCACAAGACATATGCTCCTGGAACTCCAGAAATAAAGTAAATGATGGCAAGGAACCAGATCTTTACACCTGGAAAACAAAGATTGATCTTCATTGTAATATTCACTACAATACTCGGACAATATCTAAAACATATACTCATCGGATGAGAACTTTTTTTTTGCAGTACCTTCTCCCTTAATCCAAGCTGCTGTAGTTGCTACAATATTCCAAAATAGGCATGCGGTCAAACCTGCAGCATGTCCAAGTTGCAAAAGATTATAATATTTTACTTTCACCATAATCTAAAATTTAAAGAACAATTTTCATCAAATTTACAAGTACTATACATAAACTTAAAAATTGCCACCTTTTTTAATTTGTTTAATAAGGCCTTTGAATTATAACATAGATTATGCATCTTGTGAAAAATTTACACGTTTTGCTTCATAAAATGTCCAAACATAGAAATCAAACTGCATGTTCAACCACAGGAATAATCAAATTTGCTAGTATTCCCCTTCCCTCTCCTCTATGTTCATCCACTATATCAATCAGGTCATCCAGAAAAAGCCGATAATGCACCTACTCATGCAGGCAAAGAAAATAATTATATGTGCAATTATTTACATTTTCTGAACCAAAAGCAAGCATTCTAATAATTATAGAGTTCAAAAATTAAAACCAACTGACCAAAATTTAAATGAATGATTTAAGTAAAAAATTATAGAGTTCAAAAATTAAAACCAACTGACCAAAATTTAAATGAAAGATTTAAGTACTGATGAAGATAAGATAGTTCAAAAATAGCTGCAGCAGCAAAAAAAAAAAAATCCAAGAGACTAAATTGTAACATTACAGTCCATCTCATTTAAAGCTTGTTGCCCCATCCACGGGTGCTCCTATCAAACTTGAGCCCCTCATCATACTCAATACTAGGGCCATCTGGTATCATTCCATTAACATCATAGGCTTGGCCTAAAATGATTCAATTCAAGTTAAAATTAGTTAACTTATCTAATCTTATAAACCGACTAAACTCTCCTCCCACATCTCATGTGGGTGTAACCTAGATGTTACACAAAAGACAAGGTTCGTCGTACCATGGTGTATCTCTTGGTATGGGCGACATATACTAATCGAACAAGGGATCGATCCACGGACCACCCCATATCGGGTGATACACGTTACATGACCTTGTATAGGTTGATATGGGGTCTATACCAATCGGAACGGATGAAATCCAACCATCACCGACCTGTATTGATCGGTAACGGTCGGATTTCGACTAATACATGGATTGACGATGCATATACAAAAGAAAAGAAACGGAATATTGAGAAGACAATTACAAAATGGTTCAACTTCCACAAGATTCCAACAAACATGACCCAAGGTCCATATTTTTAGAGCATGATCTCCTCTCTTCAAAAGGCAAGCATAAGGATCCAACCTCCAACACTAAAGGAGATTCACGATGTGTATTTAGATGAGGCGGTGACAGAACTGAAGGATTGGACCAAATCCTTTAAAAGACAGTGGGACAAATATGGGGTGACACTGATGTGTGACACTTGGACAAGGCCAACAAGAATAAGCATCATCAATTTTCTTGTGTATTACAACAGATAGATGGTTTTACATTAGTCAGGTAATGCTTCCGACAAGATTTAAAATACAAACTATATTGAAAACCTAATAGACAACGTAGTAGAGGAGATTAGACCACAATACATTGTCTAAATAGTCACCGACAATGAAGCCAATTTCAAGAAGACTAGTTTACAATTAATGAAAAAATAATAATATTGTTTTAGATTCCATATGCAGCTCATTATGTGGATCTAATGCTGAAGGATATTAGCAAGCTATCATAAGTTAGCAAGTGTGTAGCTCGGGCACAGTCGATAACAAAGTTTATAATTATTGGGTCCACTATTTGATATAAAAGTATACAAATGGTGAGATACTCCAACCTGGAGTCACTCGATTTGCTATAAATTTCAGTACCTTAAAGTCAAAACAACAAAAGAGGCAAGGTCTCAAAGCAATGGTCACCTCACATGAATGATTCGATTCTAGGTATTCGAGATCGAAAGACAGAAAAAAGGTGAAAAAGATTGTTCTTTCTTCTATATTTTGGGATACCGTGAATGAAAATTATAATTGGAGTAGAACCACTTTATGTTGTCCTCCGTAGGGTTGATATGGACAAGCATCCCGAAATGTCATATCTTAGACATATGTTGATAACAGCAAGATAGGAGGTTAAGAAAGCATTCACAAATTATTTTAAGGTCAATTGGTACTTACAAATCATTGATCGTAAGACCGAAATTTATATAAACCAAGACATCCATAATGCAAGTAAATTCATATTCAGTGTAATTTAATTCATAATTTTTTAATATTTAAAATATTTTTACTAATAAAATTATTTGTCTTGCAACGCATTATGTAAATCCAACCATTCAATTTCGGTATAGTCTTGGAACGCGATCAAATTTATTGAATTTAGATTTGAGATTAAGCTTGGTTCGGCCAGATTGGGATTGATTTCGAGTTTGCCTCAAACTCCGATTGAGTTAAATTGAAATACGAGTCAAAATGGGGTTGGGCTAAATTAGAGTACGACTCATTCCTAGATCAATTGGACTAGTGAATCATCTGTAGCACCGAAGCACTGCAACATGTGTAGTCTGAAAAAAGGAGCTGGTCTAAAGCATGACTCAATTTAACTATGAGACAAGTGTTAACTGCTTTAAGCTGATAAGCCAAAACATCATGTTAATAATCTCTACTTATACTGTGATGTAAGCCTCCCCCCTAATAACATAGCCATAAAGGATATCCAAGTCTCATGCCCCATATTGCATCTATGCCAATAATGCCACTGGTGCAGTTAGCCTTGAAGCATATCCAAGTCTCATGCCGCATATTGCACCTATGCATCTATGGCACTGTTGATTTGACACAGAAATTATGTCAAAACAACAGGAAAAGTACATAATAATTGTTTTTAGAAGTATTGTCATTTATCTTAATGCCTGAAAACAGAAAGAGAAAGAACAAGAAGTCATAATAAACCACGGCGTACCTATCAAAGATGCAAATGCGAAGTACTGCAATCTTTGCAAGTGGACAGGTATCTCATTCACAATATCATGATGAATAATAGGAAAAAAGGGTGGCCAATTTTTGTCCTCAATAATAATACCGGCTGCAAAAGCAGAAAAGTTAATGAAGCACAAAAGTTGTAGAGATAAATGTGCTTTAGCTTCTCAAAGAAAATTAGGTGCCTCTTTAAATAAGAACAATTAAGATGAATAGTCATTCTGATTAATCAATAGAACTAATAGATTTTACCACGGGCTGCAGCCTCTTCCCTTCGTTTGATTTCCTAAATGACAGATACAGATCAAATGGTGTATCAAAACATCTCAACTAATTGACAACAAATTGTAGTAACTAGAAAATTGCCATGTAAATGCATGACTTTTACAGGTTATTTTGTGTGGCAATATAAACAAGAAACTTATCAAATAAGTTGCTTATTCTTAGGACTGCTCTAAAAGAGGATTGTAAAATGTTATCTCTAACATGAAATAGGTATACGAAATATATTATTCTATAAGGCAATGAGAAATAGCATAACCATACCAAATGTCAATAGTGACGCAAGTGCAAGCATAAATTTACTCAAACAGCATACAGAAATGCAGAAAATATTTATAATCAGATAACAATGACATGGATTTTGCCACACACCAACTGATGACTTTGATTGAAATCAATACTTTATGGTATTTTTGCTTATATCTGTCTTGGAAACAAGCTGCTGTAGGAGCACAGAAATCAAGCACCTATGAAATTAGTAAATATTTGTAATTCCAAAGATGATATTTACTGACTTTACAGGTCTTGGTAAGTCAAGACTTTTATTATAGGTTCCCTAGTACTAATAATGGACACATTTAAAAAACTCAAAATCCTATTAACTATCAAAACTGTATTTCATGATCACTTCAATCAATAAAGATCGAGGTTATAAATCTCAGTCCAATACCAGTTTTGACACTTAGATAAACCAATATGGTACTAGTATATTGGGTGGTATTAAAAGAAAATATAAATTGAATTCCAATCAATACCAATATATAAGTTTCAGTAATGGTCCATGGTCCTATATTTACCAATCAATACATATTGGTCTGACAGGTATTTGAAACCTACGATAATTGAAAGGACAAACATAGTGCATGAGATTCCCACCAAAATGGGGTCTGTGATAATACTTAATAAATTGCATAAGTTAACATTTTTAAATGTACAATCTTTTTGCTCTTTCAGCTACTTATGTAAAATATAATGGGCAAAGCATCTATCTTTTGCATAGTCAGCAACCAACACTTCAGAAATTTAGGTTTTCATACATACATTCTAATATCAAGACTTAAAACAAACTCAAAGCATAAATAAAAATAAATCTCAGCTTCCATATGCTAAAAATCTTAGGAATGATAGAAATCTCTATTTTATAGTTTCGTTCTGTTCACACGAGAATCACACAAAATAAAGTTTCATAAATTTCTAATGGTTCATGATCCAATCCAACTATGAAGTTGGTATTAAAAGGACATGCAATCATGATTTGCCTTCTTGCTGTCTCATTTCGTAAATCTGTCATGTTTGTTCATGATCCCTATCCAAATATTAGGTTATATTATAAGGATATGATGATATCTTAACTAATTTTTAAAAAATATTAAAGTAAAAAACAGGTTGCTAATTCCAAAATTTATTCTCTTTTCTCTCCTCTACCCTTCTCCTTTTTCCCACTCTTATTTCTTCTCTTGCTCTTCTCTTCTCCCCTCTCTTCATAATAAAATCTCTTCACCACAATGGACAATGGTAGTGGGAAGCAGTGGCAAGTGGCTGGCACAGAGTAACAAAGCAGGATGAGAGTGTATGACAGTGGATATTATCCTCATCCTTTTCTCTTCCTCCTCCCTCTGTCTTCTGTTGTCTTTTTTTCCTCCACTGGACTGCTGCTGCTCCTCTTCTAACTAATGGCAGGTCTGCCAGAAATGGCTTGATGGGCAGAATTGACCAATTCAAGCTGAGGCAAGACAGATTTTGTTCCGAACCAATATCAACCGAGTTGGGCTCATATCCCGCACTAGGACTTGAGTCAAGTCATCTTGACATGGGAAATATGGGATAAATTGCTGGGTTCATGACAAAGAGACTCATTATAAAGGCATGTATAAGTATCAAATCCTTTTATGTATCAAAGATGTATTTTATAACCATTAGAACTAGTAAAGATTCCAAGAACAATCAATATAGTGTGTGTAAATAATAATAAAGGATTGCATATGTTGTCACTTCAAGAAGTTATCCTATGTAGTTTGACCAATCCGCAACTAATGTTCAAGACAACATATCTATCTTTCACATAATCTAAAAATGATACTTCACATGTTTAGATTTTTTGCCTCTATTGAGACATTCCATTAGTAAGTGCTGTTGCACAATTGATAAGGTCTCATGTACGAGTCCAAGTGAGAATGTTTTGTACGTTATTTAATATAATGAATGAATATTATTTATTGTAAGAAAATAGCATTTTATGCACACTTCAATATGTCAATATTTTAACAAACATAAAATGCATACCAAACACATACCATAGCTGCTATATAGTAAAAAGTTTATGAATCTTAAACAATCTGGATATTAAATTTTCATTCTGTTTAATTCACACAAGAAGCATGCAAAATTATGTTTCATTAATTTCTTAACGAATGTACTCCAAGTGACTGATAATCTCCATCTAAATATTAGGCTGTATTAAAGGATATTTAACTATGATTGAACTTCTTGCAGACTTACAGTCCCTCATAATAACTTCTTTGAATTACAAGGATGTGCCATCATGATTCGATTCAATGTGGTCTTATTCCATAACTCTTTTGAACTTTGTCACATGACATGTCCATGTTTTCCAACAAACCTTATCAAATGAGTTTTTGTTTTGTTGTTTTAAATTAATAAAATGTTCTTCAATTTGTATCTTAAATTGTTGCGTTTTATGTCATTATAGCTTATTTTCAAATGTCAAACACAATATCCTAAGTCATAACTGTTGTGTTAATTTATATGAAGAATCTTCTGGTGGTCCATACAGCCTCAAAATCACCATCGAGAACTCACAGCATGATGAATTTTTGTCTGACAAAAATTGATAAAAATCCCCACCTCAGCAGCTGGTCAACAAACCTATTCATATTCATTTAAGGTCTGTTCAGTAAGAATAAAGCACACTGTGACACTTGAACATCTGATAGCTCTTAAGGCTTTGGAGCAATCAAAGCTTGTTTAGCCTAGTATTCCAAGGTTTCAGGGTCCAATCCATTCCGGCGTACCTACACATGGTATATGAAATAGTAGAATTAACTGCAGTGCTGGAACAGTAGAACTAACCACTGTACTATGGTTCCTGCACATGGTATAGGTAATTCTTATTAATAATAGTTTATGCAATGTGTTAATTATTGACTTTGTCACTGCTAGGATTTTAAATTGTCATTGATAAAATTCTTCCTCAACATGTAAAAGAAAGAATGACAAAGACCAAAGAGATAAGTCAACAATAAAGTCCAAAACCATGTTTCCATCTTGGGGATAAGGAAGATTTAAATTTAGAAGGTTTCAATGCATGATATTTATCTTCTACAATGACAACATCATCCTTCCTCAATGTGTAAAAAAAAGAATGACCAAGGTCAAAGATATAAATTGATGATAAGGTGATTAAGGTCCCAAACCATGTTTCGATCTGGGGAATGAGGAGGATTCAAGGGTTGAAAAACTATTATGGTCATCAAAACCCCCTGAACCCATTCCTGGTCATCAAAATATCTAAATATGATCATCCACAATAATATATCATTATCTTTAGTTAGTTATAAGCCACACAATAAACACTTACAAAATGTTAGAGTACATCATAGAAGAACCACAAATAAAGTTCAGCTTCCTTTGCTTTTCAGTATTTGAGTACATCAATATTACATGTAAGAATTAACTTTTCAGTATTTGATTCAAATGCATACCTTTTCCCTCCTATTTAATTCAGCTTCCTTTGCTTGAAGTTCTTTCTCCTTTTTCTTTAAGTCCTATGTGACAAAAATGGAACTCAAGAGAGAGCAAATTTTACACATATGAAGAAGGTAGAACATCAGAATCTATATAATTTATTAATTAAAAAGAAATGATCAAGCCATAAGTGTAAATATTAAACATGTGTAGAACCACTAGTTGATTAAGGCCGTTGCCCCCTAGCAAAGTCCTTTAAGAGCTGGGTCATACTTCAAATATTTTTTGTTATTAGTGCATTCAGCTGGTATTGCAAGAGGTGCAACTTCTTGTTTATGGCCTATGGTACTAAAACATCTCTATTGATTGGTCTAACTTACTATTAATATAGCATCCTGATTATGGGTTTAGCTTGCAGCATTCCAAATGAGAAAGGTATGATGCCAGAAACAACAAACCTAGCTTAACACAAGCGTGCCAGTCTGAACAAATTAAAAATAAAAAGGAAAAAAATACAACATATAAAGAAGAAAGAAAAAAGATTATCTGAAAGCATTCACCTCTAAATAGAGAAAGAAAGAAGACTATCTGAAAGCATTCACATCTAACCTACCAATATATAAAATGTATCACCACCGAAAAACAATAATGATGGCTGTGGCAACATGTAAATTCATTAGGGGTTACCGATGGACGATGGTGACACCTAAACAACATGGTATTACCTGCAAAATTGTCCAGGCATGGGAATCCATTTACCGAAAATTTTGCCTATGCTTCAAGTGAAGAACAACGAAAGCAAGCAGAATGAGAAGATCTGAAGTTCAAGTTGCTCTTTGAGTACTATGGTAGAAGTTTTTATTTTCCCATGTTTATGGACTTGTTTGAAGAATGATGGGAATGGGTAATATTTATAATTTATGTAACACATACTTAGTTCTCAACACTTGCAGCAAATAGATGCTTCATTATGGCCAATGTATCACTAGATGGTTACCATCTATTGGAAGAGAGAAAAGAGGAGTCTGTTTAAGTTCTCTTTCCTCCTATTATCTAGTAACCTAGCTAAAGCAAAATCTAATTTAGTCAAAATCAGAAGGACAGATGGCTACGCACACTGATGTCGAGTATAATAGTTCATTTCAGTCAAAAAAATTCATAATTTAGATCCATTTAGGAATTAAAAAAAAGAGGGCCAAGAAATTCAAAATTCAGTCGAGTTATATGATAAAAATTGGACTGTCAAGAGACCATCCATCACCAATTAACTATTTATCCTAACCAATTGCCTGAAATGGTCAAATAACCAGTTAGCCACCATTTAATTACTAATTCTGTGATGAATTGAGATTGAAAGGAGAAGATCACGTGGTTATTGGAGCCCTCCAAAAATTTTAAATACAGGGCACCCTCAATAAAAATTTTCTAACTAACTGCTATTTAGTATGATAATTAGGGTCAAAGTCCAATTGAATAAAACATAAAGGACAGTTTTCTAGGTAGCCAGATGCCTGAATTGTATGATGGTTCATTTCATTTAAGAAATCTGTAACTGCTGGCTACATTTTTCTCACCTTTATATTCTTTGTTTGCTCTAAACTCTTCTAGATGGTTTCAACCATCATTCTGCATCTACCTCCTTTGGGTCTTGTTTATACTTAATATAATATATCTGTACAATATTAGTCATTTTCATAATAAATCTGATTCGAACTCAACAGATACAAAGAACGTATACAGCAAGCAAAACATCACATGTGGCATATTGCTTACACACTGTGACACAGCTCAAGTTTAGGCAGAACCAAGTTTTAGTAGGCTAGGTAAGTTACAGCTAAGCTTAGGCTGTTCAGGTCAAATATAAGAGGTAAAGATCTTCTTTTATTTTACTGGGTTGCCCACAATTTCTCTCTAGTCTTATAGAGAACATGATAAAAGAGTTTATTTTGGCTAGATGTTTATGGTAACTTCTCAGAATTTTTGGGAGTCCAAAAATGTGTCTAGAACTCTTAATCCTTGTGTCCAGAGACTACAAAAGGTGACCAAGGCCAAAATGAAACCTCCAATCAAGTAAAGCCAATTGATTTAGGAGGCCCAACTTATTCCACACATAAAATATTAAAAATGAGGACTTGTATAGGCTAAGATAGAGCGATTGTAGTGAAATGATTGTTCATAAATAATAACTCATGTTTTCTAGATAGCTAGCTAGTAAAGTTGTTTTTGTATATAAAACTTGTATTTCTTAGTCTTAGTGAAGTGCCTAGTTAACTTCTACCTTGGGTGAGTTTTTCTTCCTCTTATAGCTTCCGTTTTCTGTAACCCTTCCTAACTCTATGACTTCATCTTCCTATGTAAATGCATATGCATGCATCAGTTTCTCAGATATATAACAGATCTGTTTCGATCATGAAACCAAAATAAAGAAATCCCATAACCACAAGTTCAGTCAAAGTCATCAAGATTACACTAGCATACCTTTTCTGTATCAAGAGGAATATCAACTGTTGCACCACGATCATTGTGAAAATCAGCAGGCTCTGGAGGAAGGGGTGAAAGTCTAGGCTTGGAAACGGGAGGGACATTTCCAGGGTTCTGGAATATTCATATATGGGAATTTATTAATTAGAATGGACATCTAGTAAATTATATATACAAGCAGATAACAAATACAACCTATTTAGAATCTAGGTCTTGATTTGTCTAGTACAAATAATCCACATGTTCAGCAAAAAAAACTTACTGTCATGTAAAATGACCCTCCACCGTAATTTGATCCAGCTGCTTTTCCACGAACACCAGGATCCTGCAACACAAATTTCTAGGCAGCATCAATATATGTAAAGAAAAGGTCAGTACACAAAGCTCCTGCCAATGTAGCATCTCAGAAGGATAAAATTTACAGTCTTAATCATCCACATGCAGAAAGGTTGTACCAATTATTTGAATCCTTGACACCTTGGTCAAAAAAGAACAACATCAAGGTGGCACCAAGGATCACTTCTAGCCTAGTTGTATCTCTATCAATAAGAATAAACTCACAGATCTGTTTGCTGATACCAAGATTAAACAAGTCAAATCATGGGAATATAGAAGTATGATTCCTTAAGAACGCTTAATGCTCTCGTATGATTTTAAGGAAAAAAGCCCTCTATCTGGGTATTATCACCTTCACATTGAATGTTTTTGTCAATTATTCAATAAAGAAAATTCTACTCTGGGGAATGATTCTTTCTACAAATTAGTATAGGGGTTAATATAAATCATCAGGTAATCAAAGACAACAAGTTAGCAACTATTATACTACATGAATTAAAACATTATAGTATTTCACAACGTTGCCTATTTTTTTCAGGGAAATTTCATTAAGATGTTGTCTAGTTCACATGATCTTACTTATGTGGGTTTCGTAATCAAAGTTCTTATGTCCAGCACCTTACCCATCTAGTTCGACATATTAAATAGGACAAGGACACCAAAATACCAAGCAAACATAATTTTCCGTTCCGTAGGTCCCAAAGCAAACGACAGGCGCAAACGAGAAAGCACGACAGGAGACTCCACGTCGCCGATGCAAAAGAAAGTCCTCATAACGATTTCCTCGGTTTTCAAAGATCCACAATGTCAAGCATATCGAGCGACATTCAGGAATAAGAACCCTAAAATCTCGGATCTCCCGGGTGCCGCAAATCTTCATCAGGCCGATTTCTTTCGTTTACTTATGTTTGTCACAAGAACCCGAAGCTAACCGGGTGACATTGGATCTACGGCAAAAGGAAGGAGGACAGAGTAGAGTGACGAAAGAAGGGAAGAAGTCAATTAGTACCGCGAAAGGATTGACATCTTCCTCCTCGTCGAAAGGGTTTCTGTCGTAACGCCCCGCCATGACAATGAGAGCGCCCTTCCCCTCCCACCAACAAAGAGATCGATCGAGATTTCTTGGATGTGACAGAAAGCCTTCCGCGGGTGGCGTGTGGCAGTTCGTTTGGGGTAAGGACGGGGTTATGGTTAGCCACGTAGGATACTTCCTTTGAGACCTAACCGACGTTTCGACTCGACCACGTCTCTGGTTGTGTGTGGTTCATTCATTACGTGGAGCAGATCCAAGCGGAGACCAAACCGCCAACGGTTCGATTCATGCCTCCTGAATCGTTTTTGAGAGGCCAATAAATGGATCACGCTGTTGATTTCAGGTTGGCCATTTAATAGACGGATCCGATAACAATTTAGAATGCAATGTGATCATCAAACTGTAGATCTCAGCTGATAGTTTTATCCTACCAGTTTGCCTTCCAACCTAAACACATGCTTAGATATTGATATCGTAGACTGGTAAATCTATGTGGGATGTAAGCGATGCAATCTTGCAAATGTCTGTGCCACCAATGGCGGCTCAAATATTACAAATGGTTTAAGGTCTAAGGCTGCAAAAACTAATATCCACATTAAGAAAAGTGAGAAAGAAGCAATCAAGTGACTGAATCCCAAATCCATGGCATAATGCAATATAAAGTTAAGCAGACAAATGTGCCTTCACAGTTTCCTACCTCTGATGCTAACTTCTCCAAGTGGTGGTGAAATGGAACATAGCTTCATGCTTCAGTATTCTGAAGATTGAAAAGGAAACAAGGTGAGAAAAATTCTGTTTCATACCATAAAAAGTACGATGATGTGTTCGTGTTAATGTTAAAACAGTGACAAAGTAAGCTAAATGTGTCAGATGATGGATCAACAATAAGAAGCCAACCACCATTCTTTCTCATGGGTTGAGATCATCACCGCATAGGCAAAAGGATTACAAGAAACCATGTTCAGCAAGCAGCAATTTGGTGCTGCACATAATTTAGCTCCGGCATTCACCTCCTGCTTGCAGAACAAACTTCCTCTTGCAGATTAGACATGGTCATCATTTGTTGCATGTTTCACATCGTTTACCATGCGAATGAGGTCGTGAACAACCTCAGAGATTGGTGGCCTAAATTCTGGCTCTTGCTGCAGAATAAAATCTCATGTTAGAACATTTTATTTTGCCTCTTGGAAGTACGAACATGAGTTGGAATGCTTAAAGTAATACTTTCATTTGAAAAGCATGTAAATCATGTGCCAGCAGCTGCAGATTTGCTTGAATTAACATGAAATTTTACCATTTCTAAACCATATGTGCTTTGAACTTGTACAAATTTGTCCAAATTCAAGAACCATTTATTAGGGATGTGTTTTTCTACATAAAGATGCTATGTGATCGTTGCAGGAAGTATTTGGTCATCATCTTGGAATTTGGTGTTCTCAGAAACAAATCAAAGTGCAACATCTGAAACATCAGAATCAACCTTGGAGTAAATACTAAAACAAGCTAATGCAATAATGAAGGCGCAGAAAATAATACAATGTTTCAATACTATATTGTTGTGACCGCAGTGATGAAAGGAAAAGAATATAGACAATTGATTCCAAACTTCGAGTGCCAGATCTATGTTGAGATCAGAAAATGTGTTTTTGTTACTGATTGCATGCCCAAAAAGAAGTAAAAGCTGATTTATGATATTGTCTAGGGAATGGAAGCATGTGTTTTTTTGGTAAGTTAATGGAAGCATGTTTACTGATTATAAACGACTATAGCGTAAGAAAAGAAAACCCAATGGTACGATAACTTCAAAATTGCAGGTGCATAGTCGAGCAAAGATGTACCTGAATGCAACGGCTTATAATATCAGCAAAGCAGGATAATGATTTCTCAGGATAACTTCCAGATATTAAAGGATCCACCATTTTTGATAAAGCATTGATATCATATAGCTGAGAACTAGCCCATCTGACAAGATGTTGTTCAGAATGAGGGCGGGCACTGCAAGTTATGGTAAGAAAACAGATTACAGACAATTCCCTGTATCACATGAAGGAAGACAGGAAAGAGAACAATTAAAGAAAGTCAATCAGTAGGCATGCAAATAAGTTCTTTTACCTGTCATAAGGTTTCCGTCCGGTAAGAAGTTCTAGCATGACAACCCCAAAGCTGTAAACGTCACTTCTATCAGTAAATTTCCCAGATTCATTTACTTCAGGGGCTTCATAATTGTACATTGCACGCATTCGGCCTGACAACTGATATGAAAATAGCACCAAGAGTTAGTCCTATAGGAAAGCAAGGAGTGGGTTGGATCCCTTTACAGTCTTATGAAAAAAACTAAAAGGTGCAATAATTAAAATGGTTTGTGTCAAGGACTGCAATTTCATGCCGACCGGCTGTTCCGGTCTTTGGTCGGTCTATACCAATGTACCGATACGCGATGCGCTAGAATGTGCCGACAGTCCCAAAAAATGCCCAGAAAATCTCCGAAAATACATGAAAATTAGGACAAAATCTAAATTAGTGTATTTTAATTAGAACTAAATGCAAATTTAGTTCTATTTCAATAAAAATATATCCAAATAAGGAGGCGATAGTGGATTTATCTTTTTCGGATGTTGATTAATAACTTTGCAGCACGTTCCGAACGATTCTTCCATTGATATTGAACAAGAGTGAGAATTTTTTAGAACGAGAGAGTGATTGAGTGAGAAAGAGTATTAGAAGATATGAGACTGGAATAGGATAAAATAGGGGGGAGGAATGGGGTTAAATAGGCATTCAAATGGATCCGACGATCAAATTCACCGTTGGAACCAGTTCAATCTAGGCCCTTGATTGATTTCGATCAAAATTCGACCATTACCGACTAGTACAGGTATGTAATGATCAAATTTCGATCCTTTCGCTCGATATGAAGGGTGTATCGTCCGATACGCCCCCTCAACCACTATACCGCCTGGTAAAGAGCGGTCCATGTTCCGGTCAGCTATTGCACTTATACATACCATACCGTTTTGGGTGATACATCAAACCATGGTTTGTGTATGAATTCAGCTATGCACTTATAATAATAACTCCACAGCTTTATATTACATAAAAGCTTTCTTATTGTGGGGTTGGAATGCACAAGCTGACCTTTAAATGTTACTCATCCACCATTCTAGCCTTTTTGGTTCTATGGCTGCTCCTCTTGCCATGACTTGCCCTAGGTAAACATCAGACTAAATGGTAGGAGGTTGGCCAAAAGTTCAAAATATGTCAATGAGAGGCTCAAGCTATCACGAAATAGGTTCTGACCCAAAAATCTAACCTCACAGAGGAGCTATTGCTTCTTCATATGACTCCCTTGACGATGTCAAATATATTGCATATTCAGTCATGTTCTTGATCGAGGCTAAAGCATGTAAAATGATGTTACTAAAATTAGATTGTTCTTATAGTTTCAAACTGAAGCTAAGATATATGTACGGGAACTTTAAAGACAATGAGATTTTTTTCTATTACTCACTGATTTAAGCCTTAATTTTGAAGTATGGCTGTCTGTAATATGCGACTAACTGGAATTACCTGCATAACAGAGTTGGTTGACATTAGAGAAGACAAGCCACATTCAGTAACACATACAGCAAGCTCATCATTAAGGAGAAGATTGGCAGGTCCAAAATTCTGATGCACAAATGATGGTTGACAATTCTCATGCAGATACCTAGCACAACAACAGGTGAACTTTCTCAGTCCAAAAATCTATATTTCTTATACCACACATCTACAATGGAAAAATATTCTACTTACTCTAAGGCTTTTGCAGCTCCAAGGGCCACTTCAAGGCGGGCAGTCCAAGATAGTCTAGTGTTGAGATCATCTCCAACATGAAGTATGTCATGTAAGGTCTTCTGACTGAAGTATCTATATACAAGTAAACGCTGGTCAAACTCCGCACAATACCCCACAAGCTCAAGAATGTTAGGATGCCTCAGTTCAGAGACAGCTAATACTAGCTCCAGAAAGTCATCAGCAGGTACTCTTGAGTTCACATTGTCAAGCTTCATGACTTCCAATAGCTGCACAGCAGGATTAGTAAAAGTATCAGTGGACAATCTTTTCAGAAAGTGCTGAAGAATACAATTTAAGTACATGCTTACAGCAAGTGTCAGGGATGTTACTATTTTGACATAATAAAAAATAGTGAATATGGACAACAAAGATTTTCCAAAAATCTGGTGTAAAATTTAAACAACACAACATAGGTGTGAATAAGCCAACCTGGAAAGCTTCTTCCTCTTAAAGCATCAGGTCATCAACTTAATAAACTAGAAAAACTAAGTGTAATGTTGAATGTAATTTTCATTAATATTGGTGGTCTATGAGTGTGTTGTCAACATCATCTAGACAGCTACACAAAGTAGCAAACTGCACAGACATTTTAATATTTCATGGCCTGAAAGCTGAATAGACATTTGAAAAAAAAAAAAACGAAACAGAATGTTCTTCTCATGTTATAGGCACAAAGATTAACGGCATACCTTTCCATCAGAAGATTGTGCAAGGTATGCTTTGCCCAATCTATCATCTCTGATCAGATTTTCTTCACAAAAATTGTCTGTGTATTGTTGAAGATCTCCAACAGAAAAGGATCTCACAGAAGTTGGTGTGGTGTTCATCATCTCTGGAGAATGGCCCACAACATTTTTTCTGAGGACAATCGGAGTTACAGTATCATTTTCCACGGGGGGCTGTGGCATAACAATATCAGCTGTCTCATTCATATCAATTATGTGTTCCCTCTCCTTTTCAGAGTCCTTCACAACTGGTACAGGACAGAAGACAATAGTCATAATTACATAAACTAGTAACAAGACCACCAAGCAGAATGGAATATACCTGTCATTGCCATATCAGTTACATATTCCTTTCTTTCTCTGTGGCCCTTCTTTGCAGCTATAAACAACCATTTCTAGATTGTACAGAAAAAGAAAGTAATACAGCCTGAAGATAAAATATCTTAGATGCATTAATCTTACCTTCTGGAACTTCGTTTTTTGTCTCTGCAAAATGTTCTTCGCTTCTAGGCTTTTTGTATCCCATTTCTGTTCTTCCAACCTGGCTTCTGAACAATTCATCATGCTTTGATTTCCTCTCTTGGTATTTTGATAAGCAAAATATTACCATCAATACAATGACAATAACTAGAAACACAGCGACAACGACATATCCAACGATTTTTACGGTTGACAGTTTGTGGGGACTTTCTTGACTGGATGGACCATCTGAAGAGTTTGTATGCATGGTATCAGGTATAGGAGACCCTGAAGGAGAAGCTCGTGGTGGAGATTGATGTGGCGCTGACGATGGTGTGATGGAGGTATTAAATGGGTTTCCATCCTTTCTGTGCAGCAGTTCAACAAGTTAGTAGACTTTCATTGTGTATATATCAGTGTGTGTGTATGTGTGTGACTTATGTGTACATGTATATATATCTTCTACCAATTCAATATTGAGATTGAGTGAAAAAACAACAAGAAAGTTTGACTGATATTTATAGTAAATTAGCCCTGTAACTCAAGACCTAATGTTTCCCACTTTAAAACATAATGCATGTGCAAAATGAGAGAATTCAATCAGTATGAGATGCTTACTTGAAATTTGGAATATTCAGCAACTTCTCTGGGACAGGTCCAGAAAACAGATTGTTCTCTATGTTCCTGTTAAGCCAGATCAAGAAACATGTTTAAAAACTGTGAACCTTAATGCATCTCAACACAGGCAGCTTTGACAGAGTCCTATGTCCTCTTACTCGGAAGCATAGGCAACAAAACTTCACACTTGTTCATTCAAGTTTAACACAAGCACTAAAAGACAAAGCTTGTTAATTAGCATTCATGTCAAGAGGACTAGTGAGCAAAGAAATGACTCACAGCATGGTTCATGTGTCTGAAATGACTCACAACTTGTTAGACTTGTACAGTATACATATACTGGCTGGCAAACTGATCTCTACAACCAGGTATCACCGAAAAGATAAAAAAAGAATTAATACTGACCTATATGGTCCAGCAAGAGAAAAAGCGAGCAAGTGAGAGAGAGAGAGAGAGAGAGAACTCATCTGAGAGCTTAGGAACTAAAACTCAACACATAAACGATTAACTAAATAAGCTTAGTCTACTTATGTTACACAACGTGAGAGTCCTACCCAACCGAGGCTAAATACTGGTCAGAATACTGCAGACTGACAGGTATTTGCTGGCCCAATGATGTACTGTTATAAAAAATTATAGCTTGATTTAAGTATAATACCATTCACTTTTAAACTTTTTATCTTTTTTTTTTCTAATGATACCGAGTGAAACAAGTTCATATATTGCCCAATATATTGGTACCAGAATAGTTCAATAGCTTACCAAGCCGATATCAGAGTGATGCTTAAGACCTTATCAATATCACCATTTAGGCCAACGGTTTCGTATGATCTTTTAACCTCTTCACAGTAAACATTAAGCCAATATTTACTTCCATTTTTGAATTAAAGTAATAGATTTAATTCAAATTGCCTAAAAAACAATTAAGAATATGTAGTGAAAAAATAAAGGTGAGAAAAACGTTAGAGGTCTATTTGGAAAAATACAAATCCTTGAGAGGAAGATCTTCCAACACATCAAGGATCCCAGAAAACTGATTATTTTGCACATGCCTGCAAAACAAGTTATTAAGCTAATACCACGCTAAAAAAATAGCAAAATTATCAGATATATAAGCAGCTGATACTTACAATGTAGTTAAAGATGACAAGCTTCCCATTGAAGGTGGCAACTGGCCACTTATGTTGTTGACAGAAAGATCCCTGTGTGAATGTTTTGGCATAACAATTATCAAGAATATTGAATGACAAGCAGAAAGAAGATTATTGAAGTAGAAAGTCTAACTTACAAATTTATTAGTCCAGTAAGAGAACTAAAAGCATCTGGCAAAACTCCAGTCAAATGATTATTATTAACTGACCTGTCAATTACAAAGATCAGAAAATGTAAGATATATCTATCAACTAAGATAAAATGCAGGTTCCCTTAAGCAAAATAAGCAAGAAATTACATGTCAGTCAGAAGTGTTAACTTTGATAAAGAACTTGGAATGCTTCCTGTGAACTGGTTAGCTGAAAGAAAGCTGCCCCAGAGAAGGAAACAATACAGCTTTACTCAACATTAGTAACATAGTGAGATCAGAAAGAACGAAACCTAGAATATACTTTAATCTGTTTAAAACATACAATTTCTGCAACGTAAGAGGCAGATTTTCTGGTATGCCACTGCCAATATTGTTGTTACTCAAATCTCTACAACATAAAATAGCAGACAAAGATCAATCCACGAGTTCCTGATGATGGCATTAGAAGGGAGGATTATAATGCTAAAGGAGCTTTCTGAAATGAACAGCTCAATTTGGAGAATAGAGAAACAAGATGACAGCATTACAGGCTGTTGTTTGTTGTAGCAACAATATGGCAGTACAAAAATTAGCATTGTGCTCATGTCAACAAAAGAATGAATTTCAATGAAGTATCACTTACATTGTCGTTATTGAAGAAAAAATGCCTAATCCATCACCCAGTTGCCCTCCAAGATTTGCGCCATTTATAACTCTAACAAAATCAGACCATTTAGATGAGAACAAATAGTGATTACTTCAATAGGATAAGTTAGGAGGAAATTACCGTACATTCCAGTTATATTTGAGTCAACACATTGGACACCTTGCCAGCCCTCCATGCAGGGGTCTCCTCCACTCGGAACCCATCCAGGAAGAGGAGGTGAACCCAAGGCAGCATAAAAGCTATTTATAGCAGAAACTAAGAGAAAACCATTTTTGTGCAAATATTAACTATAAGCTGAATAGGTACATTCAGTGACATTCTGCATATATAAAACATTTGTCACCTACGTAAAATGAAGCTCCAAAGTTCTTTTCCCAAAAAAAGAGCCAAAAAACATAATTTCTACTGTAGAAGTTTCCTAATGTAGTTGTTAGATGACAATTAAGTATGATAAGTATTTATTGTGATGTACCGCTTTGAACACATTAACGGTATCACAACAAAGAAGAAAGTCAAACAAGAATGTAAATAAAAATTAAAGTAGTAAAAAGAAAAGCAAAACCTCAAAAGAAAAACAAATGCCAGAATGGGAGCCAAATCCTTTAATTTCAGCCACATGTAAAAGAAAATAGACACATATTGATGAATGTGAAGATGATCTTCTAAATATCAATGCCCGTTCATATCAATGTGGGACTATAGCAGCAGCAGCATGGGATTGACAGATGCAGTGGCACTGATATATCAGTGACAACAGCAGCAGCAGCCACAGAGGTATTTCTCTTCCAGTTTTCTTAATCAGTTAATCTTCTTGTTTTTTTTTTTTTTCAACTATGATAGATATGTGGTGATTGCCCGTTCTCACTCTTCTTCTTCTTCACAAATGACAAATCAGCTGGAATCATCAAGAATCAGCAGATTGCCACTTGGATCTGCCAGGTTCAGTTGATTCCAACTGAAGTCAGGTGTTTTATCGCATACTAGCACCCATTTGTAGAAATGATCAGACGAATAGCCATAATACACAATCTGTAGTATGGTGGCACTTGCTACTGCAAACCTACATTGCAGCCACCATGGCCATTTTTCGATCACCACCTTCACTCATAACGAAGCTCCTTACCTTTTGAAAAGTCATTTTTTGTGTGACCAACTGGTATAGGCCTAAAAATGTCAAGTGAGAATGTATGATCAATGATGAACTTTTCAGTTTCCAGTGAAAATAACATCGACATTTGGTTCCTGAATCACTTGATCATATTTCCCCACATTCCTTACCTGTAGATCTTCAGTATTTAGCTTCAAAATGAGAATGGCAGATTAATTTGTTGCGTGAAGATGGAAGATGGACATTTATCTCTATATCTTCTAATTGATACTTGACACCACCGTAGGGGAACAACATTAATAATTTCTGCTGATGAAAGTGTGCTGCTAAGCACTGTAGGCGTATAATAGCATATATGCTTGAAAAGGTTATAAAACATGATTTATATGTCAAATAAAGAGACAGAACTTGCAAAGCAATTTATCATGAGTTGAATAGGAGCCAGTTTTCAAGTTTCAGGAATCAATGTGTTCAGATGCATATAAAACAACTTGGCGTACCATCTAGTTCGTTAGTGTATGCACAGCAATATGGCAATCCCAGAATCAACATCAAGCCAACCCACAAGAAGAGTCTTAAATTCAAACGATGCACCCGAGCGAATAGCATGATGGTATCTCTCTTCTGAAGCAGCAAACTGACAATCCTGCTGAGATGAAGAAAAATAAGGAAAAGATGATTATATAATACACATTACGTGCTATTTTTTAGTTACGAGTACGCTAAATACGAAAAAGAACCAAAATTTCAAGTTCTTGGAAATGGAAATCAGAAAGTCCGTCCTATACGAACCGAAAAATCAAATTACACGTGTACTGAAAGAGGAAGCGTATTCTTAGGAAATCCCTCCAAGGATCGCAGGTAGCTACAGAAGTATCTCAAATTTGCTAAAAAAGATGTGAGGAACAAACGAGCAAAACGAAAAAAGAACAGAATACTGAAATCTTTTTGCTGCTAAACTAACAAGACGCGGCGAGAAGCACCAAAAATGCAGCAACCTAAAAGAAAAAGACCAATCATTTTACAAGAAATCACCACAGGAAGCAGCAAATGCGTCATTTCCGAGTACAAAGTGAAAAATCGCAAGATTCAGAAGGGAGCAGAGAGGTCAGATGCCCCAACAGATCTTGCAATCCAATACCACACCGAAGCTCACCTCGCAGCTGCCGCCCGCGCCAAGCCTTGGATGCTAAGATTCCACTTAGATCGCAACGGGTAAAAAGTAGGGAACAGAAAGAAAGAAAGAAAGGCGGAGAGAAAAGGGGAGACACAGACAAAGAGCAAGTGCCATAGCACACCACCGCCACAGCTCCACCCAGACGAAGACGAAATCTAGCAAAAATTACGCAAGTGTAGTACCACTAAACCTATATCAAGTTCTGGATTCGCTTCTTACATGATCATAACACTCGAACCAGCACTATAAATCCGACCAATTCTATTCGACATTAAATTATATGATCGTAGTACATATCAAGCATAAGTTCGTTTGGGTAATCTGATGTTATAGTAGCATGCCCTCGTGAATCTGTACCATTATTAAAGCCTTACTTGTACCGGAAGGGTTGATTGCTTTCGTGGGAGATTCGTTCGGATAAGACTCACACTGTCGTAGTTGCGGCCGAGCGAAGTGGACGTTCATCTCCTGAGGTCCGAAGAGAAGTCTCTTTGACTGCCAGAATAATAAATAAAGAAATAAATAGTAGTAGTTGTGATCCCTTTGCCAGTGACTAATGAACGAACTTTGTGTGTGTTTCTCATTGAGTGGGGCTTCGCCTTCAATCTCTCGGATGATGTTTTTTTCTTGATCCTATCATCCCGTACAGTCAATTCCTTTCATTTCTTTTGTTGCGTAGTGTTGGTTGAATTTGATTCTTTATATGTTGCTAGTAAAATATTTAATAAATTAAAATGATCCTCCTTTTCGAAACAAACATAAATAACAAAAAGAAGAATCTAAATATAGCTTTTCTATAAGGATTTATCATTTTTCAAAACCGAAAAACAATCGTCGATCCCTTCTTTCTTTTTTTTATTTTTAAAAATAATTTTACTTAATATTTTTAAGCATATCTATTATGATAGGATCCATTTTGTCAGTAAATCGACTCTGAGTAACTAATATATTATCGTTCGTGTTGTAACATTTATTCTTCTTTCTAGTAGTATAAGATATTAAATCTTTTTCAACTTGAATTATTATATTATTCATAAAATTATTAAGTTAATGAATGATATAAGAGGCAATAAGACTTTATTTTTATATTAATTTTCTAAATTAATTAAATAATTATTTCAATATGTTCAAATATTTTACCAAGTCTCATCATTTTCATCCTCAACCTTTGCAACTTTCACTTTGAATATAACATGGTTGTAGAACATTTAACCAAATAAATTTTTTTTGACTTATCTCAATTAAGTGCGATCAAGTTATCATCAATAATATTATTAATAATAATATAAATATTATTTACATATTTTACCTCAAACTTCTCATGATCTTTATCGCTTGTCGTTGTAATTTTTTCTAGATATTCGTAAATAAGAAGATCATTCACCATTGATTACTATAGAATCAAACTTTTTTTTCTTCATTAAATTTCTCAATAGTAAAGCATGCAGAAATAATCTAAGATATTTTTGAAACAATCTAAGATATTTTTGATCTCATCTTATTGAGATAGAATATTTTAAAATAAAAAAAAATATATCAAAAATAACAACGAATAAACTAAAAGAAGAACACTAAATTTCGTGATTCAAAACCATTTGTCTATTTGCCTGTGTCTATATAGAAAAATCATATATCCTTTATATGAGAAAAATAAATATAAAAAATAACATTTTGTTGTGTCGACTCAAATCTAAGTTCAAAATTTATTATACACATTCTCATGTAAATGCTAAAGAAGTTTTTTTTTTTTCCTCTTAGCCCTCTTTATACATACTATAAAAAATCTACAAGCACCCAAAGTGTTCCAAACTATTTTTTCTAATATATAAAATAAATAAGTTTGAGTTCACTACAACTTTTATCCTTCAAATAATTTGAATATAATTATAACTCCAAAAAATATTTGTGAGTTATGAGCCTAATAAAACCTTCTAAGTTTTACTTTCTTCGTAGGGTCCATTTTTATTATAGCATCAATTTTTTTCTCTGTAGTGATCATAATATCGAGCAATCTATTGTGGTACATGTCGTAAAGAAACGGCATCCAAAACTATCATATCCCGTAAAAGCTTTACCACCATCATATAAGTTGTTGCATAATTCATGTGGCAGAAAAATGTAAAGAACATTATGCAAATTTCAAGATGATATTATCCAACTTTCAGTATTTGATTTATCCTGAGCTCCAAAAATAACTTTTAAAGGTAAAAAAAATTTGATAAACTTATAAACTCTGGGTTCCATACTCCTCAATCAATATGAGACTAAATGATCTTATTAGTGCTCCCTTCTATAGGGGAGCCAAGAGCTCATAATCGAGGTGCATTACTCGGGAGCGAGTTTGTTCGATCGAGGTGCGGATCTCAAGCTCTCTTAGGACCGATCTGATAAGGGATCATTTGGTCAGTCGATCATTGGTACGATTAGTAGACTGATGAGAAATTATTCGAGCGATAAATGTACCCATACGATTTTATCTTTTCGAAATATATGAGTTCTAAAAGACGTCTCTAAAAATAAGAAAGATCCGACTGACTTATAAACCCTTAACTCTCATACTCCTCAATCAATATGAGACTAAATGATCTACTCACCTTATTCTCTCAACTCTCTTCGATATTCAATGCATTATGTTATTTTTTTTATTTACAGGTTCGAAATAAAGATTTTGATTTCGACTAAACAAGACATTTGAAACAATCTGTGGTCATTATGTCTAATAATACTATATTCCAACACTTTTAGTGAGAGGGCAACGATCGACGCAATTTTCCTTTGCCACAGATTAAAATACATTAATTTTCTTTTGCTTTTTCTTCGCAAAGATAAAGCACCGAGCGGCAATCTCCGATTCCGCGGCTGCTCACGTCAACACGCAGAGCGGCGCCTCCGGTCGTGATGATCAATGATGCCCCAGTCTCCCACCACAAGCCAATCTTGCAAACAGCTGTCTGCTTCCATCTTTTCCTTCTTTGTCTCTGCATGCCTTTTTCCCTGACAGCAGAATTCCACGATTTGGACTTTTGGACGCACCGCCAAATCAAACCTAATCTATCATTTCAATGCAGACCCTCCTAATCCCAAAATTTGCCACCACAGCTTATGGTCCACAATACACACTGTCGGCGTCTATTAATTTATATACCGCATCAAAATCAAACTAACGATAGTAACATTCTAATAATATTAATTATTATTATTATTATCTTCCTGAATCAGCGATACAAAACGGACGCCGGAGTCGCAGCCCGGTCAGTGCACTCCACGTTAAATGGAATGAGGCAGTCAAGCAGGGAGCAAGATATAGTGTACGAGGAGTCCGCCTCGGCACTGTCTCCCACCGCCCTCCCAACAAACTCGGCGGCACAAGTGAAACATGCTTGACTGATCGACACTGCCGAAGTGTTTCTTGGAAGAGGAATTGATAGATGGGGAGATCCGACTGATCCGGAGAGATCGAAATCTGAAGGAGTGATCGGTTCCCGATTCGTTGCATCCGGTGGGCGGAAGGACGGATCCGTAAGCAGTCAGTCGATCGAATTCCAAGTCGACTACGAATGGGGAAGACCGGTGACCGGGATTGGATGCAGATCTACGCCATCTACGGCACGGATAGGTGGCAAACGGTGGCGTTCCTAGCCCTACACGCGACCCTCTTCGCCGCCATCGCTCTCCTCCTCCTCCTCCGCTTCCCCTCCTCCCTCGCCCTCCTCCGCTCCCTCCTCCCTGCCGCCGTCCCCCTCACCGCCCTCCGCTTCCTCGCCGGACTCGCCGGCTCTACCGCTGCGCTCTCCGCCCTCTGCCTCCTCTACGCTGCCGGCAGTGTGCTCCACTCCTCCCTGGCTCTCCGCTGGGAGACGGCCCAGCGGATGGTCGCCGCCGTCCCGGACTGGTCGGCGGTCCGCACGGCCCTCGACGTCGGCTGCGGCCGGGGCATCCTTCTCAACGCCGTCGCCATGCAGATGAAGAAGGAGGGCTCCGGCGGACGGGTGGTGGGCCTCGACCGGCGGAGGGAGACGGCGGTGGAGGCGCTTCGCCGGGCTGGGGCGGAAGGGGTGCAGGAGTACGTCACGTGCAGAGAGGGCGACGCCAGGAGGCTGCCCTTTGCGGACGGCTACTTCGACGTCGTGGTGTCGGCGAGCGGGCTGGGGGCAGCGGCGGCCGAGGAGAGGGGGCGGGGGCTGGCGGAGATGGTTAGGGTGCTGAAGCCCGGCGGAGTGGGAGTGGTGTGGGACCTGTTACGCGGGTCCGAGTACGCGCAGAGGTTGCGGGAGATGCGGATGGAGAACGTCCGCCTATCCGATCCGGTAACGGCCTACATGGTGGGCAGCCACATCGTCTCCTTCCGAAAGCCCATGGAACAAAAACAGCCCTTGCCGCAGCCGGTCTTCCATGACCCGCACTGGGCCGCCGACATGTGCTGACGGACGACGCTCCGCCGCTCGGCGGCACCGCATCCAGAGATCACTATACGATCACCTTTTTTTTTTTCTCTTTCTTACTTAAATTTCTTTTCCTTTTCATATGATTTACTAAGATCTTCGACGTGCTGCCAGCCGCAAGTGTAAATGTTCGTCGCTGGCAGCATTTGTAAGCACGGCGGTCCAAAAATGTGCTACGATGTTGTGACTGGTAATCACGATGCAGATACGAGGGGAATAAATGTGGTTTGCTTTATATACAAAAAATGCTAAAAGCATATCAACCAAATGAACTCCATCAACATAGAACGCAGTGTCTTCATAGCTTGCTTTAAGTTGTAGACCGATCCCCGTCGTTGTGCCTGCACGTCATGTGTTGCTGTGTGATACACTGCCATGTGTCAAGTTAGCAGAAGAGATTCTTCCTATCGAGTTGTGAGCACGATGGGATACAAGTTCGGCTCACCAGGTCGCATCAGACACACTATCTACCTACCTGTCCACCTCAAAGTTATGCCATGGCGACAACTGTTTGTCGTGTATCGCTCTCAGTCACTTGGAAGTGTAGTAGGAAAAGTTCGAGATACTTCCAAGTCGGACTAATTATAATATTTTTATAGTTAAATTATTTTTAATATTTTTATTTTTATTTTTTTTAAAAAAATTATATTGATATTTTATATTTATAAAAGTGAAATATTTATTTATGTCTCCTCACAACTCTACGTATGAAAATACTATAAGTGTTCGATGATAAACCGAAGTAAGACAGAGAAAACATATACTCAGTGGTAAACTCTATAATATTTTCGTTAGTAGAATCGTGAGAAAAAATGAGATTAAATATTTTATTCTTATAAGTATAGCGAACTCAGTAGAAATCGAGATACTAAAAGTAATTAATTATAGAAGATAATAT